GCATTGTTCTTTGTACAGTTGACTGTCAATTTCCAGACCGGAATTTCTAAATTTGCGTTCAGCACGCCGTCTAACTCGATTTGCCTCTCTAACCGCATCAGTATACCAAGGAGCTTTTGGCCTGAGTGAGACAAGTGTGGATCTCTCTGGCGCATGTCTGTCTAGCAGTTCTTGTAGAACAATATTGTACTGATCTGCTAGCTCAGAAGCATTCTTGGCTGTTGGCAGTGCTAGCGGCGAGTTCTGTATGTCATTCCTGAATTGAACCATATCAATTTCACGCAGCTTCCGACATGTAATTAACTTCTTGTAGGATGCAGGACGAGCAAAATTGAGGGTAGCTAGCACTGCCAAGTGGTCAGAAGGTAGTCCGGGTAAGACGCCTGTGTCCATAATGGGATGATCGATCTTTCTGGAAATCAAGAGATCTAGTGTATGACCAGCTTAATGGGTTGGTTCTCTAACATGTTGCTGGAGATCAGCTGCATATAAGATATCAAGGAAGGTCTTGGCATCTCTATCAGTTCCGTCATCAACATGGATGTTGAAATCCCCAATCAGAAGAGGCTGCTGTTCAACAATTGTCACCGATTCCAGCAGAGTAGAAAAATCATGGACAAACATATCATATTTGAGTTTGTTTTTTGATGATGGGGGTAGCCTGTAGATGGCATATATTCTAAACACGATGGAGGGCGAGACTCGTACCAACAATTCCATGTGTTCAAAAGATGAAAATTTCACTGAGGCACTTTGTGTTATTTTCAAACATGAGTGATATATGACACATAAGCCACCACCGCGAGTCTGGCGATGTTCATGTATCAGATGGAAGTTAGGTAGAGTTGAGTTGATATCAGCAATGATGGAGTTATCGTGAAAATCTCCCCTCAACCAAGATTCAGTCACAATCAAGATATCCAAGTTTGTACTTAATATCAAATCACAAATCGCTGTTGTTTTACTGTTCATGGAGCGAGCGTTCCAGTGACCAATTTTGAGACGAGATTGAAGCTGTGACTGAGATGTGATGTCAGTAGGCTCACATCCAGGCACCCCTTGTGACCGTGTCAGGTAAATGAGGTTTGCATTTGGCATATGCACTTGAGTTAATTCAGTTCTTTGTGATTGACGTTGTAAGTATAGCGATTTGAAATGGAGACTACGACAGGGATTTGTTGACGATATTTGACCCTTTTACCAGCTCTCTTCCCGCGTGTTCTCCATCGTTTACGTTTGCCGTCCTTCCCATATCGCGAATATGGCGATGTTGATATACCATGTTGCTCTACATGAACAGTACAAGGTTTACGTAATAAGTGTAGAGACTTGATTCTCAAGCATACTTCACTATCCAGTTTACATTCATCTTCATTGTAGTAGGGACATAAGCCATGCAGATACAATGCTAAGTAATGAATGAGCCTCAGACCTAAAGTCATTGTGGTGTGTTGAGACTTGAGATTCAGATCAAAGAAGTCATTGGTGACAAAAGACAACTCACACTCTGCAAGACCAGTTGGCTGAACAGTCTGAAAGGGTTCAGTTGGATGAAAGGAAGCTGGGTGGCTTTATGTAGAAGTCCATTGCAGAACTGAAGTATGCTGGTACAAAATGACTACCGATATCCAACCATAAATGCAGGAAAACGCAAACTTCTTCATACTAACAGTATACATAGCTTTCGTCTAGAGAACTTTTCCTTGCATTTGCAAGCAAACTTGAATGACAAAATCAACTTATGCAACTTGGAAATGTGAGGAAAGGGAGAGCCTGTGAGAGCGACCAAACCGGCGCTGCACATAACTCACATAAATGATGAATAAACAGGGACTTGTAGCAAATCCAATTATTATTTCCATATAAAAAAAGCTTTTATAAGATTGTAAAAAAAAAGACGCAATATGGCACCGGCTACAAGATAATTTTGTTAATCAACGAAATAAAGTTAACCACTAACAGTTGATCATCCATAGCACTTAACAACTCAAATAATTATAGGAGCAAATTGAACGAGTTCTCCTAGAACCGTAAACATTTTTAATAATCAAAATATGACAAAAAATAATAGCCTCTTCACTGCATCCCCATCCGCCCATAACACACTTGTATGACTTGTGACTTCGAGACCGACTCGAGGCCCATTTTCCGTGTCTCGGAGGGTTTTTTCGAAACGTTTGCTTCGGCTTCGGCTTTTCCTCCGGCTTTGCCTCCGACTTCTGAATCACTGAAAGGCAAACTAAACAAAACTATTCCAACTTTTGGCATCATATCAACCGAATGAATGCTCCTAAGGCATAACAGGCACCAAAATGTAGCTGGAGTTCCAGAAGTTGGGGCCTCAAATCTTCTTAAGCCGAAGACGAAGCTAAAGCCGGCCGTTTCGAAAACGCACTCAGACTCGAGTCACGATGACGAATGACTCGAACTTGGACTCGACCCTGCGAACTCGGACTAATTGGACTCGACCTGCGTGACTCGGGTCTCAACCAAATCACCACAAATCGTTTATTTTTTCAACAACGATCCTCTCCTGAGCAAGCGATACAGTCAGTGCGGTCATGTTTTTATTCCTCCATGGTGCGGTGCAGGGGAAACGCATCTAAGTACATGTACATGTACTGTACATACATTTTGTACACACCGCGTGGGGCTGGCTTGTTTCAAGATATATTGATTTGGGAAATCAACTATCGAAATATGTATACTGTACCGAAATACATGTACAATTGTACATGTGCATGTATGCCCCGCAGTGTCCATTCAGGACTAGGAATCGGACTCGGGAGAAGTGACTCGGACTCGAACTCGATGTTTGGTGACTCGAATACAAGTCTGGCCCATAACAGTAAATAGGTTTTACTGCGATAATTCTACTTTAATTTTTTTTTAACTTTAAAGCGAAGAAGCATAATGTCACCATTAAACTGTGACCATGCAGGTTTTTTTCACCCTGGCCTTGCATAATAGCCTGCAGTGGCTGTCGGTTGTCACTGTAGATGCCAAACACAGTGCGTTACAAATGCACCCGACTTTCGTTTCACGTCCGTAAACATTATTCAAATTTGTGTGTACATGTACGTTTCAGATCTGCCTGTGCGCTGCATTTCTCAAGGGATTGAATCAGGCGGCTATAGTGGCTCTATTGGATTACAGTGTACTCGTGGGATTATACAAAGGCTGATGTGCTGTCTGCGTGAATTCAAAATGAAACCGCAGTGGTGGCTTATTATTCCGTTGAATTCAATTTGTTGTATTAACTTGGTATAGAATTATCACTGCAACTGCCTATGGGGGCATGTCATAAAACGCTAGCAAACGGGCGTAGTTGTTTAAACCGATTAAAATGTAAAATTTAAGAAGTCATTCCCCAAAGCACTTCCCTCGCCCTCTCTTTGAATAGTTCACGTGGATTACACTTCACTCCATCTCTCTCCCTTTGACGATTTATTCCATGTCAGTGGGGATTTTTTTTTCTGATAGGGGCCTAATGTAGTCTGGCCGAATATAAGTATTTTGGGAGAATTTACGGAGCATTTTTATATATCCCAATTAGGCCTACAATACATTGTGTCGGCGGTGCGCTTTAGTTACCTAAGACTGAGCCAATGTCTGTGAATATCAAGCGCAATTAGGTTGAAAGAGTATCTAAATACAAGTGCCTGGGTGTGGCAATAGATGATAAGTTAATTTAGCATCATCATGGATTACATTGTTGGAAGGATGAAATCCCGTCTGTATTGTCTTAGGAAGCTAAATACATTCAAAGTGAACCCTTTGATTTTAACAACTTTTTTTTGTAAGTTAATTATATTTACTGAATGGAATTACTGTCTTGTCTGCTGGGGAGGCGAATGCTGCTCAAGCAGAGAAGGATCAAATCAATAAGTTGGTGCGGCAGGCTGTAAAGGTGATCGGTGAGTGTTAGGATGAGGTAGACTCGGTCTATCACCGTCGTTTAGAAACTGCATATTGCTCGGTTTGGAATGATGAGAGTCATCCATTACATGAAATACTTGCCAGACAAATCATTCCGCCTAGTGGTAAGATGAGATTGCCGAAACCTAGGACAAAACCACGACACCCACCCACGATCATTTATATCCAGAGCCACATCATTTGATAATTCCAAATTTTCAGCGTTACTCGTTTTTATATTTAAGAATTACTGAAAGTGACAGTGACAGATTTCGATATGTTTTGATTAGATCTATAGCATTCTATAATTTCAGTTTTAATATTATTGCAATTTTAGTGTTTTTTTCTGTGATAGCATTGGACTTCTTGGGTTTTTGCGAAATTTGTAAATATTAATTCTAAATATAATTTTTTTGGTATACCGGTGAGCAAGTGTAATTTCCTTGATGGATCAATAAAAAGGACTGCAATAAAAAAGAGTCTCCACAAATTTAAACCTGCATACAAATAGCAAGCACATTACATAGCAGTTGTACACGAGAAGATTAATGGCAAATATGCTGAGCATGAAAACGGCATTAATAGGAGGTCACTCGTTCCATCGCGCGCTGAAGCGCTGTCCCACCGGCACCTCGGTGGAACTGGTTTGGATGTAGACTTCGCATGACTTGCTACCGCGCCTTGGTTCAGCGCGATAGCCGCGGGGCCTATTATGGTCCCTCCGTACACACCGGCCATTCACTGCAGGTGCATATGCTGAGGGAGTGACAGGCGGCATATTATTACGGGCTGCATATATACATTAGAAAAAGATATTCAGCACTGAGTGTCTGTTTAAAAATATACCGAGGCCGGTACTATTGTGCATATGTACGTCTATAAAAAGCACAGTCCCAGCCTTGAACTGCGGCTAGAATTATTGCCCTGTTTGCACATAGCCAACTATTTACATGTGTAGCCTAGTGTCATATTCATAAACGAAGTCCAGATTACACTGTATATAACTGCGTCAACATCAATATAGCATATAAAAAATACAACTATATAGGAGCAATATGGACATTTCATTGCAATATTCTTACCTGGACGTGCTATAAATGTGGTCCCGTTAAGGATTTGCCTGTCCCCAACCTTGTACATTAATTGCTATCGTCAATACGACCGGAAATTTCCATGGGGTATACTATCTGCGGCATAAACACGTACCTTTGACCGCGCAGCCCTGCCCATGACACATCACACACTTGGCATGCTCTGCGCTTGAAAAACAAACAGTATACACGATCGACTCTTGAGGGCGTCTTTATTGCGGATGTTAGTCTGGTTACCAAAGCAAAAGGTTCTATTTGTGACCAAATCTGTAATTATGGCCACCCAGTAAATAAATTCCCATATACACCAGTGATAAATCCCCATGCTTCAACATTCTTTTACATATACTCAAAACTCTGATGTTCAGGCTGCAAAGAAAAATGATGATCAATTTGTCGTCTTTTGTTTTCCTTTCAAATTACGGTGGGCCAATCATGACTTTTTGAGAAATTCTCAGCCAAGGACCACCCCTAAAACGAAATGATATTTCCCAATTCGGAAAAGCAGCCATTTTGAAAAAAAAGATCCCTCCACAACATGGCTAAATAGCGCCACTTTCGGACCCAATTGCCTCCAAAATGCTCAGAATTAGAAGCCCCGGGCTCTCCAAGTACTCTATAACATCATTATAACTTTTATTCGTGAGCTCGGCGGACGGATTCATGGCCTATTTACTGGGTTGCACCCTTTATGGATTTCTGTCGGCGGCCTCATCAGTCTCCAGACCACTAAGCCCAAGATGATCGCCGGATCATTCTAGACAAAAATTGTTGTCATTACCGGCCGGCTCAGTGCCATTGCAATTAAAGGGAAGCGAAGTGAGAGGGGAGGGGATGCTGGGTTGGGGAGCTGGGGACATCATTTGACGTTGCTAACCTACCGCCCTTCCCTACATTGTCACGCCAATGTCTATATACGATTATGCCTTCTGAGGAAGTGGAGAAGTGTGGTGTAGTGGTTAGGGTTCGTGACTCAGAGGATTGTGGGATCGAATCCAGCTGCTGACCATAAAAAAATTATGTTGTGTCTTCGCCGCGCCACTTCTTCCCCACTTGTCCCCCTCCACCCAGGAGTATAATGGTACCGGCATTCAAGTAGCTGCAATATAGCATCACGTCCGGCCAGGGGGAATATAAATATTCTCCGTCGTTTAGTGCTATACTAAAACGGAGACTTGACTTTACTTCTGAGAATGAACGGTGTCACCGTGTGACTGTCGTTCATATCCCTCCCCCCTCTACTATACTGCGATTCACTTGTGAAGTCATCACTGATGATTCATCAGGTGAAGTGGGCCTATACATGTTTCATTATCAGTCAATACCAATAGGCTACTGCAGTATTATGATCTAGCAAATAATACCGATAAGTTTGTCGCGGGTATTTAGGCCTTAATTATCTGGATCTGCATGAGGAACACTTTGAAACATACAAACACATAATCTCTTTCCGATTTACCATTTTTAATATTGCAAAATCGATTATAATTAACGTAACGTTTGGTTACAGGCAATTCCTACTTTTTAATCACCAAATATTACGACCACACTCATTACTGACAACCTTTCTTGTGCAAAACATTTTTGATCAGTAACAGAAAAAAAACGCATAGTTAAATGTGTTGACACACCATGAAACCCCTTTTGATTGATGTTCAAGAAATGTCAGTCATATTCGTGGACAAAAGACGAGTGAATGCCAGCCAGTTGTTCCAAATTTTGAGAACAATGATCCAAACTTAAGCTTGATCGCGCTTACTCGCAGAAAGCAGCCAACAGGGAGGTGATAAGGATATGTATGCATTTTACACGAAAACGTTTGGACTTGATGTGTTCATCCGCGACTGGATTTTACCGTATGCCTAATAAGACCAAGCCTTATGATTTACAAAATATTTCATGACTATTCCATCATTATGTACTGGACCAGAAAAAGTCGAACATTTGATTGCTTTTGAGAACAATATCTTCAAATTTCAATAAAATATTCCGACCTATTTTCTGTAACAAGGAGAGATATCGAGATGAGACTGGTTGCGTCGGTCACGCACTCAACGCCAGAGGGCCACTGCTATTGGTTGCAAGTGGAACAATAATCGTTTCGATTGGCAGGTGGGGACTGCACTTGTTTATATGCATATTTCCAAGGCACGGCTTCGACCGGCTTCGGTTTCTACCCATCTCGATTTTCAGAATCATTGAGAAGCATTTAATGTCAGAACATGGAAAGACTCCAAAATTGTGCCTCATTTCATACACCGGCAGATCAAGACCTTGGGGGGGGGGGGGGAATTATCATGAGCCACAAAAGTGTACGTGGTACAATAAACGTCATACAGACAAATTTACGCCAATTTGTTTGCTACAATATACATATACATGTACAATTTAATTGAAAGCTATCCTTTAGTGCAATAATCAATACTGAGGTTAGTTAATCGAATTAAACATTTAATGATAACATCACACAAGTAAACAATCAATACAGGTTAACATCACGTAACTAGTGACTAGTTGATTAACATACAACGTTTGATTAAATACAAAGTTTAGATAACATCCAACTGTGGCCTTGTGAAATTGCGAGTTTAACGCATTAATCGTTTATAGTTATTAATTGACCTATTTTCATTAATTAAGTGAATGTCGGTATATCTTCTCTCTTTAAAGACTTTTTTTTACAATTTTCCTATATTGTCAGCCTTTTGCTCGAACTTCTGGTAAATAACAAGAGTTTGTGCGATGATAATTTTGTGTAGAACATATGGTGCTAATATACCACTGTTTAATAGCCAAATAAATTGTGTCACTTAAACTGTTTATTAACAAATCATTTAATCATGAGTAACTTTTATATTTACTATAATCTTATTTACGCTTGTTTATGTGTATTATAAGCCTACTTACGATAATTTTCAATAGAGAGTTTCTGGTCAGATGTCCGATCGGTGCCATCAAATTAAATTCATTCGTATACCCACTCTGCAAAAACGTGTACATCATTGTGTCGACGCCTATTAAACCTCCCCATGCATGTGCAGCTGCACTAAAATTTCAAACTAATGGCTATAAACCACACAGTAACACATCTATGTTACCGCCACTGTCAATATTTCAAATCGTGTTGTGTCCCTTTGGTAAAGCAAATATGTGATACAACAGTGTATTTTCATAAGAAGAGGGTTTTTTTCGTGTACTTTTAAAATCAGTTAATGGTTTTTCAAAGGATAGAAGGTCCGACATAAACGCTTTGTCTCTGCCACCAAAGTTAAATCCTGGAGGTTGAAGCTGCTCTAACAGACGCGAGTCTAGAGGGAGTTGCTGTCTTCATCTCGACGCTTCATAATAATGTCAGCAGAAACTGAAAACATGAAAAAAAAATAATGATTGCGATCAACTTCTACTCTTAAGAAAATCGTTGCTCAGTCTCATGCCCAACGTTAGTTTGTTAATATTTGTGGGACAAATGCATATTTGACCCAAACGTTGGTCCACTTTTGTTGCAGATTATTCTTACCAATAATGCCATTGCCCGACATTAATCAACAGCAAGAACATATCTTAAAGTTTAATGAGATTTGAAAACCTTTTAACTGACTACATCTGCATTAAGTTCGGTGTATACATTTCATTTTTTTTCTTGCCAAATCTGATTTAGAAATTGTCTCAGAGTCAGTAAGTCTAATTAACTAAAATTTGGCACTTTGCATTACAGCACGGAGCTGTAAATGTGGCACCGTGTTTTGAGTTCGAGAGCAGCGCGGTCATGTTTTGCAGACAGAATATATTTCATCATTTAGGGCCAACATCTCAATTGAAACAAAAAAAAAATAACTATAGTTACTATTTTCCTCCTGGTCAGTGATCGGCATTTCGTGTTCCGGCGTGTGATGGGCCTCCACGCACAGGATGTACAACAGGGCGCCGCCTATCGCTCCGATGCACGGCCCAACGATCGGCACAAACCACCAGTGCATACCGCGGGGGCTGTAGGAACACAAAACGGTAATGAAGCACGATTAAAGAATAGTATCACAAATCGAGAACAGACAAAGGTAGGGTAGGGAAGCACTTTGTTCCTTCACTTGTTCGAAATCATGATATGATATAATGTTACACTGACATGTTTTTAGTTTTGTGTTCGAAAATGCTGGGAAAAACCAAGTGAAACAAAAATATTCAGGTAGTCTGGTTCCCTGACTCCACTAAAGATGCCAAAGGATCAATTTATAGATGCCGGAAAATTGTAAGGTAAGGGGACCAGTCTAGCTGGCCTGCACCCGTTCATGAACATGTAACCAATAGCAAACAAAATTTGGACTGAAAAAAGCTAAATTTGGAGCAGTAGTTCAAAAATAGTTAGGTTTTTCCAAGAGTGGTCGGCCGACCAGCGTTGGACATTTACACAAAATATCACTTTTCTTGCAAATGTTGTATATTCCCTTTAAATCACCGACGGTTGGCAGCTGATTCGTAGACTGATTGGAAGTAGTCCTGACTAATATCAGTGAGCATTTTTGCACTTCTTCTCATTTTACCTTTAAAATAATTAAAGTGAGGAAGAAACATTTCGCACAAGACGTAAAGCCGGCCTTATGATCTTGGGTTTGTGTTTGTGGAGAACCAGGCATTCGATATGCATGTACTACATTAAATGGACCAATCAGGAGATGGGAAACGGATGTCGTTTGGGGAAAAAAGATTCGCGGGTGTTCTCAATGCATTGGTGCATTGGACCCAAATCATGCAGGGGACTTACGTCCAAACTTCAGTACCCCAACCGGCGCAGTAGGTAAAGAGCCTGGGAGGGAAGTCCCGTGCCGGATTGATAGCGTAGCCGCAATTGGACCCGAAGCTCAAGCCGATACCAAGTACGCTCAACCCCACCATGATAGCCACCATCCCTGCTGGTGCACCATTGTTCCGCTTATCGGTGATGGCCAACACGCTAAGCATTAGTAGCGCCGTACCAAGAATCTAAGGTTAAACAAAGGCAAGTGAAACTGTTAACTCTGCATCGCGTGCGGCACTCACCCTTAAGCCCACAAGGGCGGATCCAGAGCACAATTTTTTTTTTGGGGGGGGCAACATTTTGGTCCCCCATAAAGTGGGTCGAAAAAATTAGGGCTTAAATAATTGGTATCTTTTTTGGGGGGGGGGCCAAGGCTCCCTTTGGCTTCCCCCCCCCCCCCCCCGATCCGCCCTTGGAAGCCCCCTAGCGACGCCTGTATGACGCATCATTAATAGAAACTTTTTTTTTTCAAGGGTAAAACTAGAAACATTTTATTACAGGGACAACCTTCTATGCCATTCAGAATTAGGCGTAAACATTATCGTACTTCCTCATTATAGTTGCTTTTGTCAGTCATGATTATCATCACATCAAATAACTGTTTCGGTAATTTAATTTCGTAAAGTGCAAGTTTCTTGAGTGGACAACACACCACGGGGGACGTTAATCTTAAAGTCTTGTTCATCAATGCCAAACAGTAAAATTACGATGATGGCAAGGGTGGAACCAGCACACAATTTTTGGGGGGAGGGCAAAAAAAAATTGGTATCCCCAAAAAGTTGGTCCCAAAAATGGCGGCGTTGGACAAAATTGTTTTGATTATAGATGCTCTGTGGTGCAATCTGAAGCAATTTCTGACCACTTTATAACCAAACCTTTTTGCAGTGCCTGCCTTTATTGCGATGTCACTTTTAAGAAAAAGTGCGTTCGTTTTCGGGGTTTTTTTTTTTGAAGGGGCGTGGGGCCAGTTTGTGATGTCCTAAAGCAACATCGCGTAACCTTTTTTTCTGTAAAAATTAAACAAAATCGACAATCACCTGGTCTCCCAAGCCGCCCTGTAGGGTGAGATATTCCTGGGGGTATGTTGCCCAGATCATAGCGGAGGCATTAACGCCTAACACCATCCGATTACCACCGTCAAAAGCGTTCAGTGCATCTGCACGAGTTGGGAAACAAACAGAGATCGATGTGAGTGGGTCATCAGATGATTCCTGGAGTGCTATGATCGGGATGGCAGCAGGGAGATTTTGATAAATAGTCTCAAATACTCATCCTAAGTTAAATGGGGAATGGTGACATCAATGAAACTGGACTTTCACATCCTCACGAGGCAATTAATAACCTAGTGTGAGTATCATCCGTTGTTCAATGGAACCCTCCCCCTCCCTCCGTAAGTATATTTGGCTTCATTTCGGCTTGTTTTTTTCGCGCCAATTACATTGTTATGGTTATATCGTTTTAATTATCTATTGTGTCTATTGTATCTATTATCCAATTGTGTTATATATTATGACCAATATAACTAGATCAAATTTCAGTTTGTTACAATAGTTATTTCTTGAGTAATCGTCCCAAAACCAAATCCATTGTTTTCAATCCATGGAAGTTGACTTCAATTAAGGTTTCGTTTTTCACGCATACAACACTACTTTCTTTTGGTTATATTTTTTTTTATTTGACCATTTCTCCCGATATTCGACAAAAATGTGTTACACATCACATAAAATTAATATATGACATTTTGAATTAATATTATAAGTAGTTCTGAATTTATTGTTTGGAAACCGAGTGTGTTATTTTGTGTCATGAGAGTTGGCCTAAATTCGTCTAGTATTTTTGCGCTAACCACACTATATTTTTATGGTTATATCATTTTAATTTTTTAACAATTTTTCTCGATATTCAATACAATTGTGTTATATATAACGACAAATAACTAGATAAAATTTCAGTTTGTTATTTCTTGAGTTATCGTTCGAAAACCAAGTACGTTGTTTTCATTCCATGAAAGTTGACTTCAATTCGGGTTGCATTTTTCGCGCATAAAACACTACATTCTTTGGGTTATATTATTTGTGATATTTCACCATTTCTCCCGATATTCCACAGAAACGTCTTGCATATCACATAAAATTAATACACGACATTACGATTCAATTTAACAACTACTTCTTGAGTTTTCGTCCGGAAAACGAGTGTGTTTGTTTTTGTTTCCATCTATAAGTTGACTTTAATTCGAATTTCTTTCAAAAGAGGGCGCGCTACACAAATACTGGTCCCCACTGTAAGAATTTTTGTCAACAGAAAAAAAACAGGTATTTCTTGGCTAATCGTCCACATAACGAATGCTTTGTTTTTTTTGTTCAGTAGTTAGGCCGGTTTTCAGAAGACTTTAACTTTGTCATTCACTGTATATATACTCAGTGTGTTACCTCCCGAGTGAAAGTTGGAAAAATCACTCGGGTGGGACTCGAACCCACGCCTCCTGCTTTCTAGTGCAGATGTCTAACCACTCAGCTAACAGGATCGGTTTGCTGGCATATTTTCTGGCATATATTTTCAAGTCATTTTCTAGTATATTTTGGCATATTTTCTAAGAAACACAACGTTCAAAATGCAATGTTTTTCGGGGTGCATGAATTTCACTTGACCACTGCTCTGTAAAAGCGTCAAAGTACGTAACCAGATTCAGTTTGTTAAACAACGGGGACGCTTAGGCCTTCGCAACCACACGGCTGTTTGCTGGGCAAGGGGATATTCCGTAGACTAGTAACAACCTTGATCTTGACGAAAGATAAAAGAGATCGGTAAACAGCTTAGTGATTAGGCTGGCTCAGGTTTCATCCATTTACCTTGACGTCACAACTATGGGCGGCAACCAGTCTAGCAGTAAGAGAACTCTGTTATCTAATGCACATCACTGCGTACACTCATCGTCTATTATTAAAAGTTAATATTCCCTACATGGAAAGTGACAATTTTGCGGTTTTTTACCGCTGGAATTTTGAATCAGAGATGGAATCGTAAATTGTATGAATATGGAAAGCTTTGGATGAACGCTTACCAAGGTAGACTCCGTAAAGACAGGCCGAGGCAGCAAACGCGCCAATGAACTGGGCCAGCACATACACGGGCAGTTTCTTCCAGCTAAACTTGCCCACCACGGCCAGGGCCAGAGAGACGGCTGGATTGATGTGACCCCCTGAGAACGAGGGAAGGGGTTAACAAAAGGAATATATACGTATCGTATCCAAATAAACACTGTACTAGTGTCGGCATTGATTTTCATTAACCCAGTGGTGTTAACTGCTTCAGGTTGCAGACCAGTAAATCGGTCCGAAATTGCCTACGTCGGCCAAATCAAGATTTGCATACCCTCAAAATATTCAGTATTTGAGAATACTGTGGGCCATGAACTGGAGGGTTTGTAAAAAAATATGGGTGGAAGCCGTGCACAGGACTGTGAGCTTGTAGTTCCGTTCAATTTGGATGAAATTGGGGCCCTAAAAGCGCTCTATTTTGCAATGGAGTGTAGGCATCGTTTTTCAAAATGGCGATGGGCTTCAGGACTTTTTTAAGGGGTGATCATCTTCGGATGGAGATTTCTCCTAAAAGTCATCAGTTGACCCCCCGTAAATTGAAAAGAAAATTAAAGATGATGAAATAAGCTTTAATTTGATGTGTGTCTCCAACACCTTGGAGAGTTGTGAGTATTTTTCCCGAATTTCTGAAGTGGGAGCATTTATCATTAGGGTCAATGGAAGTTTATTTACCGGTCTGGAACCTTCAAGGCATTGACCCGAAGCCATTTAACAGAAAAGTCTCAATTGAGACATTAGCAAAGAAGCATACGGTAGCAGCATAAGATAAGGTGTTGCTTCTGATTTTGGGCCATTGGCTTTACTCGACCAAAATCCCTGTAGAGATTATGTAACATTCAAAATTCCGCGGCGAGGCATGATGACAGTGTTTACCCTGACATGGCTTATCACAGCCCTTGTTTTGGTACATCCTGATTCCACTCCCCCCCCCCCCTTCCTCATCATCACTACCTTCAGCATTTCGTCGTAGATTTTTTTTCTTAATACTAATTAAAGCTCTCTATTACTGCCCCAAAAAAATCCTTACCACCAAGAAAAATACCCGACGCTCCTCTTAAATCGAAGGAATATGTGGTGTTTATAACGAGTTTCACCCTTCGACTTCGAGATTCCACACTGTATAAGAAATGGGCCCTTAGTCACACTCTAAATAGCCTTAAGGTTTTGTTTTGTTTTGTTTTTGTTTTTATTAAATCGTACTATTTTCCCTAACGTATACAGTAAAGTCGCCAGAGGTGCCTTCATTTTCAATGTAATATTTACCTGCGACTGTGTTGCAGTAGCGTCATTAGTGCAGGCCCGAGAGGCATGCCCCAAAATCAGACACTTTGAGGCCTGTCCCATCCTTTCTACTATCAAGCAGTTTACGAGGGAAATGGCCCGCGGCGTTCCCCCCCCCCCCCCCCCCGACCAAACGCCCCGCCCCAACCCGCCCTAAATACAATTTATGAGTTTCCAACCGAGGCGTAGACACCCATAGCCCAGGTTGATGGAGAAACCCCTCCGGACCCCCGACCCCTTAACCATACCCCTATCCATTCATCCATTCCATCTTAAACTCTCATATAGTTACAGACAACCACCGGCCCAGGATGATTGAGTGAAATTCTCCATAAGGCGCAGCCCCCACCCTCACTCCACCCCAGCATGTCCCCATACCACACCTCCTATCTCACACCAGTTACCCACCCCCAGCTTACCAGATATCCCAGCCGACGCGTAGATTCCCATGGTGACGGCCACCCACCATCCCAGGTTGATAGAGAGAAAGTCCCCGTATGCCTCTCTGCTCAGGACGCTTTGTGCTACGTTGCCATCTCCAAATAACTGCCGATTCACACAAAAATAAAGTCGCTTGTACATGGTTGTCAAACAGCAGTTACTCTTTGGGCATTGTTAGTTCTCCAAATTCCTAGTGACCCCAGGTGTCCCCCCCCCCCCACTAAAAACCTGACATGCGCCGCTTGCCAATGAAGTGTCTTTTTAAAGCTTTTTAAATTATCTTTTTTTGCGTGTATTGCAACAGAAGAGGAGGGAATGTTACTATTTTTACTCGATTTTTCTAATCCCCTTGATTCCCTTGACCCTACGGTTTTGTATAAATGTAAATAAATTTGTAATAACACAGAGCGCTCTCTAGCGTCTAAAGAAGTCCCCCCCCCCCCGTATCTCCCACCCGTTTTTCGAATTTACAGCGCGGTGCTAAAACATGAACATTTGGGGAAACGTTTCTTTGGGGTCCGTCTTTGGTCACCCCCCCCCCCCCATCCCCACCTTCCAAAACATGCTCGTGCCCCCTGGCCCACCCCCACCAGCAAAATCCTGGCTACTCCACTGACTCCAATTAGAGGCGATAAAAATAGCTCCACGATGGTTCAAGTCATATCGGGAGGCCAACTCAACTCGAAAGCCTCCCTGCCTATTCAACGTGCGCAGTGTTGATGTTCATACAAATTTTGAAGTTCATGTGTTGTTCCGTTTGAAAGAAAAGCGGCGAAAAAGTATTGTCCAAAAATCCGGAAATACACGAACACTACTAAGAAGAACGAAGACAAAACCAAAGGGTGGTGCCCTACATCCAAAAAGCCACCGGATTTCAAAAGAGCGATCGGATTGAACCCGATCACTTAAAACGAACGATTTTGTACCCGATCAACCACTTAATCAAATGCATCCAATCTGACTGTCAAAATTACCCTTGACTTAATTGCATCATCATGCCAGCAGGTGGATGATAAACTGGAAAAAGGCTGTGCTTTTAATATGACTACATAACAATTCAAGGCTTTCGGGTTTGACTTTTTTAACATGAAGAGGCATTGGGTTTTTTCATGCATTAATTTGTGAAGACGATCAAGTAGACAAGATGTTGTTCAAAAATATCTTCAAAGACCTTGATTATAACTTGGACCGACGAGGACAAGTATAAGTGACAAAAATCTGCAGACAAACATAATAATCATTATCTGTACCAGGTTACTAGGGAACAGAATAGTCATTTCAAGTCTAATTTTAAACTCCATTTTGCTACTTATCGACATCAAAAGATAATCTCCAAACCCCAGGACTGATCTATCAGATGGTAACATTCGCACTGGACTGCCATTGCACATAGACACTAAAGTTCTAGTTTTACAAATTTAACGTGATTTTTGATAATAAGGGCACAGTAAGCAGGTCCAACGGTCGTTTGTTCAACGTCCACACACACGCAAAATCAGCCACGCCAAAGAACGCATAGTTCTTCAATAGACACTTGACTTGTTTAACTAGTGTATTTGGACGAAAGATAACACTTTGGAGTTATCGCTTGCTAATACCGATAATATTGTGTTTACCAAAGGTAACTTTGTTCAATAAAATATGTGAGTCGTTCATGGGCGGTGATGGGGGCAGGTCCACCCTTAGTATAGGGACTATTAGAAATGGCATGCGGCCCAGAAAAAAAATATCTAATGTTTTTCACCAAACCCATATGTAAAACATCTTAACATAATGTGAAATGCACATTGCCCATCATGTGCACTAGATGAAATAACCATGATTGTATGATTTAGCAAGCAACTTTATCGAGCCGCATACGTGTCCTGAACGTATAATGATCCCTAATAAAAATTCTGTTCCGCGGTGTGTTTACGCCATTAGGTCTAACTGCGTAACTAATTTTGGTATGGTAGAATCGTGGAGCAATTGAAGCTCCGAAATATTAATGATCTTTGCAGATAAATCACACGTTGTGTGTAGGCCCATGGGTCGAGGCACTGTCGACTACGCATACTGTCGACTACATACGGTTGCCGATAGCCCACTGACGGGTGTCTGTTTAGGTTAACTTTGTTATTATTAGGGAACAGAATAGCCATTTCAAGTCTAATTTTAAACTACTTAATCACATGCATCCAGATAAACACACTATTATATGTGTGGCTAAATTTATTTTCCAATGTACAAATCTTAAGGAGAGGCAAAGCATGACGTAATTTCAAAGCATATTCTTTGTTAACCCACCTGCCAAATAATCTAATGTTTAATTTCACTGTTGTAACCCTTCCCCAGGGTCATGGGGTTTGTTCCTATTTGTGAAATAAAACATAACATAACATAACATAACATTATTATACGTGTGGCTGATCCAAGCCATGTGCAAAAATCCCTAGCACGAAATTTGATCCTTGAATGAATAAGCCCATCAAGTATAATGAAACACATGCAACATTTTTCAAATCACAAATAAATGAACAAGGAAGCCTCATGAGTGGAAATTTGTACAATCTACTCAATCCTTAACAGTGTGTATGCCTGTTTTCGATCGGCAGGATCGTTCCAAAAGATACCGTGAGATTGGCATACAAAATGAGAATATGCTTCCCAATTGACGTTTGTTTTGAATCAGTGGACGCACTAATACATACACATTTTGATAACGTATATTTATAGGGCTTTATCATGTGTGCAACAAGCTGATACTGATACTCACCATCAAAACAAAAGTTCCTAAAAACTCCGCCAAGAATTCCTTGACCCACTGGTTCTTGATCCTCAGATGCTGCGTCCACGCCATGGCGCAAACTCTCTCAATCCTCCAAAAGGAAACTCCCCTATCTGTAACTCTCTTCCAGTGTTAGCCTATCCAGCTTCCCTTAAATGTTGGGGTTTTTTTTCTTCGTTCAGCTGTTTGCATGTATCTGTAGAAACGTTCGTGGTCGTCACTGAATATTACAGGCCGATATACCCTCTGTTGTGGCAAAAGTAATAAGTTGTCATGACATTCCTCTGGCATAGATCATCTGAGCCAAATGTAAACGTGTACCCGATGCTACACCCTGACAGTCTAGGGGCACGTAAACAGAGTGTTGATCAGAGTTTGTTATCCAGGTCAGTGTGGGTCTAAAATATACTGAGCCTGCGAAATATTTATGCCCAGAACTTTAAACTTTGTTCCATGTGCACCGATGTCTGACCTCCGTATGTCATGACGATTGCTGATTGATGCTAGAGGGCCTGCTCGTTACTTGTCGGTATATGGGTAAACTTGTTGTCTTGTTATCATCGTGTGTAATCGCGTCTGTGTGGTTTACGATTCAACAACGCCCTCCGTCGCACCTAATACCAGGGCCCTATATCTTCATTATACTCTTTATTCTGCAGGATATCAGGAGCGGCAATTTCGTGTCAATAATAGGGAAGGGGAGCTGAGCAGATTTGGGAAATTCGAAAAGTGGTAGAGTGAGACTGAGAGGAGGATGGACACCATTCTTTGCTTAGTTACAGCGATATCACAGAAGTTATGCTACAACCCCGTAGAACGCGTGCGTATGCTTATACATGATGTAAGCATGAGCATGAATGCCCAGCGGCCAGAACTATTTGCGATATTTACGATGAAAATACGCTTATAGCGATGAGGCTTGATCCCTTATTGTACGCTGAGCCCCAAATTTGACTCATTGGAGCACTTGTGTACGGTCAATTTCCTATGGTGTTACTTCTCTTATTTCGAAAGAGTGAATGGAAATTCACTACATCCGAGGCAACCAAATGAGCTTCAAGCTTCGACAATTTTTCAAAAATTACATTGAAATTCCTTAGAAAAAGTTACAGGGAATTAAATCTTTGACTACCGTTTTCTTCCAGAGATTACCTGGGACAAGTTGCCCCATATAACAGGGCCATGATAAATGATAGAAAATGGCATGAACAGTTTGTGGAACATGAAACGACTTTCCGCACTAAAAACCTTTGGAAAAAAACTAGCGTGTCTTATAGAAACCTCATCTATTTGCGACTATAGTGCCATGAGCACCATGGGTCAGCGACTCTCTTGCCTATTGGGTTAATTTGCAAACTAGCACTCCAGTGATAAATACCCCCACTTCCAACAATCAGAAAAAGACTCACAATACTCCAAGGTGTTTAAGATACACTTCAAATTTAAGTTTGATTCGTCATCTTTGGCAGAAATTTCCATCCAAAGATGACTACCCCTAAAGGTAGTCCTGTGAAACCCATCGCTCTTTTGAAAAATGATGCCTACGCTCCATTGCAAAATAGACTAATAGAGCAATATTTTATGGCCCAATGTCATCCACATTTCACAGAAATACGAGCTTGAACTCTTGTGCACGGCTTCCAACTATCATTTTTACAAGCTATCAAGTTAATGTTCTAATAGCAAATAATTTTAAGGGCATATAAATTGTGACTTGGCCCGTGTAGGCAACTCTGGGCCTATATACAGGTCTACACCATTATGACCTCAGCTGTGTTCAGTTGCGCCATCTCGCGGCAAGACAGAGAAAATACGTGACATGACAGCGCCACCAATAATTTGCAAAATTCTTATCATTTTAAGTTTTGATCAGTCACGATGTATGGTTAAAGTATAGACCATTATCATGTTGCAGCCATTTGGGGTTTTCTCCCTTGCAGATTAATGTAACCAAAGCGAGGCTGGAAGGAAAAATAGTCTGGTCCCTTTTTGCACAAACACATTATCATTCAGTACTGTTATTGGATACAGGGAACATGACTAAAATGATGGGAGCTTGATAAAGGTCTATTAATGGTCCTCAATTGAAAGAACAAAAAAAAGTCTCATTTGGCACTGGAAGACGTATTTTAAAACATTTTAAAGAGATTATGTGAATGACTTCATTTTGATCATACTCCTGCTTGCCAAAAAAAAAAGAACAAAGACGATCAAATTAATATGCCAAACCGTGAGAACTGCTAATCCCAGAAAAATTGTTTGGAAGAGCCTAATTGGTGCATGATGGCCTATGCACGAGATTGATTCAAATACTCCCCCATAAGTATAACTTCGTTGGAGCATTTTAACTCCACGTTGCAAGGAGTTGATCACAGTTATAATCAAGGCATTAAACGCGGTCCCGCACCTTGTCCGGGCAGTGGGCACTGATGACCTGTAATTTGTTAGAGTTTCCACTTTGGACGGATTTCATCTGGTGACCAGGTCAACCTTTCTGAGCTGCAGTTGGACGAATTTACATATGACCTGTGTAAACAGGGGTAGATCCAGCTTTGGCTGGGGGTGTTTAGCTGCATGTCAAGGGAGGGGGGTTAAAAATAGCAGGCATGCGTGCTACGTTTTATTCAGCACGATGTTTTCGGCCGGCGGGTAGTCTTGGTCCGAGACGTTACTATCTAGTGTTTGTGTAGACTTGTCCCCCGTCCCCTAAGGGTGCAACCCTGTATTAAAATTCCCATATACATCAGTCCTAAATGACCATACTTCAAAATTCTTTTTAAAATGCTCAGAACTCTCACAAGTATTTGAGCTGCACAGAAGAATGATGATGAACATAATTATCATCTTTCATTTCTTGATCATTGACTTTTTGAGAAATTCTCGGCACCCAAAGAAGACGATCCCTATTTTTCCCAAAGCGGAAAAGTAGCCATCTTGAAAAACGATCCCTTCACAACATGGCAAAATAGCGCCGCTTTCGAGCCCGATAGCATCCAAAATGCTCACAATTGGAAGCCCCAAGTCCGGGCCAGAGGTTCGTTGCCATATCTTTTTGATTCCCCAATTTTATGGCCAGCTCTCATAACTCTCTAATATAGTATATTTGTTGGTATAACTTTAACTCATGAGCTCCGCGGATGGGTTTTGGCCTATTTACTGGTATGTTACCCTAAAGTCCGAAGGACAATGGAGGGACCGGGAACCATGTGACAGTTTGTGGCGCGTGGACATGTGCACACTTTCGCACTTTAAAAAATATTCAGTCAACAGAGGGCGCAAATTATTTGCAGGACGTGCGTGCTATTTGATGACGGACAGTCAATTATCAAGCCTTGAAACAACGTCCGCGTTCGCGGGCGTATTTTTTTAAAAAAAAATTGCGAAATACAATCAATGCAAGAAAGAAAAATTGTGAAGGCCTTGGAACTTGAAGACTAGTCTTGCAAATATCTATTTCGTTGGCAATCATTTTGTGAAACGGAACGATCGGTCACCTTTGGAAAGTGCGGTGGGTGCCAGCGAATCTAAAACCGTACCCAGCTAATCACCGCCCTCAATAAACCAAACCTCGCGTGAAAAGACTCGCACATCAACGGTAAACAAACAAGAGTCCGAGTGTTGACTACCGCTGCATCATCCATGCAGGAAACAGTCTGGCTTTTGTGTCATGTACTGTGTTGTCATCCCCGAATGCACGCATGGTCGCACACGGGCTTTTCTGCACCAACTTGACATCTCGTCCGTGCAACTGCTGCAATTTATTCCCAAACGTTTCACACTTTTTCTCCGTGCATGAAAAATGATGAAATGAACCTGGTTATCCAACTCGATTTTCGGGACTACAATCAAAGAAACTGATTTGCAGTGCAACCTAGACCTGTGCGCGACTGTCTGCTTAGTGCCAGTCACGGTGTATGTGCGGGACATGTGCGGAAACTATTACTGTTCGATGGAGCTGAACAATTTCTATTGATTCGTCCATTCAGCAAATCGTCTGGTCGACTGGGCTTGGGGCTGTGATTTTAATGGCGGATATTACAATCCTCGAACGAGGAAACTGACAGGTACGTTTTAGGTTCATTCATCTTAAAATTTGCCCCAAATGTATTGATATCGAAATTCCAGAAAATACTTCTTGTCACTCTGCTCTGAGTCAAACAACGTCTAGTGCGGTTTGACTTGTCTGCAGTTGTGGAATCCTATTACTGTCCATGGCAACAACGTGTAAAGACAGATTATAGTGCCTCCTCTCGCACTGACAATTCGTAACAATAATCGTTAGACGGTTCAGTATTAAAACGAGGAAAGAAGTTTGTAAGCCCTCAGTTACAAAAAAATATATGAATCCAGGAATTTATTGTGTGATGGGTTTGGTATTTGAATCCGAACAAAATGTTCACATTATGTTTGTAATGAATCTTCGTTTTAAAATCTGTATACTGCGTCTACTGTTCTTGAAGACATTATCGAAAACATTTGTAAATTATTACACAAAGAACCCGTCAAAATAGTTTATAATTTAACAAGACATTAAATGTTATCTGAGTGGGCGGATGACGTTTAATTAATTTGCTTCGTTATGTCAATTTGCTCTTTGATTTTGAACATCAGTCTTCTCCTAATAGAAATTGTGCAGTAAAAAGCACTCAACAATTTTCAGGTTTTCGGCGCTTTCTTTGTTGACACTAGTGGCCACCTCCATTGCTATCTGTGAAGACCCAAAGGATGGCCGCTATGTTTGTCAGAATAATGAGTGACGGGCTTATCTAGAATTAATCGGTTTGTAAAAGGTCGTGTACTATTTTGTAATTGGATGTTTATTGGCAAAGAAATAGTTGTTGGTGCAAGCCTGTTGTATCTGTTCTACATTTAGAGGATCCTGTTATCTACTCCAAAAATCGCGCAGTTCTGGACCCCAAAAAGCAAAAATTATGAGCAGACTTTAAACTTCCATGGGATATATTCTAGTACAGTTCATGCCGACGTCAGGCCAATGTTCAAGTAGGCCCTAAAACATTACCGGGCCATTTATCAAGTTCTTCAGCTTTCAAGCGTCATCTCCCACCGCGACATTGGAGTGTTTTATATATTTTCTTTTTATTTCACCACCGCCACATTCCAAAATCATTTTCCGAACACAGTCAAATCGTTCAGTTCAATCTACACCAGTTGATTACGTCCATATATCAATACATGTTTGTCTCAGCGATAATTCTTTATAAGAAATGTCTCTTTAACGTGTGAGGGATTAGTAGATAATGCTTTGCTTATCTTTTGTCGGTTGCAGCATTCGTCCCATTGCGTACTAAATGCGAACGTCCTCTAGAATAAAGGTAAGACATCTACTTTGTTTCAAAAATACTATAACTACAAGATCGTGTGTCCGTTGTGGAAACAGAGGCCAACATTCATAGTGCTGTAAAACACTCATTGTTGCACATAATACAAAAATAAGTATCTAGCCAGATATCGTGTCAATGTCATTTCGTTTTGCTTGCATTTCTTAAATTCATAAATTGAGTTATCAGGCCTGCTACGATTGTCGCATGTTTCCTCCTTTGTTTCAGAGCTTTGTGTCGTCTTAAATGTTGTCTTAAATTTTATCCTTTTTCGTATCTTTCAAATACATGTACTACAAAACTAAGCTACAAGTACTAAGTGTGGAAATGGACCCCACATTGAAGTAAATGTATTTCTTTTTCCCCCGACTGCGTCTTGAAAATACTGCACTGCGTCAAACACATTTTCAAAAGTGTATAATATCGTTTGGAGTGTTTTACTTTTGGAATTTTTTATTTCGCTATTATGACTCCCGAAAAAAGTGGGCAAAAGTACACTCCCAACGCTGGTTAAATTTACCCATATTTAACCAGCGTTGGGTAAAATGACACATTTTAACCAACTGTTGCTTACCAGGTGAACAGCTCAACAGTTGGTAAAAAAAAAAAAAATACCCAACGTTGGGCAAAATGTGCCCAACGTTGGGTAAACGTTGGGCGAAATTGGAAAATTTTACACAATGTTTGTTTTATATTTTATTAAACCAACATTTTTAACCAACCAAATTTTAACCAGCGTTTTGAGAGTGCATCATCAAATAATACATAGTTTTGGTCAAGCCCGCTAGAACAAACTTTTGCCAGGGGGTGCTGGAATTTCTAAAGGACGGACAAAATTAATGCGAACGCGGAGTGCAAAGCCCTTACGGCGTGGCTTAAAGGGCCCCTAAAAGTTTTGGAATATGGATGCTCTGTGGTGCAATATGAGGCGATTCCTAGCCACTTTCATATGACTTTTTTAGGAAACGTTTTTTGAGATTATAAAGACAATTTATTTCACTTTTTTGTTTAGAATATACTGTTTCTACTGTACTGAAAAGTCGAAAACCCTGTATTTTTATCTCCATTATTTGTTCCATTTAATTCTGGAAAAAGAATTGTATCATTATGCATGACATCGCATGTAAATATTATTGTTGCTAGGCTGCTTTCTTACATTTAGTAAATTCCGTCGTGTATGTTTTGTTTTATTTTCCGAGCCCTTACGGCGTGGGGCCACAGGGCCAGGGGCCTGCATTAAGGCCCCTGAAAATGTTGGATTCTGGATGCACTGTGATGAAATATACTGAAGTATATACTTAAACTTATAAAACGCGAAAGGATGTTTTTTGGTTCAAGTTAAAACAAAATGGTTCCACTGGAAGCGGATGAATTTCTGTTCATAAAAATATTCACATAGGCCTAAACGATGTAGCTCTTGATATATTTGCAGTGTTATTTGTTTGTTACAGGGAATGGCAAATATAAAAGACTAACAGACCAAATGCATCTTTATGTTTATGATCGGTAGGTGGCAAGTTTGTGGCTAGGCAAGGATTTATCGGTCTACTGAGTTTTTATGAGAAAAAACTTGAAGAGGGTAACACATGAATAGCTTTTTTATTAAAACGAAACTACACTGGAACTAGTTTCAATGGAAGCCCGTCCCACTCCTATTAGGTTGGGATGTGTGTGAACCTTGCTATTTGTTAATGTTGAGTACAGAATGCTAGCAACGTCAATGAAACTTTTAAATGAAAAGAAAAACCTTCAGGGGAAAGGTATGAACATTTGCCCCTATTGAAAGATCGAATGAAAAAAATCGTGGCAAGCATAATCAACTTTGCCACCATTGTCATGGCCGAGGTTATTGCTTTCGGGTCAAAGCTTCCATCATGGCAGAAATATCATAGACATGTCATGATTTTAGATACATTGAGAGAAATAACGATTCTGCACTGCCTGAAGATTTAGAAAATACCTCCTCCTGATATTTTACAGTGTTACTTTGTGCTAGACGTTCGAAGCGCAGCGCTTTGCCGCGGCAAAACTAGAAACGAACAAAACGAAGGAGATATTTGTAGAGGAAGCATAATGTATAGCGCAGCGGCGCAATTTCAACGTCCTAGAACACTGCTGGCTGGAACACATTTTTGCCCGGGAGTACGGGGTGCTGAAGCATATTTCAGCACCCCAATCCAAAAAGTTGGGGGTGCTGCACCCCCCGTTCCTGCGGGCTTGGTTTTGGTGTATCATTTATTTCTTTAACAATTCTGTTTTTGTTTGTGGATAACATGCTCCATTTGCTTTGCTGTAAATTCAGACTTTTACAAACGCCACAATCCATGCCCTTTGGCATGCACAGACAAATATTTTTGACTGAGGCAGACACTGCATGCAAACAGCACCAAACACCTCAGAGAATAAAACACACGAAACATACCATGCCGCCTCTAGCAAATGACAATAGAACAAGGTACTGCGTAGGGGAGCAAAAACTCGTTTAGAGTTACGAAACTTAATATCAGTTTATGACTGGCTTGCCAGGGTTCAAGAATTTTATAATTGAAGTGAAACTTCACCTTTTTTTTCTCTGCATGTGGACACCAACCATGTTTTCAAAACAGAATAGCGTCTGGACAAAGCTAGTGGATTAAAGTGATATTGATTTCACTATTGGTATTGGGTTCTTTCAATCGATCCCTGTAAATGAATAACAGTAATATCGATTTTAATGTGTATCGTGGCTTCAATTCACGAACACTTTATTTCGGAGAGACATTTTCTGTGTCGAAAAACCAATGCATGATAGCGAATTTAATTAAACACTTCTTCATTCTTGAACAATGCTTGTGTATCTGAGTTTTCGAGACCCTTAAAGACAGGTGTGCACGCAAAAAAAGACCTCTTGCCGAACAGTATTCCAGTCTTTTACTGACTGTTATGGGCTTTGTAATTTGTTTTCCAGCTATATTGTCCCCTAATTCCCTGTTTCTGAAACATCAAAGCATAATCGTGTTTTGCATTCCCACTTTAGCAATCTGACTTGTCCAGTCGCCAAAAGTCACACAATACACGCGTGCATTGGTGTCGAGGTGTCTATCACTACTGTTATTTCACACTCTAAATACGTATCTCTCCATAATGAGAACCGTTATCGATTTTAATTTCCTGTCGCTATTTGCCTCCGTTGTGTGATCAGTCGCTTCGAGGAACGAAGTCAAGAGAGTGCAATGTGTTGTCACAAAAAAGACCTTTTGGAATGGATCGTAGGCTAGGTCACGTAAAAAAATTATCTACAAAACATGTGCACACTGGGTAAAATGGGAATCTGTACATGGTTTTCTCTTTGAAGTTATAGCTGTCTTCGATAGAGGCGAACACGAAAGACTGATGATAGTGATAGAATTTTAACGATGAATAATCTCAAAACCTTGGTTATAACTTGCGAACTTACGCGACAAAGCAAATCAAACTGTACTAGTCTCCCAAAGTTGAAAATGGTATGGTGAAAAGTCTCGCGGTATATCAATGTAGTAGCGCTTCATATTGCAACAACTCAGTGTCGCAGTGACTAATCGCTCTAAGCTTCATCCTTTCACTAGGTCTATACAGTCCTCAAGATAAATCCCTTTTAATCTTCTCTGATAAAAGGGGCCTGCGTACTCTAATTAAGCATGCAGTAAACCCATGAGAGCCGAATCAGATTATAGATTGCGTCATAATACTAGTCATTATTATCGTAAAAGGGGTCCCGTCACTTTGGCGGAAAGGTCCGTTCATAGGCAAATATCCTTCTCTTAAGATGCAGGACATTAGAAGTGGTTATACCACAAAGGGCTTAATAGTCTTCAATCACGAATCTGGCATATTCAATTGAAAGCGAGGTAAACTCTTCATTTTTGAAACTTGCGAGTAGAAATGAAAGCAATTCGCTCTTTTCTTACTTCCGCCATGGGCATGCAGAGCCTCGATCTGTTAACTTTACACAATAAATATAGCCGGTTCAGTGATTCCCGTGTCGGGGTTCAGATCACTGAACCGGCTATTTTTATTGTGTAAAGTTGCCAGATCGAGGCTCTGCATGCCCAATGGCGGAGTGTGAAAAGAGCGAATGACATGGAAGTTCAATAAAAGTGAATACCAGTCTGCTCTGATGAATAATTAAAATGTACGATTAAACATATACCCTAATGTTTTAAACCACATTTGAAAAAAATCAAAGTGAGGCTTGGCACGCACCCAATCATAATCTGGCACCATCCCATTCAACAATAAAATAGATTCAGGAAATATGTTCGAAGATGGCTTCCTCGTTGAGCAGAAATTATTTTGCTGAGAATTGTTTTTATGCTAAGCATGTAGGCCTAGCAGTTGAGAACCAGTCATAAGTGTTATATATTTCACGCAATTTTGGCTGGTCATCGGTGTCTGTGCTTAGCAATTATCTCTGCTTAGCAGCTTCATAACTTCGGCCCGTGTGTCAATCGAAAATGGTTCTATATCAGATCATAGGGTGGGTCGATGGTCGAACCTCCATGGTCCAACCAAAAACAAGAAAATGTAAAATCTGCTTTCCGATTAGGCATAAGTGCAACGCACCATCAGTAACTGCACACTATTCACACACCAAAATAGAACTTGAAAGCGAGTTCAAATTGTGATCGTGCAGCTTTATAGTGTGATTCGGAAATTGAGTTTTTGCCGGAAACAGGTGGAGTACTGGCGTTCGCTTTCGCATAGAGAGCCGTTTGTTCTCACCGACGAGGCAATTTTGCTCCCTTCATTTGACAACTGCGAGTGGGGGCTTCATCATGGGGCCCAGGGGTGGGGCTTGTGCCCCTCCACACCCCACCACCCCCCCCCCCAAAAAAAAACCCAAAAAGAACACCCCCCCCCCCCAAAAAAAAAAGTCGATAAAAACTGCATACGGTGCCGATTTTCTACTGAGAAATTAGACTGCATTATTTGGGTAAAACCAGGCAATGGAAACAAACTAACGGAAATCGTATGAGGATGTAATGTGAAATGGTAACATAGGATACCGTACTCAATCCAAGTCCCACAAAACACAATGTGATTTTGTTTGGCTATTTTTATTTGTATCCGCTTGACTTGCGTCTACGTCAGACGTTAAACACCGTTGCTAGTTAACACCGAGAGCTGGGTAAATATTACCCGCGGGATCTCATTCATACAGCTCACGGCCTTTGTCAATAAACGCGTCTTTCATTGACTTCTGCTGATTGTGCGTGCGTAAACAAAAATGGTTTTGAGTGCGGAATGATACCCTTTTAGTTTGTCAATTCCAGCGAGATGTTTGTCGAATAATGTTACCGTTGAATTTTGGACTTGCTTGGTAAATCAACAGGTGCAGTTAGGAAATAACAGGTTGTGTGTGAGGCGAAGGGTAATAAGGGTTCAAATTTTCACCATTTTTTCGACTGATTATAATAATGATGTAGATAACAATTATTTCAGAAAATGCTATGCCGTAAAATTCACATCTCAACAGCAATCACGAAAGCCAATTCTTAACCCCTTAAAAAATATTAAAATATTTTGCAGAACGCAGCCGGTATAACTTAGTTCTTGGGAATTCTTTTGAATCTTATTACGATGACAATGTATTGTTTTCAGTCAATCAAAAAAACTGACGTAACCCAAATCCAGGATCTTCTTTTCGACAGATCGAGTGGGCCACATCTGGTTTAACATTTCTTTTCACTAAAGAATATATTAAGTTTAAGAGGTCAGTCAGATTGATAATGTGTACGCAGTCAGAAGAGAATCCGTTCCCAGCAAATTATATGCTGAGGTCCTTGCCACGATACGCTAGGTTTATGGGCAAATGAAAAGCCTCAGTTTTGAATCTAGAGATGTTTAAAGACGCCGTAAAAAACTTGCTTTTCCGACATTTCAAAACTGGCAAATGATCATATTCAGTGATCGTAGATATGGACGCGAGGTTAGCTGTTCAGTGAGATATATGATCCGTTGCCATTTTTTCTCTGAATGTCTGTGTTCCTTTTGGTTAATGCTTTGTTTGTTAATTCATTTGTCATTTTGTTTTTAATTGACTATTTTAAGTATTTATTGTAACCTAATATTGTTTGTTTGTGTTTGGGATATTTTTTATTGTAATGTTTGCTTGTCCTTTTTTTCATTTTCAGTTTTGTCTTGTTCTGTTGATTTGTTTAATTTTTCACACGCACATACCCTAACATCTCCAAATTCATCCTCCAAATTCATCCAGAGGGATACAACTTTTGTTTGTGACAATGTGAAATTTAGTTCTAAAGTTTTGTTCGTATTTCTGTGTTCCGTTCTCTCTACAGGTACCAACGCTATTGTCAGCTTCCACGAAGTGACGATCAATGAACAGCACTGATGACATCAGATGGTGAACATCTTCATTGAAACTACTTGAGAGGGATCTCTGGACTTGAGCAAACAGATTTTATGACTTTAAGGAGCTGGCCGGATTCAGTGCCTTTTTAGCGATTACACAGTAGAGGTATACCGTGTCATCGTCACATCTCCATAGATCATAAAGACACTGCCATGAAGAATGGCCGGTCATTGGTGTGAGATACTTTGGACTGCAGATTTCTCTGTTCGATTCCTGAACTTTACACCCATCCAGTCAGGAAAATACCCAAAATCGGGCTGAGTCATGAGTGTTGAAGCCATGATGCCGCACGATAGCCGAAGTCTACCGGCTATCAGTCAGCGACGCTCCAGCTCTCTTCAGGAGGGTTTCCGGGTTGCTGGCGACCGCCAGAACGCCGTTGAGGTTGTCGGAGCTGTGGCGAGATTCACTGGCGGCCCCTACTCTCAGCGGACGGATAGTAGTGGCAAATCGAGCAGTGGGAGTGATAGTCGAGTTTCGGAGTGCTCCGAGCACAGATCCGGACAAGGAGCTGCTAAGACTTATTCCGGTGGTGGGGCGAGTCAACTCTTGATCCGAGACAAGATTCAATTGAACGGCGGTACGGCGTCCGATCGGCAAACTCGCAGCTTCCTACCGCGCCTCATCGACGACCAGGGCCTTCTAAGAGTTCCCAAGCCGGAAAAGGAGCGGCTCACATTCTCTTCCAGGTCATTGGAGATCTTCCCCAGTCGGGACCTGATCTCAGAGGAGCTTCGGATGCGGACAATCTCCCTGCCTAGCCTGGAGAATCGCCGAAAACACTACGGCCGGCGTAACCCCGTCGTGTCGGACCACGAGGAAGAAGACGGTTACACGAGTTATACCACCGACGATTCAAGCGATGGGGAGGAGAACCCAATCGTCGAAATCGACCCCTTTCCAAACGTCGGTGCCGACTCCTACCTTAACAGTCGTTTACTCCCCGACTTCCTGCCTCCCTATCTCAAACCATGGACCCCTGGGATCCGTAAGACCAGACGTAAGCGGAGTCACAGGAGCGAAGAGGCGGAAAGGAAGAGGAAAGAGCTGGAGGCTCTGACGGCTAAAGAACGCAAGAGGAAGGCACATGGTAATTCGCGCCCTAACCGGCGGAGATCCGTCCGGAGCGACGCCTTCGCCAGGAAGAGGGAGAGTGAAGCGGCCAAGAGACACCCAGTCAGAAAACAATTCGTCTACTCGGAGCTCGTTCAAGTCGAACTGCAGAAACTCACTCCCAAGCGATTACCGGGAGGCAAACTTAAACCCATCTACGACCGTCGGACAAAAGAGGGCGACATCGACATTCCCAGGGAACTCCGCATTTCCATGGACAGCTTGTCACTCAAACCTGGCGAGAACCGAATCGATTTCTCAGACTCGCCGGCAGCGATCAACAAAAGAAGGAAGCAAGAACTACAGGCCTTGCTGGAGAAGAGGAAGAAACTCCAGCGCCAGATGGTTCACAAAAAGAAGCGAAAGGTCCGCTTTGTCCTCCCAGACGAAGAGAAGCGTAGGCATGAGGTCAGCGCACAGGTCAACGTTGCGGGCGGTATACAAAACGAGACTCGGAGTAGGAGTACGTCACCAGGTCAAAGTTCAAACAATGACGTCGAGGAGGCTTCGAATTATATCGCCGAACAAAACAAAACTGGACGTGAAACTTCGCCCAACCAGTTAGACAATCGCAATCCGGAAGAGTTCGTTAAAGACGATGAAGGACGCGAGTGCAGAATGGATCGAACTAATAGCTGGGTGGCCAGTCACACATCTCATAACTCACTTGTAATCCCCAGCAACACCAAGCCTGACCAAGAAGACACTAATAATGTCCTCCCAGCTCAAAATTCAATCGTACTCGTGCCTGAGAACGTTAGCCAATCAAGCCGAAGTCGCCAATCAGTTACAAGCGGCAGTTCTAAATCGCCGCTTGATCCAGACATCTCTAAAGACAGTGCAGTTATCTCGGATTTCAACTCGGACTACCAACTCGATGGAGCCCCTTCCAACACTCGAGATACCTCATCAGCGGAGAAACGAAGACATCTCTCCGTGGGGGATGACGTGGCACAGGCCGCTCAACTCAACCCTCTGCCGGGGAAACGGCCGGACTCGCCCCTTCTGAAAGACGACGGTGTCTTGGTGGCGGACGCTCCGGTCATCGCAGAGTCCGGTGCCGTACGGGAAATCAAGTTCCTCTCAGAACGACTCCCAAGTATCATTATCTCGGATACGTGAGACAATCACAAGGGCAGGTCTTAGTGAAGTTTTATTGGAAGGATGTAGTTGGGGGAGGAGCGACAGAGTTCGAAATTAAAAGTGACAATCCGTTTTGAAGAATTTCTATAACTGGTAATTTTTGCTTTTATTTTAGGACTGTTTTCTTTAATCTCAATTACGATAATAAAAAAAATAGGTTCCACTCTCCGCTCTGTATCACCGACCGAATGCTAGATACGTCACAGACTAAAACGATGCGTTCAGTTTGTGAATCTTGTTTGCAACTACATTGTACTCGTGAAAGATTTTACAGCAAATTATGAAAGATCGAGCGAAACACTTACCAATAGATTTCCTATGATTTTCATATTTATGCGTTTTCTTTTGGTAGTTCCTGTTCAAAGAAATAAAGATCTCTAGAATTAAATTGAACATTTTATAATGTAAGTCATATGATGAGTTTCGACTCTATTCCTTTTAGACCCATTGTTAAAACTAAAATCTTGAAATGAACCACGGCCCTCCGAGTTTAACAAATTCCAATGATTGAAAATTATTTAGGCCTAACTGCTTAGAATTTGAAAATACTATTTTGCATTTTTGTGAATATCTATGGAAACTAGGAACCTCAGATTCTCTTAATTTTGATCTGAGGTTACTGAGTAATATCGTTCTGTTTTGTTTCTCGAATAAGGCTCATTGACTCTGGAATTATGAGTTCACTGTTCCATATTTACTATGATTAAATCATTGAAAGGTATACGCACACTGTACAAAAAAAAGTTAGGCAAAATGGGTTGCTAAACTGGTCGAATTAGCACTGCCTACACTCTTGGGCAAATTCTTCCCAATAGGCCAATTCAACCCAATATGAGGTAATTTCATGCCAATGCTGGGTAAATTACATTGCCCAACAGTGTTTTATCCAACCTTTTTACAGTGAGAGCATAAATTTGCTTGGCGTCAATTTTTCTCGCCTGAAACAACTTAATTGCTCAAACAATAGGGTGCATATTAATTAACTAACTTGTTGAAGATTTAGATCAGTGGCTGCTGTATATTTTGAGAAAAACAGGTTTGCACAATAATATTTTGGGGTTTCGTTACTGTATTCTGTAAATCACTTTTTAAACCCAGCTTCAGTGATTTTTTTTCTTCTGAACGTTTGTGTGAGAAGATTAGGCGTAGAAACGGAATTGTAATTTTTCCAGAACTTCAGTATAGTGAATAAATAATCTTTGGTATTCTGCATTGCCTTAAAATGTCGCGTGTGTGTTTGGATACATTTTGCTAGAATTTTAGTGATATAAGATACGGTTTCATTTTTCCCACCATGTCACGCGAAGATCAATAGAGGTCGCTATTTTTATGACACATGATGCCTCAATACGGTTCCCACTGCCGGTGTGCCTATCAAGGGGCCCTGTTCCTAGTAATACTTGCGCGTGCATAAAATATTCGACGGTTGTATATATATATCCTTTTTAGGATATCGACAATCATAGGGGTACCAGCGAAATTTTAGACAAGTTTCTGTTCCGAGTGCAAACATGAGCGTCGCCAGGATAATTTCTAGGAACGGGGAGGGGGAGGGGGCAAAATCACGGTTAGGCCAAAAAAAAAATACTCGGTCTCTGGTCAGACCAAAGTTCCGGAATTGATGCGGCGACGCGGCTTTTTTTTTGGGGGGGGGCTTTTTATTTTTTTTTTTCAAGCTTGGATTGTACAGACAAGGTGGGGTACTATTTTGCTTTTTTTTTTGGTGTCCTCATGTACATTGGTGTCCTCCATAATTTGCCTTGGGGCCCTCGATCATTTGCCTTGGTGCAATTTCCCATTCCTTGGTGCTCTTTGGTAAAAAAAAAAAATGAGGAGGTGCGGCAATAGAGGGCGCTGTTGGAGCTACCGCGGTACATTTTGGAAAAAAAAGATTGACGCGCATGATTAAAATCGACGCGCGCGCTGACCAGAGACCGACTTATTGGGGTTTTTTGGGCCTTAGCCAAATTTCCCGACAAGCCCTCCGTGCTGGAAGGCAGCTAAGAAGTAATCATGACCACCGCAAAATCAGAGGGGGGGGGGGGGGGGGGGGGGGGGGGGGGTAAGGGGGTGATAGCATCTGACTGCAGAGGACGCTCTTCAAAGTGGACAATAATTTGGTTTGTTCGTAATGATGGTTAAACCATCATGAAGGTAATTGAGCGTGCGAGGGTAATACAACTAGTAGCGGTTATGAGGTGATAATTAAAAATTAATTATAGTACTTGACTTGACGTCGCCCCTCTTGTCTTCTTTGTTATTTTCTTTTTTTTCCGTCTTGTTTTTCAATTTCCCGGGGAAATACCCCCCCCCCCCCGCGACGCCCATGAGCACAAACCGTTCTTTCGAATTTTCAACTGAAGCATGTTTTGTAGAGTGTAGCTTGATCTCATCTCCTTTGTGATTACAAGAGAAAAGGCAAATTGTTTTATGCCCAACTAAAGGAATCGTCAAATCTTGATTTGCACGTGCGCAATTTAAATGTCAAACTTGCTAATAATATTGATTTTAAAACACCACTTCCAAAAGGTGATCATGGGTGTAAATCCCGGGGTGGGCGGGAAGGATATAACCACCAGCGGCGCCCCCCCCCCCCCCCCCCCCCACCTGTTGACTTGGGGATTAACTTTAGAGGTGAGAAACCAGTGCCGATTTTAAGGTTATTTTGTAACTTCCCAACGGTCCAAATTCATTCTCTGTAGGTTTGACAAACAGTTCAAAAGTGTTTTTATGTGACGGTCACCCCCACCCCCTAAACCCCCTAAACCCCCCCCCCCATTCTGCAACACAAATTTACGCTACTGGCCAAATTATAGGCCTTCACATCCAACTGCTTTCTGTTCACTTTTTAGTTAAGTTATCTGATGATATCTCCACTCCAAAAGAAACTGATGTTTTCTGCCGAGCCTAAAACGGCGAGAAACCACTCTAAGGCCAAAAAAAAGTCTCCGGTTTCTGGTATGGAGCTTGCCCAAAAAGTGGTGCGGCAACGCGGCTTTTTTTTTTTTTTTTACCTGATTTTTTTGCTTCAAATGTCGGCTGATGACTGCAAATGGTGCCCGACTAAACTTAGTGCAAATATATGGGAGTCCAGAGAGGCCACATAAAGCTTATTCTCGACCATAACCCAATCTAAAAACACGTTAAAATTGTGCAGCAGCAGGATTCCAGTCAAACCAGTGAGTTTGGCGGTTTTGAGACATCATCTTTAATTTAAAAAAAAAAATTTCATTTTGCCGACGCGCATGGCTAGCTACGGCGACGCGCGCGCATCTATACCAGAAACCGGAGACTTTTTTTTTTGGCCTAAAGTCCAGGTACAAAGTCTTGCCGAAACCTTAACTAGGGCCGTTTTCAAAACTCCGGCCGCGGCTGCTTTCTGTTCTGGCTTCATTCATGCAGTTCGGCAAAACAGATGGAGCCGGACGGACCGCAGCCGGAGTTTGAAAAAACGGCCTAAAGTTCGCGTGGATCGTGGCACCAGTGTTATGTACAATTTTGATTCCCATGAAAATAAATCTGGTCCCCACATGGACTCTTACCCACGGGTCAGACCTGTCATCACTGTCGAAATTATGTTCACTATTGGCATGCGCAATACAATGGGTCCGTCCAAATTCGACACAGCAATGACTCGGAAGTTGTGAGAGAGGGCGCTCTGTAACTATCAGCGGTAGCGATTTCAACATTGAAAACACATTTTAATATTCAGTTCGCTTAAGTGGAAAATTTCATGAGAAGAAAATCAAGCTGCCTGGCCATTTACTGAAAATGAAATTATTTGACATGGAAGGGGCCGGGGACAAACTTTTCTGCATGAACATTAAGGCATAAGCCAGGCTTCAAATGTCATTTTCTAGCAATAACTTAATTATCTACTAGGCCCTCTACATGTGCACTTAACATAAAATCGAAAATCGTGTCAAAATAACGTTTTGTCTAGGAACTTTATGATTTTGAACAGGTTTATCCAGAACATCCCGGAATTTTCATTTTCTGTGAAATTTAGGGTGTGAAACTGTGTAAGAAAACAGTGCGTTCCACGTTTATAAAGGAATTATTTCTGGCAATTAATTCACTGATTTCTGATGTACGGAATATAAATTTGTATGTTCAGTCGACAAGTCAGTCATGGAGGCAGAAATGGTTCAGTTAATATATGTGGGTTTTTATCCAAGTCCTCCGTATCATTCCGTCAGTACCTCGATATTAAAACGTGGAAAATTTCGGGACAGTTTGACGATCAGATTTTCCATGGTAAAAAAGTTGTTTATTTCTTGCGAGTGACGTCATCGTGGCGTCAGGCTCCCAGACGTCACTAACGTGAATCCGGGTACAGCAGAATGATTTTCGTGATATCGCGCGTTTGTACGGCAGGTCAACTCCCAAAATAACAACTGGTGCACGGTATTTGGGTGCAAACGAAACTAGGTACGGGGAACCAGTTATCGTTTCAGACAACAGCAGAACTTCGCAAAATTGTGGAAGTGGGAAGTGCCTGGGCAAGTATTAAACAAGAAATTATACTTTTTTTGCTAGTGATCTCGTGAAACAAAAGCAGCAGTTTATGGCAACAGTTTTAGGACTTCCCGACATTTCGGTGAGTAATCAATTGTTTGTAAATCCGTTCGCCAGTTCCTCACTCATGTCACCGATTTATTTACATACTCGCCCAGGCCCGGCTCGGCGCGCTTGCGCTTGGCATGCTTGGAGTTGGAGAGGAAGGAAAGACCGTGAACCGTGTCAACCGCAGGAACATTTCCGGATTGACTTGACGTGTGGTTGATAGTCTTTAGGATCATTCCATTAATATAAGGCACATTAATAATTAATAGGTCCTAAATGGGGTCCAGGTTATATTGCTGGACCGCTGGCATAAGTTGAACTAGCTTGAGTAACTCCAGCTGACATGCTCATATTCATTCACATGATGTAGTGCTGGAGACATAACCTATTCGTTAGATAACCTATTCGTGTGGTAGCAAGAGACCCTAAAATAATGGCCTCTCTCAAAAATTGTCCATTTTCACCTCTAATATCCCACCCTAGATTTCATTTACATACCTCATACATTCAGCAGTCATTCACGAAGATAATGATCGACTTGAAACAGACCACAAAAAAATAAATGTGAAAAATCTTGACGATTTCGGTGGCTTGTCCGTAAAAAAACGCCAGTTCCAACGGCTGTCGTCCATTTTGTTCTGTTAATTATGCAAATGCTGCATCACGTGATGACATCGAAAAAAATCTGCGCGCGCGATGTGTGTGGGTACCACACTGCTTTCAGGCGCCGCAAGTGAGTTCAATTTTCGTCTGGTGCGTTGTCTTGGAAAGCATTCTCGAATGTTTGAACTAGGCCTAGATCATATACATGTAGTACGGAGTAATTGCAGAATACCTCGCCACTCGGAAATACACCACTAAAATCTCTGGCTACGCGGTTGGAATCACTGGAAAAGAAACAATTCAAGTCCATTGCCAGCTACGCGGATACTGAGTGGGGGTCCATTATTTGAGAACGAAGCAACACAAAAGGAATGGGAGTTGCTGAAAAAAAATTTTTAAGTCCAAACCAACCACCCTGTTGGCGGCTACGCAGATACGGAGTGGGAGTCCCCTTGAATATGCTTGAGAACGAAGCAACACAAAGGGAATGGGAGTTGCTGAAAAAATTCAAAGTCCAAACCAACTACCCTGTTGGCGCATAGTACATACATGTAGCGCTGAGAAGGTTTATTGAGGGCAATCAACCGTGACTCCATAGCCGGCTACGAGGTGCACAGATTGAGTGGCGGGGTATTCTGCAATTGTGCCTATAGAACATTGCATTTACCAATAATTCTTTTTTACCATTTTCACTCCTACCCCCAATCAAAATCTTCTGATTTCATCCCCAAAACAGTCCTCAAACTGCCTAGAAATGTGCCCTTGTAGGCTTCAGTGGGAATTGACAATACAAATGGTGATAGTTAGGTTCACATACATGTACCTTTGGAATGAAAAGAGAAATTCCACCTTCAATTCGGGAAACATCTTCATTGCACGTGCTGTGTTTGAGGCTGCCATTTTGAATTCAGGAAAAATTGACTTGTGCACACAAAAAAGGGGAGGGAAAGAATCAAAGAAAGGGGAAAAGGAAAAGAAAGAAAGAAAAAGAGACGCGAAATCATATTGCTGTTAATTTAATGGGTTGGGGGGGGGGGGCAAATGTCCCTGCCCACCCTCGAAAATCAAGAATACGCTGGAAAAGTACAGGGATTTGGGGGGGGGGGGGGGATGGTGACGCCCGTGATGTTATCGCTTTCTGATGGCTGATAGGTCACTGCAGGGAAAAAAAAGTGTGATGTCCATGTATGGAATTCTTTCCACTCATATGTATGACGAAAAAAAAGTGGTGTCAGAATGCAACATTCTTTTAACATAAGCAGCAGGTGAAGGCCAGATTATTGTAGAACTGAAAAAAATCTCATATTTGTTGGAGACAAAAAGTAGGAAAAAAACTTGACCCCCTGTAGATTTTGTGTACAACCACCAAAGTGATGTTGGACTACAGTCTTTCCAAATGTCTGCAGACAGTATACATGTAGGTGGGATTATTATAATCCTGGAGTGGTGTGGAGTGCTGTGGCCTCGTGGTAAAGGGCACTGGATTCGTGGTCTGTGGGTAAAGCTGTGGGTTCGAATCCAGCCGGGGTCATGGTGCATGTGCCCTTGAGCAAGGCACTTTGTCACTCATTGCTTCTCTCCACCCAGGAGTAAATGGGTACCTGTGAGGGCAAAGATGGTTATTGTGATTGAATAAGCTTGCTTGCGCCTAACAGGCAGCATCGAGCTGTATACCCCCCAGGGAGCTGAGATGGTATTTGGAATGTTTAATTGGCCCAATGATCAGGGGTAATAATAATACTGTAAGCGCTGTGATTTAGTTTACTAATAAGAGCGTTCTTAAATGCCGATTATTATTATTATTATTATTATTAATCCTCATCATCAAATTTTTTTGTGTGTTGAAGGGAGAAGTCCCAGGAACAACACGGGTTCTGAAAGTGAGAGTACTCCAAGGTGTTTCTCTGGCCAAAAAGGACATATTTGGTGCAAGGTGGGTATCATTAACCCTAACCCCTTGGGTACATTTACTAAAAAGCATCCTGAATCCACCAAAATCAATCAATTTTGCCATGCAAAACATTTTGGTGGCCAGTGAGTCCATCAGAATCCACCAGTTAGCGGGAAGTAAATCTGTTGAGATCCTGAATCCATCAAAGTCCCCCAATTGCTCAATATGGAAGTATCCTGAATCCATCAAAATCCTGCAGTACCGCTAGGCTTCATGTCCTGAATCCATCAAAATCCCGAAAACTTTTTCCAATATTGAGGTATCCCGAATCCGCCGAAATCCCCTGAAACAGGGGTGTGGATTTTGATGGATTCAGGTACGCTAGGGTTAAAGGGAATATACATCATTTGCTTTTGCTGTAATTTTCAGAAATGGATGGAATTGGGGGGTTGGAAATATAAAGCAAATATAGTTGCACTGACTTTTTGGAGGTTTTGGGTTCGAAAATGCTATAAAAACCAAGAAAAACGATCATTTTCCTGTAGTCTGGTTCCCTGACTCCATATAAGAAGAAACAGAGCAGTTTACATACATTGGGGAATTGTAAGGTCAGGGAACCAGTCTAGCTGGCTCGTACCCGTTCATAGGTTTGTAATCGATTGCAAACAAGTGCAATGGTCAATTGGGGCCAGTATTTGAAAAAAAGCCAGTTGTTTCCAACGCTGATCGGCCGATCAGCGTTGGAAATTGATACAAAAATACCACTTTTCTTGAAAATGACAGTATACCAGGTGCCATAATTTTACAGGATGCTTCAGGCTGTCATTTACCAACATCCTATTAAGGTATTTCGCAAAAACTTGGTAGTTTTTTTTTCGATGTTTGCAAATGTTGTATATTCCCTTTAAACATGCTTTTACCGAATAAGACGTGTTGTGTTGAAACTTTGTGGCAGAGATAAGTGTATGTCAAGATTACACTCCTAAAGTCTCAGACCTAAAAGGTGATGTACCGGTACAACATTTGCTTTTGCTGTAACTCCATAGATGCTGGAAAAACCAAGAAAAAATGCTATTCTTGGTTCCTTGACCCTACTTCAGATGAAACAGAGCAATTTATAGATGTCGAGGAATTGTCAGGTCAGGGAACCAGACTAGCTGGCTTGCACCCATTCATGGATGTGTAATCGATTGCAAACAAAATGTGGACTAACAAACTTGGTAAATTTGGGGCAGTATTTGAAAATTTATAAAGTCTTTTTTTTTGTCGGCCGAACATCATTGGAAATTGATACCAAACTTCCACATTTCTTGAAAATGACACCACACCAAGTGCCATGATTTCATGGATGTCACAGGATGCCTGAGACTACTGTTCACTTATAGTCAACTTAAGTCGAGTAAAACATTTCCTAATACTTCGGTAGTTGGGGGGGGGGGGGTTTTCGCTTTTTTTTATGTTTCCAAATGTTGTATAATACCTTCAAGTTTACCTGCAAAGGTGTTTGTTTGTTTGTTTATTTGGGTTTTTTTAATGATTCGCAGAGGTGTATCCATTCAAGAACGTCACTGGAATTAATCAATTTTCAACAGTATAATTTTGTCAAGAAAAGTCCATTTTCAAAAAATAAACTGTCATTGTAAGAAGGGAGATCTACAATGTATTTAAACAATATTGGAAAAATACATATTTTTGGACTAGCTACCCAGAAGAGTTTTTTTTTTGACAGAGCACATCAAAAACACATGTCCCATAAATAACTGCAAAACAAACTTTCATTTCCAAACAAAAATCTTCTCTGTTAAACAAAAATCCCAAGGTAACCATTCACAAGCAACACTTTGACACATTGTATGACATTTTTTTGCTGGTACCTGGCTTCTCTCAGACTTTAAGCAAAAGTCCTCGCTTAGCATTTTTGTGTGCTTACTCATGTGCACATCCTTTCAATTGGTCCGTTTTGTTTTAACTGGGGTGATTTGCTGTAAACAACTTAGGCATCACATATTTGTAAACTTTGGATTTGCTTGCAAGTGGATCATATGTTGTTCTGGTTTTTTTTGGACGGGATAAAGCCAGATGCCAACAGTTTTGTTTTATCTGAATTGTGTTACGTTGTCTCATTTGCAAACTATCTTTGTCTCTTTAAAGTGCAACTGAAGTAATTTTCATAATAAATTTGTTATTTAGACCTTTTCTATTCAAAATTTGCTAAATTTTGAACATTTATTTCCTTGTCAATTTCAGTGACCCCTATGTTAAAATCAGGCAGTTCAGGGGCAATGTGGAAGAAGGAGAAATTGCATGCGTTCAGACAAAAACAATCAAAAGGGTGAGTGATTTCTAAAAGTATGTTTATAAAATTGTTGTCGATTTTGTTAACATTTGTGATCTACAGTGGAACACCGCTATAACAAACATCGCGGGATCCACAGAAATTGTTCGTAATAGTGATCATCCGGTACAACGATTTTAAGCTGCCTGTGCTCCAGTACTCACTTTTCAATAAATAGCCCCCCCCCCCCCCCCAACAGAACTTCACCCTGCACGCCCTGGTAGTTACTGAAAGATGACTTGGAACATGTGCCGACTATTGAATTATGTCTGGCACAGTTTTTGAGCTTACTACCTACAGCAATGGGTGGCTTTCCCCTTCTACATTGTATTTCTTGGGGAAATAATAGCAACGTGTCGCTCTTCTGTTGATATTTTTCAACATCAATGTTCGGTACATTTTGCAAACAAAAATCGGGGGTCAAGGACAATGTTAAGCTGAATGTTCGGTATAGCGGTGTTCGACTGTACATGTACATGTACGGTATGTATGCCTCGGACTCAGCTTAAAGAGTTGAACATTAATAACAACACAATAAAGTGTGCCACCGTATGTTTGCTCGAAAACGACCACTATTGGACTTCAACTGTTCACTTCTGCATTATTATTACAGTTTTGTCCTACATTCATACCCGAGTTTGTTACCCATTAGCTTAATACATGTTGTGTTGGTTGCCTGGGATTTCATGCCTTATTGGCCCAATGATACACACATGATGTGCAACCCTATGAGGCGGGGGGGGGGGGGGCACACAAAGTTGATGTCAATTTTCTCCATGATGAGTTTTGGGAAAGCTGGTCAAAAATGTTGATACCATCTTGCTACATTGTTCGTGTATTTTTTTCATATCTGCCACATCATGTATACATTGTACATGTAGATGAAGCCGGGCATATGATCACAATACACTCACAGGTCCCTCTTAAATGGCGGAAGTATTGTACCTGCTAATTGTGCAAAGCTACTGCCTCGTGACGGAATCAGAGCAATAGCTAGCACAATGCTTTCACCATTGAAGGGGGCCTTCATGATAGCATTGATAACGTGCCTGGATTGGTCTCTCAAGTTCGTTAGTGTGACGTCAGTACAGTTTAAACCACGCCCACTGGCCATTAAGTAGGGTTGGAACCATTGGGACCAGAAGCTAATGCAACTTGAGTGTTTATCCAATGGGCGCTAGTAATCAGTGGTGCGCTCACATGCATGATGTTATTACTAACAAACCGGATAGAGAAGGCCATATTTTATGAATTTCTGATTGTTAAAATATACACATACGGTATGTCAAAATGTGAGCGTTTTGAGAACTGTTTCATTAATATCAATTATTTTCAGCTATAGAGTGTACATAGGCAAGTACATGTAAACCAGAATTGAAGGCGTTAACGAGGATGTTGAATGAGAATTGAAGATGTTATTCTTCTAACAATTCTCTTGAATGAGACACATCGGCTTAACAAATTGGCCCACGTTTAGGTATGGATTTGTTACTGTACGAATTTTGAAACACTTGTGACCCGACATTAATTCCGTTCTCGCGATATAGACCGATTCTCAACCCACAATCGATGGACAGGTAGCCAGTCAAGATGGATCTGTTTGTTTGCCCCCTCCCCCCCCAAAAAAAAATTCAGTCTTTCAGAGCATTAAATAAAAAAAATACAAATTTATTGAGAGGAAAAAAGGCACATTTGTTGAAGGACACGAGGAGTGCAACTTTAATGTGTAGCACCTTTGCGTGCACAGTATGTACTAATCTAACTTGTTGGAGTACATTGTCTGCACTTGAACTTTGAATCATAAGCCTATGTCCTATGACATCAACTAAGAATCAAAGATCACAAAGTTTTACAAAGTCTACATGTATACCAAGTCAATATGAACTTTGATTGGGCAGTCGGGAATTTAGAATAGGTGACTGTAAATCACAAGACAAACTAATCTAACGAGACAAACTGACCTTTGTCATGTTTGTTAGAAAAACCATGAACGTGTACAAGTCATGTGAATATATAACACATGGTTGGCTAAGTTACTTTTTGTCCATGTGGTGCGGCAAAGGTGCATTTTTTAAAATGTGATGTTTGCAAATTGTAAATTTGTTATACCATTTTCACTGCATTTTTGCCAACATGTATTTTTTGTATGCATGTACTGATGTACGATACTAACCCAATCACTAGTTTTTCAAGGTTAACCCTCCTTTTGTTTGACCAGTCACGGACAGTCAAAAAGTCCATACTGTTCCCCTGCCTTTAAGTCACCAACAGTCAGATCATATTCCTTGTAAGCACTGTGACAGTCGAATTCAATCAACAGACAAAAGCAGGTGACTGGTAGGCACAGCCGGCTTATCAATCGCCTACAGTCAAATCATAGCTATATCAGGTTTCATAACATCCACAGCCAGTCAATCCTGCTCTATGAAAGCAGGGAGCACCCAACTTTCAAAAACAGTCACTTGATTTATTTTGACTGCTGGGCTGGCCTTGTTGAAACTGACAGCCAGAGATGGAAGGGTTTGATTGTTCCATGAGGCCATAATTGTTCAATTATCTTTTCATATCATCATTTGTAATATCTAGATAAGTGTACCTGAACAATACCTGTCAAGACTTATTGCAGATTATCTTAAACTAAGGCTGATCTTAGCGCAGCATCCAGTTTACTCCAACCTTCTTTTTTTTTAAGGGGAGGATGCTGTTGCATTCAGAATGGGGAATGCTCCTCAAACTACAGCTAGTTTATGTGTCCAAATTAAAGCAGGAGGTCGTGGGTTCGAGTCCCACCCGAGTGATTTTTTTTCCAACTTTCACTTGGGAGGTAACACACTGAGTATACAGTGTTTAAACGTCAGTGAAGGGCAAAACCTAATTTGGATCAAATTAAAGGTGTGGATTTGTGTCTTAATAATGCCTAACCCCTTGGTTAACAACTAAGGGGAAGCTTCTTTGTCCCTCCCCCCCCCCCCCCCCCCACGTCTGTCAAACTACATTGTATGCCCATGCCATTGCCCAAATATTGTTGTTCTTATTTAGCATGTATACGTAGGCCTATATATTTACACTACAGTGTGTATTTTTTATGAATGTACAACTGTGTATATGTGCAGTATGTAAGTGTAAGTTCTCATAATGCAAATGACATCAAATACAAATGTACATGTTCAGATGAATAACCACAGAGATGCATGTACAATGTGCATGCATGTGTACAGTGTATACATTCAAGCACATACATGTACCTAATTCTTGTTACTGTATGAAAGGTCCCACACACTCCTCCTACATTACTTTCGTACATGTTGGTACATGTATTGTGAGCAGACGATGCGGATAACATGTATAGGGTGGGCAGAATGATGACAGAGTGGGTGGTAAAAATGTGTAAATATTAAAAATGTCCATAGAAATTTACGTACATGTGCACATGTAAAATAACCTTGTTTCATTGAGATTTTACAACGTTACATGTACATACGTTAACCCTTACCCTACTAGACCCTCCAACGCATGCCAATATGTGCCTCAAGAAAATCTCCTATGTTTTTTGCATGGCCCTCCAATATCTGCCATGTCATTTCAAGGGTAACTGGACAGGCACTCCAATACATGCCACAGAGAACAATGAGAGTCCTCTGATAACAAAGTGAGTGCCCCCAGCTGGTCAGTATCAGGCACCCTCCAGGGCCTCCAACTCCTGCCAATTGGAGCCTTCACTGTTAAGACAAACTATCTGCCAATAAACTGCAGCTGGAGGGCATTGGCATAACCAACTGACATGCAGTAAACTACCCTCAGAGAGTAAGGGTTAATAAGCAGGGATCAAGAGACTCACTATGCACATTATGATTAAGATTGCTTGGATTGAGGTCATGTCATCGAGGTTCATTATGAATGCGTAAGCTGTGCTAGCTGCCATAGAAAGACGGCTTCCTCATTGATCAAATGTCTCAATTAGAATCAGTTTACAAAAACACAGGAACATTTCTTCCCCCAAGAACATACCATACATTGAGAACATTGTAAATGACACATTGACAGGCAACGCGGACTTGAGCTGCAATTGACTGATAATTAAAAAGACCATTAGGCCTAACGCAATCATTCATTAGAGGCGTACTTTACCTTCATTGAATTAAGACAGGCATTTGCATAAATGGGTGGCCTTACACTCACAGCGTTTAGTGAAAGGTTTGGCCTAGAATGCACGGGCTGTGATGTCTGTCTGCCCAGTCATGCTATCATCACAGCAGTGCTCTCATCAGTGGGTTTAACAGGAACATGAGGAAGGGATGTTGGATAGTGACAGCTTGGATCCCCCACAGCGATGCCCTGGCTGCATGCCACGAATAACTTGTGGAAATATGTCTGGCTAGGATACAATTACTTTTTTGGTAACCAAGTACGGTCACTCCCCGTAAAGTGCATGCATCTTTCTTTCTTTTTAACTGGAATGGTTCTTGGACAGTTGTTCCCTTTATTTAAATAAAATCTAGAGCCCTCATATAATCAGAAAGAAAAGATTACATATATTTCATTGCAATTGCATTGCTATGAAAATGTATTGATTTAGTTTTTACACAGTAGTTTTTGGCAGAGCTGGCACCAAATGTTTAGCTGTTTCATGTAAACTCAAATATGTACAGTCTTGTGGTTGCTACGGCAACGCATCTGGTGTTGTTAGGCAAAGCTAATCCGATTACGTACTTGGACGCTATATAATAGAGCAGTGAAATCCATGCACCCCAAAAAACGAGGCCTTTTGAACGTTGTGTTTCTCAGAAAAAAATGCTCAGTATGATTGAAATGTTAAATTATAACGGAAGACGACATTCCAAACTTCATGTCAGTGAAAAAAATCTGGGTCATCGATGCCGAAACGTCAATACTAGTTACTGTTAAACCTGACCTTCAAGTCTGGAAGAAATCATTTGAAAACGTCCCCAAATGCATGTATTAACCTCAATTTCTAGGAATCTCTCCAAGTTGTTATTTCACGAGTACAATGTAGTTCAATACTTACATCATCTAAGAAAATTCCGAATTTCAGCTTAATCTGTTGTTGCAAACGCTAGTGTACCAACTAGAACCATCTCCATGGAAAATTTTGAGGAGGATCTTCTGCCGACACAACCGACGTGCATTGTTCAGCAAAGCGCCGTAGTTAGTTGGAAACATTTATTTCAATGATGTCATTCATTACAATTATGTACAATCATGTATAAATTAAGAAAGGTCAGTAGTAATATATATGACAGTTATGTACACAGTGATTACTAATAAGTGTAATATTAAATGACAACAGTTAGGTATAAGGTTAAGCAGACGCTTTTGTGCCCTTACCTATGGACAGACATACAACCAAAGTACTGTAACAAGGGACAAACAAAAACAACGGGAGACAGACAGGACAAGTGTGTGAGACAAGGCCTAAATATTAATGCACATATAACATTTCAATTTATGAATATGATTCGATAAAATGAGTTTTTAATTTTTGACAAAGACAGATAGTGAGGGTAACAGTTTAAGAGAATCATCTAAACTATTCCAGTACAAGGTGCCTTGATGAATCACACTGTTTTTTGACATTGACGTCCTGTTAAATTGGACAAACAGATTTCCCTTAGCACTACTTCGGGTGTTATATACATGAACATTAGATGCTAAGGGAAAACAAGAATCAAAACAGGACGGGAGTAGATTATGCTTAAATTTAAACATTAATTTTCCTAAATTAAGGTAATATAAGTCATTACATTGTAATATATTTAATTTAGCAAATAACGGAGCAGAATGATCACGATAGCCAGCATTTGGAATTACACGAACTGCTCGCTTCTGTAAAGTAAGTAATTTGTTACACTTAGATGGCAAACTGCCCCAGGTCAAGATTGAGTAATTTAAGTATGGTAAAACAAATGAATTGTTAATAAAATCTTACTCGGAAGATAATATTTCAAACGATTCATTATTCCAACGTTCTTTGATATTTTTGTCGCTACTTCATCAATATGATGTTTCCAAGTGAGATTTTCATCAATAGTTACACCCAGCAATTTAGTTATCTTAACCTGATTAAGCCTTGAGTTATTTAAATTCAGAGGAACAGATTGTGTGTACTTGTACTGATTGGCACAAAAAATCATATAATTTGACTTGACGACATTAATAGATAATTTATTTGCGAGAAGCCATGTACTGATTTTTTCAAGTTCCATATTTAGGTTACTAATTGCTTCATCTACATTATTGTGAGTGTACAACTAGGCTAGGCGCTACGGTTGACTGAGTATGGTAGATCATATTCATTAGCGTCACTCGGCGTGTTTTGGCGTGGGTCTCGGTATCGACCAATGCAAGCTGGCAAAAAGGTTGATATTTATCAATTAATAACTCGTGAAGGAGGCTTTCTCCAAATTTATACGGCATACCTATAATGAATAGGAACCTTATTAATATTTGTGTGTCTTGAAAAGATTGACAGATATTGCAAACGCTAGTGTACCAACTTTCAAAAGTGCACGTAGCAAGGCCTTTTTTTCCAAATTTAACGAAAAGTAATGAACACATCACAACGATTTTTAGCATATACTTGGATCATTATGAGGGAAGTAAACCTGAAAGTTGCATGAAAATATGGTCTTCCAAACGGGAGAAGTGAATTTTCAAAGATTTCGCCCGCCAACACCCAACATGAACATGTGTGTGTACATGTACATGTAGTTTCATTCAAAATGAAGTGTAACGTAACCTTTAGAAATCACCCTTCGCAACCACATGACTGTGTAATCATGTTATCTTATACTTCTGTAGTGTACATGTACAATGTGTTTACATTTGCACATTATAAAATAACAAAATGCATGCAACTGTTACCTACTTAACGTGTGTATACATGTACTGCAAACACACAATTAACATTGTATTCCAATTAACATTGCCACATTATCTAAGGAAAGAACATGTAAACAGAACTGTGAGTTCAAGTATTTAAGGGGAACACATTTTTTGAAAATAAACTTGTTCCTTTTATTTTCAGACACTGAATCCAAAATGGTTTGAAGAATTCCTCTTCAGAGTAAGTACATGTAATGGAAGCTTGCAACTGTTTCATATTTTGTATAAACTGAAGGTTTGTGTCCAACATTTTAAATGGTGCAAAATGTGTATTTGTTTGTAAACATCTTGAAAACAATGAATGAATGTATGCATGCTGAAATTTAAAATATAAGTTTTTTATGAATTCATCATAGGAGATGATCTCATAATGACGCCGTCATGGTTTTTGTTCATTAACACAAATTAAATTATATATTCACTGTTTTGTTTTTGTTGTCTTCAGGTGAATCCCAGGGATAATTGCCTTTTGTTTGAAGTCTTTGATGAGAACAGACTGGTATGTTTACAAGTTGTTGAATATTTGGTCAGTTTATTTCATACAGCAAGGTTTTGACGGTCAATATATTTTATAAACGACGGGGTCCAGTAACTTTCCAGAGCCATTAAGTCCCATGTTATGTAAAAGATTAATAATTCCATGAGGTGAGAAATGTCATGTGCCATTCCATGACATGAACAGAGTAGAATGGAACATCCCATCTGTCACCGAATGAAATTATTCTTTCCATGAAACATTCATTATTTGTTTTATACATCGCCTGAATAAATCCTCGTCATCTGATTGGTAACTAGTGTGGCCATGCTATGGAACTTCTCTTTACCGTTGAATGGAACTTCTCTTTACCGTTGAATGGAACTTCTCTTTACCGTTGAATGGAACTTCTCTTTACCGTTGAATGGAACTTCTCTTTACCGTTGAATGGAACTTCTCTTTACCGTTGAATGGAACTTCTCTTTACGGTTGAATGGAACTTCTCTTTACCGTTGAATGGAACTTCTCTTTGCCGTTGAATGGAACTTCTCTTTGCCGTTGAATGGAACTTCTCTTTACCGTTGAATAGAACTTCTCTTTACCGTTGAATGGAACTTCTCTTTACCGTTGAATGAAACTTCTCTTTACCGTTGAATGGAACTTCTCTTTACCGTTGAATGGAACTTCTCTTTACCGTTGAATGAAACTTCTCTTTACCGTTGAATGGAACTTCTCTTTACCGTTGAATGGAACTTCTCTTTACCGTTGAATGGAACTTCTCTTTACCGTTGAATGGAACTTCTCTTTACCGTTGAATGGAACTTCTCTTTACCGTTGAATGGAACTTCTCTTTACCGTTAAATGGAATTCTCTACCGTTGAATGGAACTTCTCTTTACCGTTGAATGGAACTTCTCTTTACCGTTGAATGTAACTTCTCTTTACTGTTGAATGGAACTTCTCTTTACCGTTGAATGGAACTTCTATCTACAGTTGAATGGAACTTCTATTTTGGCAGTAAAGCTGGGCCATGGGTCGGGAATAGTTCTTTGACAAGTTTGACAACTACCCACTAATCAAATGACAGGGATTTGTTCAGTATAAAAACTTATAGTGGCTGGGACTACCTTTACTAATCCTGCAAAATTCTTTAAATCGTAGGGGCAGATGTTGATGGAATTGCGGGGTTAAGTTTCATTTGTAAATCCGTGCGTTATGTCACATTTTCTTGTGTCGTTTTAACACGTTCATGTTTTTTTCTGTCGCAGACACGAGATGACTTCCTTGGAATGGTGGCTATCCCCCTTGCAAATATACCAGTAAGTGAGATATTCAGAAATGTATCACTCCTGTCCGTCTGTGCCAAGCCCTGAATAGAAATGTTGAAGTGCTGAAATGCCTCTAGGCTTACAACCCCCCCCCCCCCCCCCCCCCCCCCCGTAAACAAAAGTAATATGTGAGATTTGGAATTCAAGAACTCAAAAGATGCTAATACAGGTTTCTTTTGTTTCAAGTTAATTTCCAAACAAACACTGTTTCAACCTGATTTCTCAGATCCTTTTGAATAAACCTGTTTTTAGCGGACTTTGCCTTTGAATAATGACTGCTTGATTAATTTAAAAATTTATACAAGAAAGAATTGTTATTGTTCTTTCAATTGGGTGAATCCCCCCCCCCCCCCCATGTTTCAGACGGAGCATGAACGGACATGGAATCATCACAAGGACTACCTCTTACGGCAGAGGAGTCCCCGCTCCAGGGTGAGGGGTTTCCTACGGATGACCATCGCTTACCTCCGGGATGAGTCCTCACCGGATACTGAACCACGTAGGGAGGAAGAGGTACACTTTGACCCAGTTTCATGGCTCTGCCAAAAACCAAAGATCATTTTGATCATTATCTAACCCTTACCCCCATCGGGTTTTTCACTAGGCACCCTACTGAGTGCAACAGAATGCAACACAGCTGGCATGAAAACTATGTTAAATGCAACCAAATGCAAACGTGGATTCTGTTGTAATGTGCTGTTAACCAATGACGCACCAACCTTGGCACTAAGCAGTTACCATGCCAAATGCAACAACATGCAACAGTGGATTCTGTTGTAATGTGCTGTTAGCCAATGACGCATCAACCGTGGCACTAAGCAGTTCCCATGCCAAATGCAACAACATGCAACAGTGGATTCTGTTGCACCAGCCTTGGCACTATGGTCATGAACCATGCTAGATGCAACAGTATCCAACTGGGTTGCCAGGGACTTTTAAACGTGTTCCCTGCTAAATACAACTACCAACTGTTGATAAGATGCAAATGTTGTATTCGGATTTGCCCTTTGCTGACGTAAAATACATCGGCAAAGGGCAAAATCCAATTTCAAATTAACATCCAACTGCTCTATCAGATGCCTAGCCTGCTAAATGCAACAACATGCAATAACACATGGCACTTGAGTTGACTGCTAAATGCAACATATGCAACTACTGATTACCACTGTTGCATTCTGTTGCATTTAGCAGGGTTAGGGTTCTTTGCTTACAGCGCGAGAGAAGAAAATCTGCGCTAATCCTGTCAACACACAATCGTTAGTTACAGGATACTACACATGTTCACAAGTCAACATTCCTCACTATCCTATGAAGTACGCTAACCATTTTCATAGCAAACATTTCTGCTTAACTTAGCAAAGATTCTTTGCCTATGGTGAAACGTCTTGTTGTCACTGCTATAGTAACTCTTGGTTTTTAGTTAATTTCTTGGTAAGCTCAGTGGCAGAATACGGTTACATTGTCAACATTTTAACACAAAATTCTACTGTGAAATCGCACCACCTGGATTTCTGTAGGCGTAGCATGCTGAGATTAATCCACTGGTACCCTGTTGAATGAAAGAACATCTTTTACCCTTATGAGAAAGGTGCTTGAGATTGGCAAAGACTTAGGCATCATACACCAAATCAGTGTTTAATATCAAGGAAACTTCTTGTCAAAAACATGGGAATTGACAACACTCGATACACCATTCTGTTTACCCTTTAAATCTTTGACATCTCCTTTTTTTGTATCATAACCCTAACCCTGCTAAATGCAACAGAATGCAACAGCGGTAAAAAGCTGTAGCATTTAGCAGCCAACTCCAGTCTTGTTGCATTTAGCAGGGGAACTGCTCATAGTGCCAAGGCGATACAAGAGAATCCACTGTTGCATTTGGTTGCATTTAGCAGGGTAACTGCTTGGTGCCAAGGCTGGTAAGCACTGGGTTCATTGCACAATGCAACAGAATCCACTGTTGCAAATGTTTGCATTTAGCAGGGTTTTCATTTGAGTTGAGTTAGATATTGTTGCATTTAGCAGGGTACTAAAACATACCCAATTACAACAATGGAGTTGAGAGCTCTGTTTAATATCAGACCAAAATTTAGGATGTTGTTGCTGTTCTTCTTTCAGCTGCTGCTATTGATGTTTCTGCTGCTGCTGTGGCTGCTCTCTGTCTTCAGAAAAATGTTAGAAATTTGAAATATTTCAAATTTTTGTTTTTAATTTTAGGCTGACTGGGAGATTGTGGATGCCGACAATGAAGTAGAGTCCAACACGTCGGGTGAGCAAACGGATCAGGAGGAGTCGTCTAGACCCCGGTTGCCTAACGGCTGGGAGGAACGCGTGGATGCCAACGGACGAATCTACTACGTGGATCATGCTAGCAGGCGAACGCAATGGGATATTCCCACGGTGTAAGGAAACAAATCATTGGATAATGTACCTCTTTGCTGGATACACTGAGCCGATGTATCAGCTGACATGTCATGGCGCATTCTTTAATTTCCATTCAATAAAGGCAGTTAATTGCGCACCCTAAAAGGGCTGAAAGGTCCATGAATGATTCTTGTGTCAAAAACTCAAGATCCTATCCGAGTCTCAGAATATTCTCGCTTTGAAAACAGATCATAATAGGACAAGTCATAAGATGCGGTACCCGCCTGCTAGATTCGAACCAGCCAACCGATCCCGGTGGTCAAGTGGTAAGACGTCTGCCCTAGAAAGCAGGAGGTCGTGGGTTCGAGTCCCACCCGAGTGATTTTTTTGACTGGATTTGTTAAGTGTTTATTTATTTCCAGGAGCTAATGAGTTCAATTGTTCCTCCCCCCCCCCTTTTTTTTTGTGCGTACCAGGGTTACTGCTGGCCCTCCTGCCGGCATGCCATCCAACGTTCAGGATGAGATGCGAGCCATCTACCGTGCCCGAAGACAAATCAGTGCCGAAGATACCCTGGATGCAGAAGAAGACGTAGCTGTAAGAATCCTTGTTATTTCTCCTCATCTTCTACCCTTGACCTTTAACCCTACTCATCTTTCAACTGTTCAAAACCGTTCAGAATTTGCCCATAGGGTTAACACACACACACACACACAGTCGTTTTTTGCTATGCTTCCGAGGATTGGCTTTGTGTTTTCCTTTGCCCCTGTAATATAACACTCTCCCATAGACTAAGCACACAAACCTGCGTTCGAGGACAATAGGCACCTTCCTTCGAGGATCAATGGCCCCTTTGTGCTCCTTTTGTTGTCTGTCCTCAGGCGTAATGCCATGCAGGAACACCCACCCACACACACACACACCCACACACACAGTCGTTTTTTGCTATGCTTCCGAGGATTGGCTTTGTGTTTTCCTTTGTCCCTGTAATATAACACTCTCCCATAGACTAAGCACACAAACCTGCGTTCGAGGACAATAGGCACCTTCCTTCGAGGATCAATGGCCCCTTTGTGCTCCTTTTGTTGTCTGTCCTCAGGCGTAATGCCATGCAGGAACAAACGTGTTCTCACCGTGGATCATAGACGTCCTATTGTCCCTCTTTTGTTTGTACTCTAACTTTTTAGGAAGACTCCCATAGGTTTTGTACACACAGTCGTTTTTTGCTATGCTTCCGATGATTGGCTTTGTGTTTTCCTTTGTTCCCTGATCTAAACCTTTCCCATAGACTTAGTGCACAAACCTGCGTTGGAGGACAATAGGCACCGTCGTTTGAGGATGAATGGCCCCTTTGTGCTCCTTTTCTTGTCTGTCCTCGGGCGTAATACAATACAGGAACACAACCCCAATCGTGGACGTATGCTGGGAATTGTGGACGATATTGTTCTCTTTTGTTCTCTGGTATTTTTCGTCCATGGTTTGAAAAGATGAACACGTACACACACACATTCTCAAATTTGTATCCTTGTGGAGACATTTCTTTGTTCTCGTGTAGTAAAGTTTTCGAGTTTGAAAGTGAAGTTTCAAAATGCTCTTATTTTAACCAGAATTAATTTCCTTGGCTGAAATTCAGACTTAATATCCCTTTTCTAAAACTCTTCCATTTGTGACGGATCAACCCACCTTGGAAATTCCTAGTTTTTGAGTAAAATCCATATATCTATTTCGTGAAAACCTTGTGGAGACGTATTCATCTATAGAAATTGCCCTGTGGAGACCTATACAATCTTTTGTTCCCTATTGTGGAAATGTCTCCACAAGGATACAAATTTGCGCTCACACTGGAAAATCCTTCAAAGTAATCCTCGGTCCCGTATGTGGTGTCCATCACAGCCTTCCATGTAGGCGAGCAGTTGGCCTGTCTGTGACACTCCACTGTACTCATCATGTACTAGATTCATCATGTACTAGACTCATGGCTACTTTTCTATGAACAAGCTTTTCACACCATACAGTTTACATTCACTTCAAACCCCTTCACACGAGAAAATTGGAAAGGTTTTGTGTGAAAAGTGTGACACATAGTGAGTTTTAATATAGTGAAGGGTTAACCCTAAACGCCCTGAATCCTTCAAAAATCCTCTTTGACAAAGTGGAGGAATTTGGAGGATTGAGGTTACATGGCAAAAGTGCGTTACTGATTTCATAGGATGCACTTTGTCAAGATCTTGGGCCGGACCTTGTGTTGTTTTTGCTCAGCCATGCATAAATATAGGCCTGGATTGTGCTTGAAAACCTCCGTACTGCTCCAGGATGTCACTGGCCAAGCCTCAACATATTGACAGTCACTGCTGCAGGATTTTGCAGGATTCAGGAAGTGGTCTCCCCTCCAATGGACCATATTCAAGAAATAATGGAGCCATTTGCAGGATTGAGGCTTTATGCTATTTTCCACTAGGCCAATTGGAGGATTTTGCAGGATTGAGGCTACATCCTAGCAAAAAGGCCTAGGGAGTTAGGGTTAAAGCCTTGTTCACACTAGACTAATTTTTGTGTGCAGTTTCCTGGAGACGATGGTTAAAAATCCAATGAGTAAAATCTTCACCAGTGTTCACACTTGGACTTCTGACACCGTAAAATTTACCGAAACAGTCATTAACCCTAATCCTCCAAAGTCCTCCAGGAAGTTTTTGAGGATTTTGGAGGATTGAGGATGAATGCAACATACACTTTTGGAGGATTGTTGAGGACTGAGGGCACATGGACATTCAGTATCGGTCGATTTTGGAGGATTGAGGCCGATTGGTGTTTGAAGAAGAGGAGGATTTTGAAGGATTCAGGATGAATGCATTTTGAGAGGCAGGACTGTCGGAGGATTGTGAAGGATTGAGGCAGTGGGTATCCTTCATTTGAACACAAGTGCCAAATTTTGGAGGAGTTTGGAGGATTCGAGGATGGTTCCAACCACAAAGGGCCTTGGTGCCCGGGGGTTAGGATAAAAGTAATCGAGCCGGCAATAAGATACACGGGCCAATAGATGTGCTCCGTGGAAAGTTGGTAGCTGATATGGCTGCGTATATGTTTTTGAAGTTAAATGTTATTTATTTATGTTATGTTATTTCTTTCTGGTAACGAAACCAAGGATTCCTCAAAAGTACCCTAAGCACTGTAGCTCGAAAGCCTGAAGAAACATGTAGAGAGAAGACAATAAGAAGAAATTACAGTTTTAGAGGTGGGAGGAAAAACCCAGAGGAATATTCGGAGGAAAACCCACGGAATCGGGTAGGGACTGAAGACCCAATGCACATATTGGCCCAGGCGGGATTCGAACCCGGGTCACAGCGGTGGAAGGCGAGGAAAGTACCGCTACGCCAACCTGACTCCCCCAATGAAATTGTCCATTGATGTAAATAGTGCCTATCAAGAAGTTCCTGAACTATAAGCTGACAACTTGAGACAAATAAACATGGAGTCACATCCTCACATGTAAGTCAACAGTGATGTGCAAATTTCATTCCCCGTTTTCTTGTTTAATCCAAAGGAGCCACCAGGGCCTCCACCATCACCAGCGCAACCGACGCCACAAATGATCCGAGTGCAACCGGCGCAACCGACACAACCAATGCAACCAACGCAACCCGCACAACGGACTGTGCCAACACAGGTAAAAAAAAATTTAAAAATAGAATGGATGTACAAAACCTTGGCTCTAAGAAACCATTTAAAGGGAATATACAACATTTGCAAACATCGAAAAATAAAACTACCAAGTTTTTAAGAAATACCTTACTAGGATGTTGGTAAATGAGAGTCTAAAGCATCCTGTAAAATTATGGCACCTGGTGTGAAGTCATTTTCAAGAAAATGGTATTTTTGTATACATTTCCAACGGTGGTCGGCCGACCAGCGTTGGAAAAACCTAACTATATTTCAACTACTGCTCCAAATTTACCTTTTTTCAGTCCAAATTTTGTTTGGTATTGGTTACATGTTCATGAACGGGTGCAGGCCAGCTAGACTGGTTCCCCTACCTTACAATTTTCTGGCAACTATAAATTGATCCATTTCATCTTTAGTGGAGTCAGGGATCAGACTACTTGAACAATTTTGTTTTTCTTGGTTTTTCCAGCATTTTCGAACATAAAACTTCAAACATTGTCAGTGTAACAATATTTGATATATTTTATACTAACCCCTCAAGTACTCCATTTTTGAAAATTACAGCAAAAGCCAATGATGTACATTCCCTTTAACTGCCATTGTTGTACCGTAGTTGAGCCCATCACAGAATTCAAGTAAACTCTGTCACGAGTCAATATGGCCCATCAGGCCAGAATTCCTCTCCGGTTTTCTATGCGTGAAACAACTGAAAATATTTCTATTCCTCCTGGATGGGATGCCATTCCATCACAGGTTACGCCCCAGCTAATGCCGGTACCCATTTATCCTCCTGGGTGGAGAGAGGCAAATGGGGTGAAGTGGCTTGCCCAAGGACACAACATATGGCCAGCAGCTGGATTGGAACCCCTGACCCTCTGATCATGAGTCAGGAACCCTAACCACTAGGCCACACTCCCCTGGTCACTAATAACTCACAAGTCCTTTCACATTATTACAAGTAGCAGATGAACAGTTTATTGTATGGGCCTTTAAAAAAGTGAACCGAAGTTGAATATTATGATCTAACCACTTAATACTCTATAGCAGCAACAAGCCCAACCAAGCCAAGTCAATCAACCGTTTGCTGCGCCCGCCAATGATCCCCTAGGCCCCTTGCCTGCCGGCTGGCAGATGCAGCGTTCAGCTAACGGTCGGATCTTCTACATCAACCATAACACACGGAGTACAAGTTGGGTGAGTGGAAATGACAATAGATCACTTTCTGAACATTGTAAGCAGACATGTGGTCTCCATGCAAAAGAACCCCCTCAGTATCCTGACAATAGATCCTTAAAACAGTTATAGGCCATTTCACAGTTCCGCCAGTCTAGGCAGTTCCCTTATATATTCCATAACAGGTTCATCAAAAGGTCAACTCAAACCCTCAGAAGTCCGCACAGGTTCTCACACGTCCTCTGAAGTCCTCACATGTCCTCAAAAATGCTCAGGCCATCACAAGTCCTCCTACGTCTTCACTTTTGTAGAAGTCCCCACTCCTTACAAGTCCTCACAAGTCACCACAAGTCCTTTAAAGGCCTCAAACGTCCTCATAGGTCCTCGCAAGTCCTCAAAGGCTTCACAAGTCCTCAAAGGTCCCCTCAGGTCCTCACAAGTCCTCACAATTCCTCAAAAGGCTTCACCAGTCCTCAAAGTTCCTGACAGGTCCTCACAATTCCTCAAAAGGCTTCACCAGTCCTCAGAGTTCCTGACAGGTCCTCACAAGTCCTCACAAGTCCTCAAAAGGCTTCACAAGTCCTCAAAAGTCAATTACATGTCACTCCCACGGCAAATCACAATTTGCTCCAAATTCAAATTTTTGTTTCCAGCACTTACATGTAACATCTCCAAAAAAATCACAGAAACTAGGCAGACCATGTCACCCTCCAACGTAGCTCGCAATCTAAGTCAATACTTCAGTAAACCTGTAAATTGAATGATATTCCTTTGTAATAGAAGCTTGTTTATTGGTGTTTCTTGTGATTCATAGGATGACCCGAGAAAAACTCAGAGACAGCCAGTGGACGACCTGGGACCACTACCAGTGAGTACAAAATTGTATTTTATCATCAAGGAACCAATTTCATTTAGCTACTAAGCAAAAACATTAGCAAATTTAAAGGTAATTTACAACATTTGCAAACATCAAAAAAGGACAACCTTACTTGACTGCAAGTGAATAATAGTCTCCAGTATCCTGTGAAATCATGGCATCTGGTGTGCTTCATTTTCAAGAAAAGTGGACGTTTTGTATTACTTTCCAACGATGGTCGGCCAACCATCGTTGGAAACAAATCCCCGCAACTTTTTCCGTGATACCCTTGCAAAAAAAAATTTCCCAACCGGAGCTTTTCTGACTTTTTATCCTCGAGTCTTGCACATCTTTTGGTACCGAAAACATAAAATCCGATAATGAGTTAACCGCGCAGCGCAAAATTTTTCGGTGAAAACGGAATTTCCCCATATGTACAGTGTAGTGTACACAAAGCAGAATTACCATTGGTGCATATGAATAATTCCAAAACTCTTGAACCTATAGTCATGAAATTTCTTGGGTATGTTCATATTAAGTTGTTCTAAGTTTCATAATTTTGCACCAAGTTTCATAATTTTGTGTCACTCAATGGCCAAGATCTGAGGGGGGGGGGGGGGAGGCGCCATATTGTACTAGTACAGACATCTTATGGCTCAGCCTTGAATCTTAAGTAGCAGATACCGCATTCAAATCGTGATTTAGGATTTTGCACGTGTCGTATATTTTGTTATATGGCCTAGAGTCTGTAAACATGTTCTGTCCATTTTGTTTTTGTAGTCTGCCTGGGAGCAAAGAGTTCACGCAGACGGGAGGACGTTCTTCATAGATCACAGTAAGTGTTTATCTACAGGAATACTGAGTTGGATCAACCCCCACACTTTCACCATGCTGAATTGCGCACATGCCTCCTGTTTAAGAATGCGTGCAGCATGCGCGCGAGCGTGGTACCACTACAGTATTAAACTGCTACTAATTCTGGTCACCGGATTCCGCTGTTAGTACAGATTGTTTTCACCATTGATTGCCCTGCTTGCTGGGTTCATCAGGCTTGTTTGGAATCTTACACAGCAGCAGATACCACAATCAATATTTTGTAGGATAGATTTTATTTTTTAATTGGCTTTTGATTTTGTTTCGGCCACAGATACGCACAGTACTCAGTGGGAAGATCCTAGGCTACAGAACCCCTCCATTGCTGGGCCGGTAAGCTTATTACATATTCCTGTCTGCATTAGAACACCAAGTTAAACATTTCCTATAGGGCTCGCTCAATGACGGCCATCTCTGTAGGAGAACTGCAACTGCGTATTTTACGCAATCAAGCACGCATTGCGCAGTGTTGAAAATGTTCCAAACACTTGTTGCTTGAAATGTGTTCAAAATACGACGCAGCCGATGCGCGTTGTGCAAGTTGACGCTCAAAATGCCGATGCACGTGGATGGTCTGTAGGAAATGATGTCATTTGAACGAGACCTATTCTGGAGGTTGCAGGTTCAAACCCTACCCCAGTCAATATCTTTGTTCAACTTTTAAAAACTTTTTACAATGCACCCAGTAAGTTTCTCTTGTGGTCTTTTGATTTTTTTTTTAATTTTGTTCAGTGTTTGACAATTCATTCCACCAACAAGCAAAGAATTGCCCCAGAAATACCCTTTTTTTAGGGGGGGGGATACTTTCCCACAACTTTGGTTGACGTGAGTGGTAGGATTTAAATCCAGATTTTTAAAAACTCAGTTTGAATTCAACTTTTTGATTTAAATTTTGGAAACCGGATATTCAAAACCAACCTTAAACAAAATAAGCCTTCAATTTTTGTTGGTAAGCAGGCTAAAGAAAGCAATGGGAATATGCCCCATTGACTTCATTTGCTAGTGGTCGTCTTGGTATATGAATAGCCTGCCCATTGGACCAGCGTGCCCACTCGTCACTTTTCGTTGTCATGACTGTGAGCTGGACGGGAATTTCCTGTGAAATCAGACAACCATTATTCGGTTTGACAAAACATTAGGATAACTGAATTTTGAAGTCTCTGATTTCTCCCACTACTAGTTGACGTATTCATTTAGCGTTGCTCGACTTAGTTATGTAGACCTCAGGCTTTTTTGTCTTTTGTAGTTATGAATTACCATCGTCCAGTGTTAACATGTGATCTTCTGTTTCAGGCTGTTCCCTACTCCAGAGACTACAAGAGGAAGTATGACTACTTCAAGTCGAGACTGAAGAAGCCTGTAAGTTCATAAACAAACTCATGTTATGTATCCACATATCAATTTTTTTTTTTTAAACTAAATCAATTAACACAATTTGGCAATCATTGAAACAGAACCACAGTTTTTAAAAAATGGGACTTTCTATTTATGCAGTCTCCCTTCCAATTTTATTTTGCAAAGAATTTGTGTTTGTTAACAGGGTTCCTACAGTCGTGGAAAAATCCTGGCATTTAAAGCTATTACGGAAAGTTATTTAAAATTTGTGGAAATTTTGTTATTTTACAAGGAGTCATTACAAGGAGTCATCAGGCACGCAACTTTTCCTCGGATCCACTGATTTCCTCGTTTTTCACTTCTCGTGAAAGCCATAACAAATTGAAAAACACTTTTCTAAATTCCCAGTTGCATGCCTGAGTCATGGAAAGTTGATGTTGCAAACCAAAAAATCATGGAAAAGACAAGGAATCCACACAACCCATATGTGACGATGCGTAATTACTTGGCAATGGTAGTCTTCTGCTTTCCATTGTAGTTTACTATACTTTCTGTTTATGCATGTTGCTCTATACTTGCGTGTTAAAGGGAAAATACAACATTTGCAAACATCAAAAATAAAACTACCAAATCATTTTGAAATACCTTGCTGGACTGTTAGTGAATGACAGTGTAAAGCATCCTGTAAAATCATGGCACCTGGTATACTGTCATTTTCAAGAAAAGTGGTATTTTTGTATCAATTTCCAACGCTGGTCGGCCGACCAGCGTTGGAAAAAAACTGGCTTTTTTTTCAAATACTGGCCCCAATTGACCATCGCACTTGTTTGCAATCGATTACACACCTATGAACGGGTACAAGCCAGCTAGACTGGTTCCCTGACCTTACAATTCCCCAATGTATGTAAACTGCTCTGTTTCTTCTTATATGGAGTCAGGGAACCAGACTACAGGAAAATGATTGTTTTTCTTGGTTTTTATAGCATTTTCGAACCCAAAACCTCAAAAAAGTCAGTGTAACTATATTTGCTATATATTTCCAACCCCCCAATTCCATCCATTTCTGAAAATTACAGCAAAAGCAAATGATGTATATTCCCTTTAAATACATTTGTGGTGTTCATTTGTCTTGTGTCAAACTGCAATACTGAAAGGGAGTGGCGTCCCTTGCCTAAGTGTGATGTCTAGTCAGTGTATTTTTAATAGGCTCCTTAGATACCAAAAACAGCATAGAAAGCGGTCGTGGAAAACCCTAAATTTTGTCCTGGAAAAGTCGTGGAAAGGCGTGGAATTTTATTTTAAGATTTCTGTGAGAACCCGTTAAATTTTACTTTGCAGAGTGCCAGCACGGTGTTCCGTTCGTCTCGGGTTCAAATCTTGGTGGTCAAACATTTTGATGATAATTTTTCTCCCCCTCCCCACACTACCCCCCACCCCCCAACAAACTTTCTAACTCCACCCCTCCTGTATCGTTTCAGTCCAACGTGCCCAATCGGTTTGAGCTGAAGTGCAGTCGAGCCAGCATTATGGAGGATTCCTATCGCAATATTGTCAGCGTCAAGAACCCGGAACTTCTTAAGTCCAGGCTGTGGATTGAGTTTGTGGGCGAGACGGGGCTGGACTATGGTGGTGTTGCAAGGTAGAGAACTCCCTTCATTGTCTTTCTTAACCACTGATTGGTGGACTTTTTCATTGCAAGACATGATGACTATTAAAATATGGTGTCTATTGTGCAATATGTTAAGTGCTCTGTGTAGTTTTGGATAATGAATTTCATAATTACAGAATGCACGTTATGAGAAATGGAACTCAACGGAACATCATGTTAACTTCAAATATTTTAATTTCTGAGGGACTTGCTTACATTGTTGGCCCTGAGTTGAAAACCATAATCACACTGTCCCAGTTTAAAAATGGTCAACTTGGGCAGGATTGATTTGCAGTTACTTTGTCACTAGAATCAAAGATCTTGTGTTCTTCATGGAATTTTCAATTGGATTTTGGAATTTTTACAACAATGTTTTTCCTTTTGCTTTTTCTTTGTGTTGCAGGGAATGGTTCTTCTTACTATCGAGGGAGATGTTCAATCCATACTACGGTCTCTTTGAGTATTCTGCCATGTAAGTTCTAGGTTCTAGGTTCTAGGTTGGTTCTTCTCCTAAATACTCCACGTGGGAGTTTATACAGGAGGCCAGAAACACCGGGGCAAACCCCTTTCTCTTAGCGATAAGTGTTTACTGGGTTCTTTTACGTGCATTTATACAACACACGGGACCTACGGCTTAACGTCCCATCCGAAGGACGAAGCAATAATGGTTAAGTGCCTTGCTTAAGAGCACAAGTGTCCGCCGGCGGGCTCAAACCCACGTCACTGTTGCCTCTGAAACACCAGAACATGAGTCCGGTGTTCTTAACCGCTAGGCCATGACACTCCACCTGAGATCAGAGATCCTTTAATACGCCTTGTGATTTGACTTGTGATCTGACTTGCGATTGGACGTGTGACTTGACTTGCGATTGGACTTGTGATTTATCTTTTGTTGATTTGTGACTGATTTCAACTCCGTTGTTACCCCTTTGTGCTCAGGGACAACTACACACTACAGATCAACCCCGATTCAGGCGTGTGCAATGAGCAGCACATTTCGTATTTCAAGTTTATCGGCCGAGTGGCCGGTATGGCCGTCTACCATGGCAAACTTCTAGACGGTGAGGGTTCATTGTTACTTCCTTGACTTACACCTGTCCAGCATCCATGTATCTTACCATCTGTGTCTGCATTTGTCCCCTCTTCCTTCCATCTTTCATCTGTTACTCAGCTTTTTTCTCCTTTTTAGAACCATTTCTATTTCATCTATTGTTGGCCCCCAATGTTTCCCCAACAACCACCAATTTTCAAAGTTACAATGTTCGTGTACCAGTGTCATATGAAAATCCGACTCCTATGAAAATTGGACTCCTTTTCCCTACTATTGGTTAATCCCTCTCACGTGACAAGTCACTAGGCCAGTTATCAACTTACTCATGTGTAGTACTACCAATGAGTCCATATTTCATGGAGTCGGATATTCACGCTACACCAGTGTAAGGATTGGACATTTTCAGTGTAAGGCCAAAAAAATTAATAAGTCGGTCTCTGGTCAGCGCGCGCGTCGATTTTAATCATGCGCGTCGATCTTTTTTTTTTCCAAAATGTTCCGCGGTAGCTCCAACAGCGCCCTCTATTTCCGCACCTCAATTTTTTTTACCAAAGGGCACCAAGGAATGGGAAATTGCACCAAGGCAAATGATCAAAAGCACCAAGGCAAATTATGGAGGACACCAATGTACATGAGGACACCAAAAAAGCAAAATAGTACCCACCCATAGCTGCCAACTAGTACGATTTTTTCGTAATTATTACGAATTGTTTGTTAAATTACGAAAATACGATTTGCCTCTAAAACATTACGAATTTCCCATTTTCTACCTAACGAAAAAAAAATACTTGTAAAGTATCGTTTTTGACCAAAAACTTCTGGCGAAATGTCGCGATAATGGATGGACTGGTGACAAGTCTAATAAGAATGCAGTCAAGCACCTGATAGACATCAATGCAGTGTGCGCAGTGGAGTACTTTAGGACCAGACTAAAAATATTTTTCAATGGTGTATCATTTGTGTGCATCTCGTGCATGTGTGGTTGTGTGTACTGTATCATGTATGTGAGTACTTTTCAGTGACGATCGTGAGCACTTTCAGTCGCTTATTGCCCGAATGAGACCCATCAGTGCGAGATTTTAATCATGGAATTTAATAAGAGTATGGTTGGAATAATTGGTAATAGAGTTTGAGTTTATCACAACGGACAGAAAAGATAATCAGCATGCGTTTGCAAGGTATGTTGGCGGGATATTTCTATTGCATACGGTGGCCCTAAATCATTGTGTGTAAAAACATGAAACGAACTCGAAACTACACATCGATAGCATGCATCTCAAAAAAAATTTGCGCACATGTTATTGTTGTTATTATTTATTTGACTTCAACAAACAAATACAGACATTAAAACAAAATTAATTTAAAAAAAACTTTTTTTTTTTTTTTTTTTTTTTTTAAATTATCTTTTGGCCTACAGTACATTATTATTCACAACAAGAAGGGTATGCACATGTATGTGTTCATGTAAACCATGTACCTGTACTCGATGTTGGTAAAGCTTTTGATAAAACGAGAAGTTGAAAATGACCGCGCGGGTTGATTACTAATTGGGATTTTGAAAAGTTGGCAGCTATGCCCACCTTGTCTGTACAATCCAAGCTTGAAGAAAAAAAAGAAAAAGCCGCGTGGCAGCGTCAATTCCGGAACTTTGGTCTGACCAGAGACCAAATATTTATTTTTTTTGGCCTAATACTACTTCCACTGCACCCTCAATGTTTTTTTGTTTTTTTCAAAACCTGTGACGAACTCTCAAACCTGTGATTATCTGTACACTGAGCTCGCTAGGGTTGGCTGGCTGGTTTGAATTGGGTAAAGTTGGAGGAAACGGGACTTAACTGTCTGGTCGTTTTCTTGTATTCTCAGCATTTTTCATCCGACCGTTCTACAAGATGATGCTGAGCAGACATATCACACTGGCAGACATGGAGTCTGTGGTAAGTCAGAGCAATTGTCTAGATCTTACACCATTAAAACTGCATGGGAATATGCTGAAAACAAACGTAGCCGTAGTTCTAGCCCATTGAGACATTTCCTTAATTTGAACAAAGCCTCAATATCTGTTATTTAGATATATATACATGTGCAGTCCGAGATGTTTGATTTGATTCAATTTGAAATGGTTTATGTTCATTGTGGTCATGGACTAAATTGCAGAACACTTTACAGTTGATCAAGAAATTACAATACAATACAAAACTACAATAGAAATATAATCATTCAGGGTTCTCCCCACGTACAAACGTGCGTATCGGCCCGATACGCTGGAATTGTGGCCCGATACGCCGACAAAAATGCCGATCACATTTTTCAGCCCCCGATACGCACAATATAATTTATTACACAAGCCATTAAAATGCACAACATTATCGTTTCATACGCCATTATTTCATCTTGACATTCAAAATCTTGACAAAAATCCCGTATTTCTGATGCTGCATGTGTGATCAAAATGCACACGATGACGGGTCTTTCGCGACGACCGCCAGCACCCAGATATATTAGCGCATTCAGCATGGTACACTGGTTCCCTTCGCGTGCTAACAGTATCACTGCTATGATGAAGGACCGGAACCAGTGACTACTGCCTTGTACGTGCATACATGATGATTTCGGCCGAAGTTGGATCGTAAAAACACCAAACAAACATCGATGAAGAAAGAGAATTTCTGCAAATTAATTCACAGAACGTGATCTCTATTTTCTGTGTATGTATTTTCCATTAAAATGACGAGATTGCAAAGCTCGAACGTATGGCGAAACATCGTACGCGTAGCATGCTTCTTAGAAGCAGTGGTGCAAAATTTTCAGCCACATGGGATGGGCCGTACACAGTTCAGTAATGCACACTGATGCTGCGCCGTGTCGGTGAGCACAGCGCGATGTACAGCCGGCCAGACTGAATGTTGACGGCGCCAGGGGCCATGATGTACGTTAAACATATTGTGGAATCAACTACCTCAAATATATTTTTAATTAGGTGAGGCAAGTTTTAATCACTTTTGATGGTCAGTCTTGATAATTTTCGTGGTGCAAAGGAAAATAATCCAGGCACAAAACTACATGATTCCTTGTTCAATATGCTCCATTCAATCAAGTGTTTTATTCCTCCATGATTCAATCAGCAGCCCAAAAAATTGGCGAAATAATTTTTCCGACTTACCGACGCTATTTTGAAAGGCATCTAATCGGAAGCAAAAGTGATATTTTTCTTCACCTTAATTTCTTAATTTGAAACTTGCTTGTTAATATAATTCATACTTTCTAGATCAGGAAGTTTTAACACAGGTTTTGAAATGTTGATTTTTTTTTTTAAGTTAAAAATTTTGATATATTTTTTTCTTTAATTACAAAAAATATCACATGATCTCCTCTAAATTTTAAGGGAAAATCTTCCTCAAAGACTCCCCAGATTTGCTCTAAAATGCACCAGAGAGCCTCTAAAGTTCAAAAGTTTTCGGGGCCCTTAAGCGGGCCCCGAACCCCACGCCATGGCTTCGCAGGTTGGTGAATCACAACAAAACTTCCCCCACAGGTTTGAAAAAATCCTGGGGAGAACCCTGTCATTGTGTCACAATACTATTCAGTTCATTGCAATGATGGCCTCTGACAAGGGTTAAGGAATTTCAGTGAAATTGTCAATAGATTTTGTATACATTTGGTGAAATTGTGTATTATGAGGTTTTTTGGCCCACTGATTGCTTTCCAAGCTCTTGAAAGAAAAAGCTGTATCATCTTTGAGTGACACACCTCCCCCCCCCCCCCCTTTGCTATTTCCTAGATGAACAGCATTGTTAATGATGCTGGCATCATGACTTGGATCTGGACACGGTCCCTGGCTATGTGCTGCAGACCAGATTTATTGCCTCTGACTAGCATCTTTGACCGTTAAACATTGACTGATTTAGAGACTACCAGCATAGGGCTGGATAGCTCAGTCGGTAGAATGCTGGTACGGTGTGTCAGTGGTCACAGGTTCCAATCCCGCTCCGGTCAGTTTCTTCATTCAACCTTGTATTATTTAGTCGGGGGACTCCAACCCATAGCTGTGACAAAACCTCAATTGTAACCTTTTCAGTGTTATTTTCCTCATAGGATACGGAGTACTACAACTCGTTGCTATGGATCAAAGAGAATGACCCCTCTGACTTGGAGCTGACCTTTTCTGTGGATGAAGAAAGTTTTGGACAGGTAATAAATGAATTTCCTTCCACCCCCCCCCCCATTCCTCCTCCCCCCCCCCATTCCTCCTCCTCCTCTCCCCCCCCCCCCCCCTCGGAGAAGATTAGAATCCATACTGTAATTTAAGAAATGTTCATATGCAATTTTTTTACCGTTTTCCTAAAAGGAGTTGATCAACACAAGGGCATAAAGTTGGGGCCGAGGGGGCTATCAGCTCTTCCTTCTCTCACCCCCCCCCCCCCCCCCCCCCCCCCCCCCCCCCCCCCCGCACCCCCGATCCATAAATGTCCCCATTTTTTTTTTTTGGAGAATTTAATTCACCAGCAATTCACAGTCAGTAGCATCACCCTCCCTTCCCCGCATAAAAAATATAACGGTTTAAAAAAGAAAAATGTTTTTACGAATGAAAACAATAGATTTTCAGTGCTGTGTCTTCAGATGAGTTTAGTTGTACTTGAAATTGACAATTTTATTCAACAGACGAAGACTACGGAGCTGAAACCAAACGGTGACGAGATCCCGGTGACCAACCTGAACAAGAGGGAGTACACACAGTGAGTCAGCTGCTTGTCACATCTTTCAACTCTTTCTTATCAGACTCGGAAATAAATAGTACCGGAGTCTTATATAGCGCACAACAATTAGGTACCCCACGCCTTGGTAATTATGTCTATGTTTGAAGACAAGTAAATGACGTTTATGAGAAAAATGAGATTCATTATGTAGCACCTTTATAAAGGGTATGCAAGGTGCTGCAGCGCATATTGCAGCCAGAAACACTGGGGCAAACCCCTTCTCTTAGCGATAAGTGTTACTGGGTTCTATAGTGTGCATTACACAACACACGGGACCTACGGCTTTACAATAATGGTAAAGTGCCTTGCTCAAGAGCACAAGCACCATGTTCCCACGGTCAGGAATTGAACCCGTGTACCACGGCACACGAGTCGAACACTGTAACCATTGGACCACAGCACCCCAAAAATAAACCAACCGAGTTTAGAATCTGAAATGAATTTTGGTTGTGCAACACACAACGGTTGTCTGTATCAGGAGTCTGCGCAGTTTAATAAAAATTCACATTTTGGATTCAGATCTTGTAGCAGACTATTATTTTGTTTAAAAGCTGAGTTCCAGTTTTCTTCCTTTTCAGCAAAACGGTGGAAATTTGAAATTTGAGTTGGAAGCATTAAGCCTAATTATGAAAATATATGTGAATTAAGTGAAAACTAAATACCTATTGAAATGTTTGGCACACACTTTTCACAGTTAATTAATGTTTCACATTGGGTTTTTATTCATTAAACAACCCGAATCAAAACTTTATTACCCACGAGTTACAGTTGATATTCAGACTTTATTACTAATACTTTGTATAACTTTTCTTTTGGTTCATTCCGAATTCCGATGATTGTTTGTTGCTTGGCTCTCAGTAAACCCTCACATGTTGATTTGTCCATTTCCCACTTTCTTATCAGGCTTGTGATTCAATGGCGGTTTGTCAACCGAGTCCGCAAACAGATGTCTGCCTTCATGGAGGTAAGAGCTGCAATTCTTACAGTTTGTCAGTCAAAAGATATAAACATTGCTTCCAAAAGCTCCATTGTTATTTCACTTTGAAACCTTAAAGGGAATAAACAACATTTGCAAACATCGAAAAATAAAACTACCAAGTTTTTACGAAATACCTTACTAGGATGTTGGTAAATGACAGTCTAAAGCATCCTGTAAAATTATGGCACCTGGTGTCAGTCATTATCAAGAAAATGGTATTTTTGTATTCATTTCCAACGGTGGTCGGCCGACCACCGTTGGAAAAACCTAACTATTGCTCCAAATTTGCATTTTTTTTCAGTCCAAATTTTGTTTGCTATTGGTTACATGTTCATGAACGGGTGCAGGCCAGCTAGACTGGTTCCCTTACCTTACAATGTTCCGACATCTATAAATTGATCCATTCTATCTTTAGTGGAGTCAGGGAACCAGACTACTACTTAAACATTTTTGTTTTTCTTGGTTTTCAAGCATTTTCGAACACAAAACTTCAAACATGTCAGTTAAACAATATTTGATCTATTATACTAACCCCTCAAATAGTTCATTTCTGAAAATTACAGCAAAAGCCAATGATGTACATTCCCTTTAATGCTCTGTTTACAGCGACCTGTTATTTCCATCAACGTGGCTTCAACTATCCGGTTCGTTAGTGTGACGTCACCTCCAGCACTTTCTGCACGATTGAAACCGGAAGTTAACGCAGCTCGAGCGTTTGTAGCCAATGGGCGCTAGTAATCAGTGGTGCGCGCCCGTTTATGACGTTTTTACTAACGAACCGGATAGCCATTACTCCAGAGTATAGTGTAAATGAAAAGCTATTGTTGTTGTGGTGCCACACCCCCACGCATGCTGCAAATGTTCTTAAAGACAAGACACGCGCAAATTTTGGTATCCCCATTAGTCGAAGGAGCCCAGCGTTCGTACATACTACGTGAGCGTGACTCGCGCAAGCCTGGTGCCACCACAGAAAAAGCCTGTTATCAATTTAGTCTATTGGTTCGAAAATCAGGGCACTTTTAAGTTTGTCTGATCAGGACAATTAGTTTAGTACTCAGAAGGGTTCATTTATACTTGAAAATTTGAACACAGGAAAAGTAAAACTTTTAGATTCAACTTTTCATCTTCCAGAATTTACTTCAATTTTTTCCTGTTTCTGTGTGTCTCCAGGGTTTTCTAGACCTGGTGCCGCTGGACCTCCTCAAGATATTTGATGAGAACGAACTGGAGGTAAGTCAACCAAAAGGAAAGAATTATGGCACCGAATGTATACTCTGTCATATAGTGTACCAAATTAATCAAGTCTGTGCATAAGTAGGGGCACCAAAACTATGCACGTTGGTATCCCTGGTAAGAAAATGTAGGGGGGGGGGTAGATTTGACAATTTTGTATGGAAGTTCATCAAGCAGTTTCTTATTTAGTACAGTTTGTTTCACCAGTCTTGGTTTATATTACCGAGATTATTCCTTTGTGGTAATGAAACAAAGCATTTCTCAAAAGCACTGTAGCTTGCAATCCTTAAGAAACCTATGCAGAGAAGACAATCAAGAAATGTTCAGTTTGAGATTAGTATTCTGAGAATCAGACAGGGACTGAAAAACCGAATCCGCACGTCAGCCTGGGTGGGAATTGAACCCGAGTCACATCAGACACAGGCAAGGAAAGTACCAATGCGCTATTAACCTGACTTCCCTTAAAACTTGGCTGCCATTCACCCACACCAACCTGTGCACAACTTGCCCTTCACTGGCACTCATTCAACTGCTCTCTCACTCTCTTTGTTTGCAGCTGTTGCTGAGTGGACTAGGCGACATTAACGTCAATGACTGGAGAACCAATACAGCCTACCGCGGTGGCTACCACCCAAACCACATTGTAATACAATGGCTATGGAAGGTATGTACACATCATTGCAGTGGACTTTAAAGGGAAAATACAACATTTGCAAACATCAAAAAGTAAAACTGCCAAATCATTTTGATATACCTTGCTGGACTGTTAGTGAATGACAGTGTAAAGCATCCTGTAAAATCATGGCACCTGGTATACTGTCATTTTCAAGAAAAGTGGTATTTTTGTATCAATTTCCAACGCTGGTCAGCCGACCAGCGCTGGAAAAAACTGGCCCCTATTGACCATCGCACTTTTTTGCAATCGATTACACACCTATGAACGGGTACAAGCCAGCTAGACTGGTTCCCTGACCTTACAATTGCCCAATGTATGTAAACTGCTCTGTTTCTTCTTATATGGAGTCAGGGAACCAGACTACAGGAAAATGATTGTTTTTCTTGGTTTTTATAGCATTTTCGTACCCAAAACCTCAAAAAAGTCAGTGTAACTATATTTGCTATATATTTCCAACCCCCCAATTCCATCCATTTCTGAAAATTACAGCAAAAGCAAATGATGTATCTTCCCTTTAAAAGAACAAAGACAGCGTCAACAGTCTATCTCTCTTTACCAACATGTACAATTGCAATTACATTAAATGCCAACACCATTGTCGACAAATAGCACATTGTCACTGATATTTTTTGTTGGTTACTTTTCTACCAACTACCATATGCCCCATCACACATCAAGCCCAAGTTATGAGCCCAATTTATTAAATGCTATGAGTAAAGGTGAGTTCATAGTATGCAAAAAAAAAGAAAATGCAAGTGCGACTTGGCGACATCATGGCAAGTATTTTGCAAATCAAATTTGAAACAAAAAATGAACGAATTCCACAACTTGGGCGAATTTTGCGGGATATCTGTTGTGACATCAATTTACTTCACATTTGCATTCCCTGTAGGCTTTGAATCAGGTTCAATATTGGGTTTGGCCCTTCACCGACATGTTTTTATAGACACTATATACTCAGTATTGTCCCGAGTAATTGTGAAAAAAAATACTCGGGTGGGACTCGAACTCGCAACCTCCTGCTTACTAGTGCAGACGTCTTACCACTAGACCATCAAATTGCCAGGGTTGGCTGGCTGGTTCGAATCTGATATAGCAGCGGGTATCGCAACCAAACTATTCAAATGATGGGATATGCAAATTCCATCTTATGAATACTTTGAGTCAGGATTGTCACATTCAGTGTAATGGGATGGGTAATATGAAATCCAAATTCAAAAAAATATCTTAATTTTTGACACAGCCATGTAATTCCTTTATTATAGCATATATTACCCTACTGGCTGTGCATTGCAATAACGGACATTGACTTGTGCATCGGCATAAAGTTACAATGTAATACTCTTCCACCGCAGGCCATATTGTCCTTCGATACCGAGATGCGATCGCGGCTCCTCCAGTTTGTGACGGGGACCTCCCGCGTTCCCATGAACGGCTTCGCTCACCTGTACGGCAGCAACGGACCCCAGCTCTTCACAATCGAGAAATGGGGCAAGCCCGAGTCCCTACCCAGGGCCCATACATGGTAAGTCATCTTTGTGTTGATTTGTTGTTGTCTCACTTTCCAGGGAGTTTCCCCAATGTAGTCCTTCAAACTGTTCAGCCCCTGTTACTTGCAACCTGACTTGTGATTGACTTCTGATTGACTCAGTTGGGTCATTCTTCTAATTTAGGGTCCAAAGTGTGACATTTTCCCCGTCCCTGTTACCTTGGTGCTTTGTAATTTGCCATTCAAGTGTCATCTCTTCAAACAACTTCAAACTAATTTCTATTGGTTGGGTAGGTCGTTTGCTTCTCATAATCACTCTTGGAGGAAGAATGCATTTCAGGAGTGCATCTAGAATTGCAGAATCATAGATGTCAGACGTAACAGGGATAGGAACACAAAAAAAAAAAAAATTTATAGAATATCCAGTTACATCTTTTTCCACGATGCAGGCCACCTGGGGAAAAAAAATAATGGCTTTTGTTTTGGCAGTACTACTGACTCGTCAGCAAATAAAGTTACATTTCTCAGTATATTATGTTACACAGTGTTGGAGTCAAGCCCATCACAAGTCCAGTCACAAGTCAAATCACAAGTCCGATCACAAGTAACAGTGGATGAACGATAACAAAGGAATGCCTTTGTCATAATTCATTTGAATAGCTTGTGACTTGAACCGGGACAGGAGGATTTGTGATGGACTCGTGATTGACAAAGGGTACTAGGAGAGTATTGAAGTGTATTACATTGAAAGTTGTTAAGAGGACAAGGGTTCATTTGATCGGGTAGAACTGAGAGAGTAACATGCCCACAGTTTATTGTTTTGAGGAATTATTGACAAAAATTAATTGGATTACAGTTGCGTCCCCGTGCTCTTCAACAAATTCTTTTTGTTTTTGTTTTTTTGTTTTTTTCAATTAAAAATATTTCAACTCCTATATTTTATTCCAACCAAAAAACCTCTTTTTTTCCCTTTTTTGGACGTCTCCAACCCTCTGAGGAAAGGTTTGGCACAAACAGATCTGCTTTGGGAGCAGACTGGCTCCCGGTCCGTACATTATCGATACTGATTGTGGGGCGGGAACCAGCCTACCCCGCGAGAACAGAATTCTTGTCTGGCAGCCAATAATTCAAACTGATAGAGTAATAATTCAATAACTAAACATGGGCCGATTATTTTCCGTTGATATCTCATCCAAAAGTGAATAACTTTTGTATTGCTACAAAACAAAAAGAAATCAGAAAAGGAGTCTCTTTTTTCCTTACTCCCTTCGTTCTTCTGCTTGTGAGTCTCTTGTCATCCCCAAGTCACATAAATTGGCTGGTGACAGGGCCTTCTCTGTTGCCGCCCCCCGGCTATGGAACAACCTGCCCATCTCCATCAGAAACTCATGCAGTGTCTTTTCCTTCCAAAAGGCTCTCAAGACCTACCTTTTCCCCCAAACGTAGCTGCATGTCCTTTTGTTGTTGTTTTTTGTCTTCTATTCCTCTTTCTTCTTTTCTAGCGCCTTGTATCCTTTGGTAATTTGGCGCTATACAAATCCAGTTATTATTTTTATTTATTTTTTTTTTTTTTTTTTCGGGATGAAACTTGAAAAAGCCCGGGGACGCAACTTTAAAAATGTCCCTCAGACCCATGAGCTGAATTGTTAAAATTCATTTTATCAAAGTAAATTTCACCACAACAAATGACGTATCTTATTTAATGATTGTTTTATCCACAGTTTCAACCGGTTGGACCTGCCTCCGTACGAGTCCTACTACACTTTGAAGGAGAAGCTACGCACAGCGGTCGAGAATGCCGAAGGATTTGAAGGAGTAGATTAAAATAATGAGTCCGTGGGCCACGCACAAAGTGAACCTTTCAAGCGATGAAGACACATAGTAATACAGTGGAAAGTCGCTATAACAAACATTGGGGATCCACAGAAATTGTTTGTAATAGCAATCGTTCGGTATGGCGATTTTCACACATTTTTGGCGCCCTCTTTTGATCATTGTTATTGTGTAGTTGCATTTACAAACCACGCGCGGAGTCGCCAAACTTGTCCATTAATATTTTCAATTCTGTACCAGAACTTCACCAAGTACGCCCTGTTAGTTACTGAAAGACGACTTCGAACACGTTCAACTACACAAAAATTGGGAGTCAAGGCTGATGTTCGGTATAGCCGAGTGTTCGGTATGGCGGTGTTCGGTATAGCGGCGTTCCACTGTAGTAGGAGATATCATCCCTTTCCCCACCCCCTTCTGGGCATTGATGCCCCTCCCCTAGGTCGGAGCTGCTCCATACAGCCCTGCCTGTCACTCCCTAAACCACTCCTGCACTGTACGGTTGTTACAGATACATACAAGTGCAAAAAGCATTGCACAATAAGCCAAATCGGTATTCCAACTACGCATGTGCATTACAAGATTCAATAAATTATACTTATGCTTTTGGACAAACTCGGCAGATATATGCACACAAGTCTATGGTGAACGTGGTTACTGAATATGCATTCTGCAAGTTTTCATGGAACCAAAAAGATGATGGAGACTTTCTTTCGCACAAACGTTTGGGCATACAAAACACCTTAAAACACTTTGCTTTCCAAACTTTATGAAATCTTGTGCTCACTTCAGAACAAGTCAAGTTCTTTACTTGTCTTGGTCCTCACTATGATTTTGCAGGCATACGGCAAATTGTTTATCATGAAAGGAAAATCGTCAAATTTTGATGTACACGCGCGCAGTTGCAATACCGACCTGGCTTATTGGTGTAGAGCTAATATATTGGCTCATTTCCAGTTTGCGCCATTGTTGAGCGAAAGTTTAAAAAATATCCAATTCAAATTGGAAATTAACCAAAAATGTAAACTCTGTTTGAACTCTAGTCAGAGGAATGCATACTGAAATCATGCTTTTTATACTATCCTTGGATGAGTTGCTGTATTATTACAGCACAGAGATTGTCCAAATTTCAACTTTTTTGGTAATTTGAAACTGATACTATATGAAACAATACTGAAAGTTTGAAAATCACAAGGCAGGAAGTTGAATTTTGATTGATGAATTCAGCATACGTGAATGAAGTAGGCAAATTGAAGTTCATAGCTAAACAGGACAGATTCGTGAATAACCCTAACCCTCCAAGAGCCTCCAATATCAGCCAGACACCAGTCACTTCTATTCAAGTAACCAACAATGAAATTTGTCAGGATTTTTTCCTAATTTCAGGATTTTTTGTTGGGATTTTCTCCTGATTTCAGGAATTTTTAACCACTTTGCGCCGGAATATTTTTGCCGAAAATTTTGATTTTCGCTTTAAAGGCAAAATTTCCAGCCAACTTCTGATATCCTGTTCGTTAGTGTGACGTCACCTCCAGCACTTTCTGCATGATTGGAACCGGAAGTTAACGCAGCTCGAGCGTTTGTAGCCAATGGGCGCCAGTAATCAGTGCTGCGCGCGTGTGTATGACGTTTTCACTAACGAACCGGATACAGCCAAACGCCACAAATACTGACTCGCAAGAGTCATTTCAACAGTATTTGTACGATATTTCTTGCCGAAATCTCATATGTTTCAATACTCTGAGGTGTGCACTGGAGCATAAATTGTACAACAATAGGCCGTGCACAACGGCCAATTCAAGATGAACACACGGTCCGCCTCCACAGACTTCACAGACTTTGTGTGTGTGTGTACAAAAGGCACGAGGGATTAGCGTGTTTAGACATCACCTGGAGGCGAGTCGAGGCAATCTTGACGTCTTAACCCGTCAGCTGTGCCTGTGTGTAAAACTAGCCAGTGCATGTTATCACTTCCTCCGACGCGAACTGGTTAAGAATCCTTTTTGAAATCTGGAATTCCCAAGGTTTTGTGTAGACCAAAAGATATGGTTATTGTAAGGGACGCCTTGAGGCAGATACAAACATATACCATAGACCCTACGTTGCTCTGGGGCCCTCGACGACCCTCAAACCCTCTCCGATTATTTCCTGGATTTTTTCACTTTCCCCCAATCTCACTCCTGACTATTCAGGGCTCGATGCAAAAAAAAGCTTGTCAGTCTTAAACCTGAACAGTATTTAGAAAGTCTTGAGACATTTGCTCCAACCGAACAAACCCTAGCATTTGTTCTAATCATATGCGAGATAGTCTCTTGATATCCATTTGTTTGTAGCTGATGATAATATCCAGTGGACTTCAATAATATTCTGAAGAAATTTTTTTTATTGTAGTATTTGGGTGCATCGGTGCGCCAATCTTGTATCTTGTACAAATTTACTAAATTTACTTGTAAATAGTAACAATGCGATTTACGCAGATGCTTTGTGTACGTTATTCACTTGTGATTGCACCAAGTTATTTCTCGTAGAACAACCACGGTTAATGGTGTGATAATATTAACAACATCAAAAATCTTCAAAAACTTCTCTGTTTTTATGAGGGGAAGTAGTAAGGATCTGGATGAGCCAAGATGCATGTCAACCAGAATCTAAGCACTTTGAAGTACCAGAAAGTCATTTATCCAGAAGTTGTGGGGAATTTATTTTTTTCTTGGTGTAACCATCACTGTTGTAGAAAATTAATAAAACCAAATCAAGTGAAGATTCGAAGATTTTGTGACGAACTACACAGGCGTTCCAGTTTTCCTCAAATTAGCTGATTCCTCCTTTACTCATTCTCTTCAGGAATGCCAGTTTGCAGGCTATAGCCTGAATTCAGGCTTTTTGTGTTTTGGAAATACAAACTCGGCAATTCCATCCTTTCACAGGCCCGAGAAATAAATCTTCTTTATACATGCGATGCTCCATGGTAAATTGCCATGCTAGCTCAATACACGAATGTACGAATTGTAAGTTCAATGTAGACATACATACGCGTGTGGGATTGCAGTGGTTTATGGTGTATTACGATTGTTTTGGGCATGCGTGCCCAAAAGCTCACTGGCATCTCTGTTCATTAAAAATTGAAGAAAAGAAAAAAACACTGAAGAGGGTATTATAAAGCTTGGAATGTTCTCACATAGTGAATACAGTTGAGTCTCGTTATAACAAACTCGTTCGGACCTAGCCAAATTGTTTGTTATATCAGAATTTTGTATTAAGAGGAACGTCAGTCCCATTCATTGTGCATGTAAATGCACATTCAGGACCATAAAGTTTGTTATAACCAGAATTTTGTATTAACAGAGTTTGTACTAACGAGAGTCGACTGTAACCACAGCAAAAAAAATGGTGTGACTTTGAAAAGAAATGGCGAGAAGAAATGAGTTAAATTTGAACATCTGAGACAAAGTCTGAAACCAAAAATTCCCAGGGGTTTGATTTTACAGATAATCTGTTCAGGCCAGTTCATGCTCACTGCAAACGAAAACGTGAAGCATGAGAATTTATGACACCATTGCAAGTATTAGCACTGCGAATTTGCAGCGTGAATAGTTGCCGTGACAGGCAATTCCAACATTATGGAAGAAAATGTAATGTCCGTGATGGAGCTTAAAGCACTCAGCCTTTTAAACCTGAAAAATGTATTGTTCAAATCGTCTAGTAATGGTCAAGGAGATTACAGACTAGGAGTTGTGGATCATTTCTCTGAATCATTGAGATATCACACTTAATTGGCTAGAATTGCCCTTACGTCAAATTTATGCGTTCCTCACATTCAGATTTTTGTGTGAAGCATGGACTGGCACATCAGCAGAGGAAATTGCTGTGTATTTTCATTCATTAGTTCAGAGTCTGTCAAGAACCGGTCACGTTTAATAATTCACCAACTTTTTTTCTTTCTTGTAACATAATTTCGGCTTGAAGCTTTTCTGTTTTCTGCAATGATGTTTAAAGTGTTCTGTATGTGTGGCCTGTAGGTATTCATATGTGGTTACGTGCCCTACATGTACATGTTCTGTCGGATTCCTAACTGTATTTTCAGTGATATTTCTTAGATTAAATATACACAGGTAGCAAAATGCAGAATAATGCAAAGAAATACACCATATATAATATTTAAAATATTAATGGAATAATCTCTTGAACAAAAAACAATTATTGTTTAATAGAGGGTATATGGGGGACGTCTGCAAATTACCATACTGACCATCTGTTGGTTACGATGTAAAATTGGTTGGGATCAATGTATTGCATATGTAATGTTTTAATCTTAATCAATTGTACCAGTATCGTTCTTCATATCATGTATATATTCATTTTGAAAGTCATCGGTAGGTGATTCTTAATAAAGATTATCAAATTTGTACATTCAAAGCATGACATTTTCTTTTTCTATTATTATTGTATGGTGCAATTTTTTTTAAATATTTCCCAAATGCACACTTACATGTATACATCCTTGTAAAATGTAGTGATAAAACCCAAAGAATTTCTTTTTTTTCTATAGCATTTCAATGAACCTATATTGAGCTGAAATGAAACTCTGTGAACAATTGTAGAGATATCTTTTGCTGAGGCAATCATTTTTTTTGGTTGAAGGCTGAAATTTGGGGGAAAATCCACCTCAGTTTTGTAAGAGCCACTATTTTGAAACCACTTTCCAAAACCTCCAGCCTATTCAATAACTGTTTTATCAAATATGTATCCACTTTAAGAGTAGAGCTGGTTTGGACTTTTGGTGGGTATACACTATACAGTGACTTCTGGGTGAAGGGGGGTTTTTTTGGTGGAAGTATTTTATGAAGTTTAAGATCAAAGATCAAATGCATCAATGCTTGCTCTATCTTTTCATATTTTCCCCTCAAAATCAAAAGTGCAAAAAGTACTTCTTTAAAACAATGAATCCCTTTATGCTAGGAAGTTCAGGGAGGATAAATACTAGGACTTAACATTGATGAAGAAATCTTTTCTTTTTTTTCGTAGATTTGTAAATACCTTAGTATTCATGTAGTCAAAATGTGTACTATAAAATGATATAAACAATTGAATAGTAGTATTTTCCAGTCGCCTAAATTTTTTAACAGAATTTAATACAATTCCTAATGAATGTCAAGTGATATCCGCAGATAGACGTAGCAGTGTGTTACGGTCGGATTTTTCACCTTTCAAATTTCCTTCTTCCTTTTCTTTGTGCGTATGGGATCTGTGCACAAGTACCCCCTCATTGGTAAGAAAGAGAGAGTTGGGGGACACCACTGGGAGAGACATTCAAAGCATCGCCGATGACGCGCTCACGCGAAGACACTATTGCTTTTGTGCACAAATGATTCAGAATAAAATCAGTCCATGGGCGTCGCGAGGGGGGGGGCAAGGGGGGGCACTTGCCCCCCCCCCCCCCCCCTGGAAAAGCAAAAAAAAAAAAAAAAAAAAAAAGGAAGAAAAAAAAGAAAAGAAAAAAAAAGAAAAAGAGGCGCGAAGACAAAGTGGTGTAAATTTAATGAGTTGGGGGGGGGCAAAATGTCCCTGCCCCCCTCTAAAACTGATAAATCGAGAATGTGTTGAGAAATACAAGCATTTTTTGGCAAAAAATTTGTTTTGCCCCCCTCTAGAAAAAATCCTGGCGACGCCCATGAATCAGTCATGTGTACTTGGCGCGCCATACGCACGCAAAGCGGCACACGCATTCCCGTTATGTTCCTTCCACAAGGCTCTCATTAGTGGTAAAAAAAACGCCCTCTCTGTTCATGCATGGAGCCATTAGAGTCTTGATGGAATATTATGCTTGGAGGATTCATCAGGCAAAGCAAAGATACACAAGAGGTATACTCATGCGTATCCCAAAGGAACAAAATCCCACACCTCAAAAGATGGCTGGCTGCAATTGCACAAGATCTATGGAAAGCTAATTAAATTGCCTGGTTCCCATTCACTCCATTTTAAAATGGGTGGGCAGGTGCGAAGGGAACCGGTGTAAAAGTGAACTGATCCTCACTGGTTCACGTGCATTAACACCTGCTGTGGTAACATAAGAAAACGCACACCAGGGAAAGTGCCTGTGGGATTCCCTGTAGACCTTTCTTTCGCTTGTAAACATTGACAGCCATTTTGTATGGGTTGCCACAAGGTTATAAATTTAAGCAATGGTTTGCAACAGATTTTGCCCAAGTAACACTCGCATTATGTAAGAAAGAGGCATTTTCATTAAGTCTTTGGTAGAGTTTGTTGGTTGTTTTAAACAACCCAATGGTGTGTTTTTAAACATTAATAACTGTTCTTTATTTTTGCGATGTTTGGCCTTCCATAGTTGCCAACTTCAGAAAGTGTATATAGTCTAATCCCATTCAAGCTCAAATGCATCTGGAGACTGATACAGATGAATATCAAATAAGCACTGAAACAAAGGAATTCAGTTTTCATTTTTGTAATGAGGACATTATAATGTCATACAATGACTAAGCACAGGTTGTAGCCTAAAAACATGCGATCTGTCGCTTTTAAAAGATGCTGAATTCCGTTATTTTTATCAGGGAAAACGCTGCATGTTTAAATGCACAGTGTATTCCAGTCTCAATTATGTATTATAATTTAATAAAGAAGTAAAATAACAGCCACATTTGGTTAAAACATTACAATGACCGTAATAACCGGTTTTTTTATTCTAGGAGATTTCTGTTAATATTTTTGTCGAGCAGCATTGAATCAGTGCTTTATGTATGACGAGCAAAGTGTTTCTTTTTGATATTGAATAAAAGGAAGGAACGAATGAGGATTCACAGATTCTCAGACCAATTTGTTAATGAGTATCTTGAAATTTGGGATGGTTGGTGCATTGTCATGAGAATTAGCATTGTTTGTCAAACGACCTGTGCTACTGTAAATGTTGTTGAGATGATCACTTAGTGCAGTTTAACAGGTTCATTGCATAGACTCCATTCCAGTCACTGAATGCTCATCACTTTCCAATTAAAGGGAAAATACAACATTTGCAAACATCAAAAAATAAAACAACCAAATAATTATAAAATACCTTGCTGGACTGTTTGTGAATGACAGTCTAAAGCATCCTGTGAAATCATGGCACCTGGTGTGCTGTCATTTTCAAGAAAAGTGGTATTTTTTGTATCAATTTCCAAAACTGGCTTTTTTCAAATACTGGCCCCAATTCACCATATTTAGTCAGTGCGCATTTGTTTGCAATCGATTACACACCTATGAACGGGTAAAAGCCAGCTAGACTGGTTGCCTGACCTTAAAATTCCCCCCCCCCCCCCTTTTCTCCCCATACAGCCAAACTTTGGCAGAAAACTTACTGCTGTACACAGGGAACTGGTCTGTAGTGGTCTTTGATCAGAGACTGATGAACAATTAAGATATTCTGAAAAATTTCCAATGTAGCCAACAGTCTTCCAATGTCATACTCTGAGGAAAGAAATGGTATTGTACTAAGCAGCTCAATGTAGCAAGAGTACTCCAGCAAACTGTAAGAAGGCATTAATCACACAATACGGATCATCAATGCTTTTTATTAACAATACCAATATCTTTTAATGTTCTACACATTCTCGTAAACACCCCCGAAGTTTATTTTGTACAGGACTTCCCCCAATAACTTACTTATATAAGCAACATCGCAAAATGATGTATTTTATACCATTACATATCCCATATCAAAACAAAAGAAATTAACAATATGACAAAACGAACATTAACCTTAAACCTTAGAATAGTTAGCTTCCGTCATCCTCCGCAGTGACATTTTCTCACCGTGAAACCGACAAATACAAGTGAGTGCCAGTTGAACTTGAACATCAAGGGAATTTGTGCAGCAACGTACTTTGTTTTATTACACAACTAACAATTTTTCTTTGAACATGCCTTTTTGTTGGGGAGAGAATCAATTTTCAACCTCAAGAAAAATGGAATACAATTTTATCTTTTTGAGTTGAGTTTTGAAAATTGGTGTCTTTGGCAACAGAATTTCATTGTGGGCCGGGGCAAATAGATGGTTTGCACTGCAGTCATATGAGGTGTGTGCTGTTGCTCAAGAGGAGAGAGCTATGAGCCAGCCACCCCATGCATAACGTGGTCCCCTCTGCGCGCTATAGTCCAGCGCCCATTTGTGGATACCGATGTGCCCAACTGCAGATATAGATCAATACACTTAGTGGCTCGGCCTCTTGTTTTCCCTTACATTTAAAATTATCCCAAGGATAAATTTGGAGAAGAAAAACAGTCTATGCAAAATGGGCTTTAGTGGATGCGAACCAAGGACCTTTCGATCCATAGGTCATCTCACTACCCACTAGGGTACTGTGGCAGCTCAACGACAGCTGTTCTTTAAAAATGCTTTATTATAATCGCTCCGAGTTAGACCCGGACTTTGGCAGTTGGGTTTTGGATGTTAGCTCACCGGCGCCGTGACATCATACACGAAGTGCATGGCTTACAGCCTCTTCCTTTGTTCAAGAGGGATGAATTGTTAATTACCATAACGACATGCACCTTAAACATGGCTGCTCAATGCAGTCAATCTGTTCATTCAAGTAAACAATACAATATGGTTGTCATAACAAATTTAGCCAGGCCTTTAAAGACCACTCCCCTGTTCATCTTTTGTTTTTGTGAGTTGCTAACCACTGTATCAAGTTACTGTAATGTCAACCATTAACCAAATTATGGCCCATCCATGTAATTATAGATGAAGTCTTTTCTTATTTTTTATTAGCAGAATCCACATTATCTAGTGGAGATATCATAATGTTTCCTTGAAAACACAGGATTAAATATTGCAGTTGTGTGGTTAGATTAGTAGTGGAATTAAACAATAACAATTGCAAATCTACAGTATTCACCATTATCGTGAATAAACATGAAGAAATCTACAGGGATTTTTTGATCAAGCACAGAATTAATGGCCTTCATTAGACGGTATTGAAACAATACACTGTGACGTTCAAACCGACACAAGGACTCATTGTCCCTAGGGGGCGCCCTTTCGAGCTGTACGCAAAAAAAGTTATTACCTTAGAATTGAGTACGCTGGTCCTTTGAATAAATAACTATCTTTATACATGTGTTGTTTTATTCAGAAACTGTTAAATATCCAATTTGTAACATATAAATACCTAATTTAGAGGATTTACATTTTCAAGAAAATTTTGCGGATTAACTTTTATCTCGACATTTTCAGGGGGTTAAAATCCTGCTTCATACGCATACATGGTACACAATTAAGATATTCCCCTTTAAAGCATTACCAAATTCCCCTTTAAATTGTTACCAACGAGGCTTTGAGTGCAAATCTATTATGTATTTTCCTATATGAAGGTCTTTGGCATCAATGCTCAAAATCTGGGAATTTTTTCAACCAAAAAAAAAATTGGAGCAAAATCAGTGGAATATTACCGCTTTCATAACCATGACCACACTCCATACAAAAAAAGATCTACAGATACCCAAATTATTCAAGGGAACTTTTAAACACTCGTCCCGCTCGCTGCCAACACCTTTGGTTGAAGGTTTAAACCATGGAAGATATCACGTAACACCATTAAATAATTTACAACATTTGTCTTTCGTTTTGTTTTTTGTTTTTTTTATATCAATAACAACTGTGGTTTATAAACTACAAGTATTTACAATCATTTAGATCCTCGTACATACAAACATGAATGTTGACCGCTTGTTTGTCTCCGACCTTTAAATAACGTCGGAATTCTCTAATAATACTCCGAGCAAACGTAGCAATTGTAAGGCTTTGGTCAAGAAGAGGAACACTTTATTTTCCGTTGTCGTTTTTCTTCTCTTCTTGGTAATTTTTTTCCTTAAAAATCAATTAATGCAAACTTTGCAAAAAAATTCTGTCTGAATAAATTTACAGTAAATTAGAACCGACATCATATCCCATTTGTAATAAATAAAGCCTATGAGCTAAGAAAGCCATCTTTATTTCCGAGGGCTTTACTCCCCTCCCTGCCACATATGGCTCTTAGAGCTGTACACGTTAGTTAATACTTTCAACCACGGTTATAGTTAACCACGGTTATAGTTAACCTGGCTTATTTCAACCGAAGTTAATCACACTTGGGTTTTCACAACTAGATTAGCGTCCGACTCACAGAGGTTGTCTGCCGTGTGCAACAAAAAAGAATTTCATCGGCACCACCAAGTCATACTCTCAACAACATTTTATGCAGATTGTTTCAAGTTTGTGGTTTGGGTGATGAATTCACCTATTTAAAGCTACTGCAACGACAGGATCCGTACCTTGTTGCCTTCTCATTTAGGAACAAGTGACTGCTACATTATGTCAGTATGGCGCCCACTGTTGTTTGCAGATGGAAAGGTTTTAACAAGCCAGGGTGTGGAGTAATTCCACAACTGGGAAAATGGTTAAAATCAGGGGCACTGGCATGACAAATGGGTCATGCACCAGTAAAGATCACAGCCACTCGCAATGGGCCAAACTATCAATGCAAATTACTCGATTGGTTGCTGTATATATAAAGCAGAACTGATTGTCAGGGATCTCACTAAATACTTTGATGGCGGGTTTCAAAAACAAAAACCAAAAACAGAACCATGAAAATAATAGTGGCCTCTCACAAGGATGGTTAGGAACGACCAGAAGGTTTTTCAAACCCAGGCTTCTTAGCTAATCCAAGATTCAAACGTTTCCTGCCAAATTCACACTCTTTCAAACAAACACCCACCGCTGGCCTTTAACAGTACACAGTGTCTTGAGCACAGCAACTGGACCGCTTGTGTACTGACATTTGTCCAGCCAGGGGACTAAAAATCATGAAACTGGAGCCTGAAGCTACAGACAGCGGCAAAGCTAAAGACAACGCCAAGATTTCATAAATCCCTAAGACAGGCTTGAGAGGGAGAGGAAGAGGATTTATCTCTTCCAAGGGACTGTGGCATTTTGATTGAGCACCTTGGATGGGATCATGTCTAGGAGGTATTCTCGCTGCCTGGCGGCGTTAGCAGAGTGGTGACTAGTGACTATCTGGTTCTTGCTCACCATCTGAATCTGCAGGAACAAAGTAATAAAACCGTCAGGGATGTTATCAAGTGATCCAACGTCATCAAATGTAATCACGTGACTGCGCATCTTAAGGCAAGTCACAAGTCATTCAAATAAACTGCCACAAAGGCATTCCTTTATCCACGTCCAACAGGTGTGTAGTGGTCATGTCATGGAAGGGAGGAATGCAACATTCAACAAGTAGTAACTCGAGGTTCTCTCTGCATTTCATGGTGGATGGCAACAACAGTTGGCCACATCAGCATTTTCCTAGGTCTCCCGATCCTTCGCAGCCCAGCAGACCTCATTCAGACTCGGACAAGGTTAAACCTGCAGGTGTCATGTTAAACCTTGTAAAACCTTGAGGTAAACAGCACGATACCGCCTGTTTAATTTCGCCTAATTGGATCCAAGTTTAGCCAACTTAGAGGAGATTTGTTACTTGAATTCAGTAACAGTAAATGCACGAGAGGTCTCCTGGTGCATATCCCTGTGGAACAATAGTAGTAGGATCTTCACCCCGCATCTGCTTACTACCACAATGACTTATCACTGTAAACCTGGAGAAATTAAAAAGTCCTTCCCCAGACTTGAATTTTATTTCAAGAGAGCAATGAGAAACTCATATTTGTCCCTTGAGAAAACCTTTTTTGTCCCTTCAGATGGAAAACAAAAAACCTACCTGGGAGGTGGGGACTCTGTAGGTGAAGGATTGGCCGGAGTTCTTGACCCCACTAACGTGTGGTATATAGGTGTAGGTGACCGGCTGCATGACCCGCTGGGTGTTAGGTGCTGGGTTGAGCACTGTGCGCTGCTGCTGGTGGGGCACTGGGTTCATGACCCGGTGCCGGTTCTGTTGGGAGGACTGGATATGGGAGCCCTGGTGATGCTGTCTGGATGTCTGCTGGCTCTGTGGAAGGTACAGAGAAAAATGGGACACCAGTTGTGTCATTAGGTGTCGCGGATAACCAGTTTCTCATGATTGGCATCTTGGGGCAAATCTGGAGAAGTACTGCTGCGATTGGTAATGGTTGGACAAGTCCATTGTTCAAGAACATTTCGGATGGCTGCATGGCCAGACTGGGGGCACTGGGGTTTTCCCGCCACCAATAAAACAGAACATTATTTCATGTTCTTTAGCTTTTTTTACAGGCTTGCAAGCTACAGTGCCATTGAAGGCACCCCCGAATAATGGCTGGTTATTAAATAGCCATGTGTATTGCAAAGTACAGCGAGAAAAATGAAATTTGACCACCTAGAAGCTTACTAACATGTCAACCCATATCCTCCCAGATCCTTCAACACTCAGTGTGAGGTTTTGGAGGATTCTGAACGACTAAGAAAAGCCAGCCCACCTACTACTAACTAGCATGGCTTGTGATGCCACTACAAAGCAAGTGCCAGTACAAACTTTATGTATAAAATCAAAGAATGTAACAGTACAGTGGTGAATTTAATAGGCTTCAGGAAGTTTCATTCAAGAGTGAGGGTTAATTGGCAAGGACTGTTACTTCCCAGTTACACATTGAAATATTCATGGTTATGGACACAAAATCTGAACATAACTCACGCTATGAATGACTGGATTCTGGCCCTGTTGCATCCGCTGCTCAATCTCTTGCTCCTGCTGTAGCGCCTTGACAAACGCCGTCTTCAATCGGTTAGTGTGTTCCGCCTTTAGGGACTTCTTCTGATTGGAGACGATACAGGTCTCACACATGATGCCCTGCTTGGCATCCTGCTTCCAGATGGTGGTGAAGTCCGTCTTGCACTGGGCGCAGCGGAAGGGGTCCGTGAAGCGCTGTGGCGTCTTGCGTTTAGAGTCCTTCTCTACTTCCAGGATAGTGTTGACTACTTCCTCTAAGCCCACCAGGATGATGAACTCATTGTTGGCAGCACTTGGCAGGAAGTGAAGCTCCGGTGGGGGCGGTTTGGGAGGAGGGATCTGCAGCAGGGTCTTCTCAAGCTGCTTACGGAGAGCCAACTTGGCAGCTGCTTGGCGGCTGGCTGCTGACTGGGTATCATTGGCCATGGTTGTGCTGGTACGAGATTGTTGGTTAACAATCTGACCACCGGCCGACTGTATGGTGGTTGTGCTGACAGTTCCTGTGCCGCTGACCCGTATAATGTGCCGGGTGCCCTGTATTGGTTGACCCTGTGTGCCTCCCCTGGACACCATGACTAATGGGGGAGGGCCACTCTGAGAGGTCAGCACGCTGCGGCCAATAGTCTGGATCTGAGAGCCCCGCACCAGCTGGGGCATCTGTATGATCCTGCTGCCGCCACCGGCTTTCTGCTGCTGTTGCTGGAGTTGTTGGAGCTGCTTGAGCTGATGCAGGTGCTGCTGCTGCTGCTGGGCTGTCAGGTGAATCTTGGTGCCTTGGGCAGTCCGTAGCAGCTGTGGCAGCGACGTGTTGACGTTCGGGGTGGGATTGGCCTTCTGGGGTGGTTGGACGACACTGCCACTGGACGTATCGGTGGCAGCGGTGGCCCCTTCCTTGGGTGCGACCTGGACAGGTTGCAACTGACTCTGCCGGAGTTTCTTGAGCAGCAGTAGCTTGCCCTCCTCGGTGCGCAACTCCTCTTGGAGGTCCCGGATGGCTTTGTCTCGCTGGCTCAGCTCGTCGTCTGTGAGTTTGCTCAGGGGGTCATCGTCAGGAAGGGGAGAGAAGGGTCCGGTGTCGATGGAGCTGGCATCATCATCGTCTGGGGTACCATCCACATCATCGTCTGAGAGGACAATGACATCATCCTGAGGTGAGGAGGATCTGGAGGGCTCATTGTTTCTATAGACAGGGCCGGAAAATACAAAGCAATTTACCACTTGTGAAACTGAAACTTAAAAAATAAACCCATTTCCAAAAAGAAAAAAATACAATAGTTGTAACCAAAACTAGAACAATTAATCAATTATTATTTTTCCAAAGCAGTGGTGCTCAGTAGCTTAAAGGTGAAAGAAGGCAAGGGACGATATTTCAATTTCAGAAGTGAGAAAACTTGAAAAAAAGATACTTTTACACGTACCACTATATACCATCAACCAAACCCAAGGAAGTGGGTGCACCACAAATTGAGGCACTTGTATTGACCCTAACCCTGCCAAACGCAAGACAGTGCATCAGGGGTAATGAAAGTCATCAGCACCAGTGCATCAACTGCCAATTCTGAAACAATGACAGCTAATCCCAGTGAACAATGCCACAGTTGTACCCTGCTGCAGTTGGCGACCACAGACTCTGACGTAGTTTGGTTTCTAGCCAACATACCCTCGAGGGTTAGGGTTAATGTCTTTCTCACAGTAACAGTCACTGAATAGACAAATTGTACTACGTTGTCACTGACTTTAAAAAACAAAAACTGCCCTCAGAGACGGCTGCTGGTGCAAACGTCTACTGAACCTTGGTCACGAGAGGAGGAAGCCAAGAGACACTCGGTCATTTCTCCAAAACTTAACCGGATTAAGAGACTTTTAGGGGGAACTTACGCTGTGCTTGTGGGGACTTCGTTTGTACCATTTCCCTCGGTCATCTTGCCATTTGTCTGCTTGAAATCCACGCTGTTCTCAATCTTATCCTTAAATCGCTCTTTGATCATGTCTTTCAGGTCTGCTACATTTCCCGTTGGAGTGGTTGTGGGTTTGCCCTCCCCATTCTTTAAATTCAGTGGCATTGATTCCTGTGTGCCGCTTGTTTCGTCAGTTCTTGGAGGCGAATCATCTGACGGTTTTGTGTCCACATTTTGTTCACCCGACGAACCTGTTTGTTTTGTCACAATTGCCGATTGTCGGTCCAGCGGTTCCATGGGGTGACTTGGGTCGGCCGTTGAAACTTTTGTTTCAGTCTCAACGCCGCCTCTGGATTGACCTATCAATTCTGTTTGGCTCGGAGATCTCATCTCTGAGTCTTCCAGACTGTCTTTGCTGTCATTATCAGTTGTTTTTGTTCTTTCTGGTTCTAGTCCTGAGGGTTTGGGTGTTACCGGCGCACTGTTTGCTGGCGAGTCGGAATCCACATCCATCGATTCCTCGTCATTGCTGTTGTTTAATGCACAAGTCTCCGCCGTCCGAGATTCACCGGTATCCATCGGATTTGCACTGGTTTCCATTGGTGCTTTGCAAGGGTCCCTGGGGGGTCCACTAGTCTCCCTCTCAGGTGTGCCTGGCTTGTCATCCACAGATTTCTGTAGACTTGAATCCTTTGTATTGTTCACCAGCGGGGAGTTATTCTCCAGCGCACCGTTGCTGGTGTCCTGTGGTAAATGGTCACTTGTTCCATCACCGTTTGTGTCTTTGTCTTGATTTAGCACGGATGGAACAGCATTGGTGTGGGAGAGCTTCTCATTGGACACATTGTCGTGAAGTGTGTTGTCCAAGGATTCTGTAATTCTTGCTCTGTTGAAAGAGAAAAATAAAATGTTAAAATACATTTTCATGTTAGAAAAAGTAGCCAATTACTTTCCAAACAAGTTACTCCATTACGGACAAGAGTACATGCAGGCATCATCAGGATGCCAACACCATGCATTTTTGCTGAATCACAGGCTTCTTTCAATGGCGCCCTCTCCAGTCTTGAAAATGCCAACTTCCTCAACTGGACAGGAATGGCCACAAGATGGCGCTATTTGCACTCACCACAGCAGGAAACCATTTTACATGGGGGGTCAAAGCTTAGACCTTGTATTCATGAATGCAGTTGCATGTGTGCACATGAAATGTTCACGAAGTACATGAATAACGATTGTTTTCAGTCATCTATTTGAACCCACTGTAATGTTTCTCTAAAGACCGCATACCAAAAAAAAAAGGCAGTCATGTACCACGAGTCATATATATGACTTAAAAGAAAAAAGACGGCCTACACAAAATCATGGATAAGTGAATATCCCTGGTTCAGAGTTCCTACAAAAACTCTTAAAATGAAGTTCCACGACTTTTCCAGGACAAATTAAATTGCTACCGGTACACTATTTTTGGCATGTTAGGAGCCTATTTACAATACACTAGCCAGCCAACTCACTGAAAACAAAGGTCTATGCAGTGTGCATTACCATCAAGATGACGTCCATACCCCCTCACAGCCATCCAATCCTCCCACTTTCTCATGTTAAACGTACATGTATATGTCACCAAACACTTACAAGGCATCTTGTCACTGTCTTCCTAGCATTTCACGGTACTACAAAGCTCTGAACACCACTACACTATAGAAACTGCATAGATGCATTAACTGCAACTACAAACTGAGAAAGCCAATCATTATAAACAAATATTGTGCATCATCACGTGTGGTTGCGCAGGATTATTCTATGACTGTTTCATAATTTTCCATAACATCTTTAAAATCCAGGATTTTTCCATTGGGTACCCCTGCTCATTTCAAGTAGTTCTGGGCCCAATTTCACGCATGGTGCTGCTAACCACAGAATTCCACGCTTATGATCACCATTTCGTGCTTACCGCTTTGCGCTAACCTGTAAACACAGACGGGATGTACGCATGCGCAGAAGCCAAAATTCCTCGCTAACCCGCAAAAAACGCTTATCGTAAGCAGGGAATTTTCTGCTACAGTAAGCAGGAATTTTTCGCTAACGGTAAGCAGAACCATTAAAATGGGCCCAGGTCTATGTACTCCATGCACAAGTACATGTACCCCTGATGGTTAGGCTGCATCCGAATCAACTGTCTAGAGCTAGGTCTAGGTCTGCGCCCATTGAAAATACGCGGGGACGCGCTGACAATAGACGTAGCCGTAGCTCTGGAAGCCCGTTTCGGACACGGCCTTACAAAGAGACAGACAGACTTTGGTTTGCCAGGCACCAATATGAAAATGATATTAGTTTGTGCATATTCAAATGAAGAATTAGTCACGCCTAAACTCCATGGGGATTAGTCTGGGTCCCAGACTGGATTTGGCCAAGCCACCGTAGCAGTATAGAGGGCGCTGTCTACACAATGAATCAAAGCCAGTCTTGGGAACTTTGGTACCCAAACCTGAGAAACGTTAGTTCCTATATTAGGGCTGTGCATCGGAACCGGTTACCCGAGTACCCGACCGCTGATGTCAGGAACCGGTTCCGGATTATGGGATCGGGTACACGTACCCAACTTTGCCAATTACTTAGTAACTTCTCAGACAATGACAGAGAAAAGTTTTGAAGTCATTTGTGGGGAATTTTCACAAGGAAAACCAGGCCACATGGGAAAACAAAACATATTTTGCATTAACCCTTACCCTACTAGACCCTCCAACGCATGCCAATATGTGCCTCAAGAAAATCACCTATGTTTTTTGCACGGCCCTCCAATATCTGCCATGTCATTTCAAGGGTAACTGGACAGGCACTCCAATACATGCCACAGAGAACAATGAGAGTCCTCTGATAACAAAGTGAGTGCCCCCAGCTGGTCAGTATCAGGCACCCTCCAGGGCCTCCAACTCCTGCCAATTGGAGCCTTCACTGTTAAGACAAACTATCTGCCAATAAACTGCAGCTGGAGGGCATTGGCATAACCAACTGACATGCAGTAAACTACCCTCAGAGAGTAAGGGTTAATGTATGACACTCGCCAAAGTTGCAGTTTACACCATAAAGCTCACTGTACACACTTGTATCTTGCTGTATGGACACACCGATGTGGTAGTATTATCGTGCAAACCTTTGTAAACAATCTGAACAGCAACTTCCGAGATTTGAATTTTGGGTTTTGGTTTCTTTAACAGGTACCCGGGTATGGTGGGGTGTTTTTTGTTTCAATCAGGTACCCAGTTTCCGTACTACCCATTACTGCAAACCCATAGCCTACATTAGTTTATGCACGGTGCCTGTGAGGCATTTTAGGAATTTCGCTGGTCTGAGTGCCAAAATTCCCAAAGATTGAATTTGATTTATCTTGCCTATTGGGTCTTCCGCCACCGCAGCGGCTTGACCACGTTTGCCATGAACCGACTGAATTACCAGTCTGATGATCAGCCAATCACATGTGCTGAACCACGGTCGAACGTCTGATATATCCCAACATGCACATTTCATGCGACCCCCACGCGCCAGCCAATCGGAGTTGACTTTAGAAATTGTTACGTCATTTCGATCAGCAATGTGGACCAAGCTGTTGATTGGTCAATTTGGATGCGATATATTTTTGTAATACAAAAACGGGTTACCCGATAAGAAGAATCTCAAGGTCAAGACGCAGTCTTTTTCTGCGTATTTAATCACAGAATCTGCTCGCATATCATAGACTCTTGTTGCGCAAGGAGATATTCCTTAGACTACTGCACTAGGGAAAAAAATATCCAAATCCAGTCTTGTACCGAGACTACATCCCCTCAGGCCACATGTAGATAATAACAACCAAACATACCTTTTGGTTGTTTCTATGGCCTCGTCTGCGTCAGTATTCCACATACGCTTGACAGGATGAACGGTCCTCTCCTCAAGCATGCTTGCACCCCTGAGAGAAAGACAAAGAACAAATTCTCATTAGAAAATCCAGGCACAATAAGTGAAATACAAACATGTATGATTCAGGCATGCAACTGGGAATTTAGGGGAAAAAATGGGGAAACTCCAAACCACAGAAGACTTTGTACAGTATTTTTCAATTTGTAATGGCATTCATGAGAAAAAACAAACAAGGAAATCAGCGGATCCGAGGAAAAGTTACATGCTTGATGATTTGAGATTCTGTCTCAGTCCGTGGTTGTACCACGCAAAGCAGAATTTCGATGACCTTTTCAGACCAATCCATATACCATACTTTTGACCACATAAAAATGGTTCTTTCAAGTCAAATTCGGCATGGTTCACAGTTCAAAACTGATCTTTTTTATCAAACAATTTTTTGTTGGTCAAATTTCACCCTCTGGTACCATGTAATGGTAATCTCTTTAGTTCCTATTTGGAACTAGATATCCTCTAAATGATTTGACTTGTTATCCAGAAAAGAAAAAAGAACCAGAACATACTTTAGAAATATTTGTATGATCGCTGGTTCGACATGGGAATCACTCAATTTGCTCGGAAATTATTGCATGGTGTAACTGCAAGGCATTACGAGGATTACAAGCATCGACAAGAATGTAGAGTGCGTTACATGACAGGTCTGAGTGATGACGTTAGTCAGGGTTCTATTTTTACACGCATGACCAATGCCATTTTTCAATGTTCTTCCTTTCCTTGTGGAACAAACAACATGTGGTATCTCACCCAACCTGATGCAAAAAACCTGCTTTTTAGAAAGTGTAGCATTCCCTCCAAAAATCCCCCCCCCCCCCCCGAAAAACAAGCACATCTTGGTATACATTTTGTAAATTTAAAAGTGCTCAATTAAGTTCCCCGTTTTTGGGATCAAAAAATATCCTGGAGTGCTTGAGAGGGCCACACTGCACCCCTGTAAGGGGCAGAGAATATGCCCCGACCCCCCACCCCTTCCAAATTTGCTACGGAACCAAACAGGGGAAAAGCTGATCAACCCCTCCTAGATTGCATTTCCTGCGAGTCAAGGTCGAGTTGAACTGTCGGGGAGGCGAGGGGAGGGGGGGTTAACGATATAATCGCGTAACGTGGACTTGGGTGACTTTCAACGTGAACGCCTTTTCTGTTTTTCTTTCTTTGTGTGATCCTTACTTGTCGTTGGCGATGGGTGAGGTTGGTGATGGTGTCGTTGTTGATGACGTGACTGGTGCTGATCTCTCTCCATCGGCATCGGCATGGTCCGGTGGCCGTGTGTCGTCCATGGCAGACATTTTACTTGTCACACTATGAACAAATCAACACAAAATGAGGCAAAATTATCACTTGCATGTATCTCTGATTCGTAAAAAAGGACAACACAATTCGATTTGAAATAGAAGAAATCTTTAAGTACACGTAAATGGCTGTTAACCCATTGGAAATTGTAAAACAATGTATTACACTGTTTGTATCCCCTGATAAATCCAAAAACTATACAACGCCGGGACATTTTGGGCCGCACAGGGAGAAACTGGCCATGTGGTTTTAAGCAGTACCGAGACAAATGGGGAAAAGCACCAAGCTAGGCCCCATTTCACAAGATCCGACAATAGTGCAATGTTTAAAAAGCTACCGAGGGAGGGACTGGTAGCTGCATGTATGTACTGCATTATTTTAAGTAGTGCTGTCTTGTCCATGTTAATCTCTTATTCTTACAGTACCATATCCCCGCTTATCAATTTGCAGCCATTTGCAGTCTCAAAACATTCAATGCAAACGTACAGCATTATCCTTAACCCCCTAGGCCCTTTTGGCTAGGGACCATCCTCAATCCTGCAAAGCCTTCCAATTGCCACCATGTAAAAATTGCATTCAGCCTCAATCCTCCAACATCATCCGTTATTTCTTGAATTTGTTCAGTGGAGGGGTGACCGTTGCTTCAATCCTTCTCAATCCTCCAACATGAACAATCACTGTCAATACGTTGAGGCAGTGCAAATGATATCCAGAAGCAGTGGGGATGGTATCCAGTTTATTGATGGCCTCATTTATGCATGGCTGAACATAAACAATGCAGGGTATTCAGCCTACGACCTCGACACAATACATCCTCCAAAATCAACTGACACTTTCTGCCATTAGGCCTCAATCCTCCAAAATCCTCCAAAACTGCCTGGTTGATTTTGGAGGATTGAGGAGGGTTTACTATTTAAAAGAGTTAATTTAAAAAAATCACACCCTACATATGTACATATGTATGTTAGATTGAGGGGGGGGGGGGGTGAGAGACATGCCCCTTTAAGCCTTAAGTTAAATGATGTGTAACGCCTACAAAAACCACAAGCTTCTAAATATGGTGGCATTATACAAGGAAGCAGTTCATTAAAAACAAAAATGGATTGCCTAAGTACAGTGTTTATTGAATTATGAACACACACACATGCACTTGTGTTACAGGTGAACATTCATGTACCGACTTTCTCAAAAGTATTAGCATCAGTGCCAAATGATTGGTTGTGCTACATGTAAATTGTTTTGTAAGCCTTGTTTACAGTACATTTAGCCATTGTTTCAAGTTGGTCAAGTAAATGGAACTTGATAGTGATACTGTAGGATTTGCTTATATCTGAAGTCTTTTATACTTCTACCAGATCTGGTTTAATTCCCCACTAAAACACACTTCTCTTAGATGTCCCACATCACAGTAGTCAACAACTGGTATTTTCTCGAAAATAACATGCTCTGACCACTAGTTGTCATCATGGAGGTAGGAAACACGTTTCGTAAGGTTCGGCTACTATGAAATGTTCAGGAAATGTAGATGCCGCACGCTATGTGACTACTTACATAAAGTATGTACACGTACCGGTACAAGCACATGTACATGTACATTTATTAACCCTAACCTTCCCAACTCCATCAAAATCCATCCCCAGTATTTGGGGGATTTTGGCAGACAAGCCATGAGTACAAAGTCCATCAAAATCCACCTAGGCTATATAGCAGTGGTCAGGTGGTGGATTTGTGGTGGATTTCAGCGGATTTGGTTCTGAAGCAGTATATGAAGCAGAGTCATTGATGGATTTTGGCGGACTTGGTACTGTTCTTAGTAAAACTCAGTATGGAGTTAGGGTTGATGAGGGCCAGTGAGATACAGACATGAACATGTACAACCACATGTGCATTGTACATTAATGAGAGGCAGTGATATGTACATGTACATGTTGTACCATAAGGCCTGGTACTAGCTGTATACATGAAGGGAGCAAACAACAAGGGAGCAAACAACAAATTCCTTTTTTAGGGTCATATCAGCATCCACAGTAATACACAATCATACATACCGGTACATACATATTTTCTGTGCTAGATTCACCATAGGTCCCCAGGTAATCAGACAAAAGACTGAGGTCAGTTCAGACTTTATACACAGTGTGTATACCATACATAAATTACAACACAACAAAAGTGCTTTGGACACCACTCATGGTCAGCACGCATTCAAAAGAGGGATGCACCTGTGATAAGGCAGTTTGGCTCTTGACTTTTCAGAGGGGTGCATTTTTTACACCCAAAGACCAAAAGAATAATTTTCCTGTCAAAGAATGTTTAACTTTGTAAGTGCACACATGGTACCCAAGGCATTATTTTACTATTGTGTATCATTTTACTAAATATTGTGTATCATGAGAGATTTATCAAATTGGATTAAAGGGAATGTACAACATTTGCTTTTGCTGCAATTTTCATAAATACATGCATTTGGAGGATTAGTATGTCATAGCAAATATTGTTAAACTGACTTGCTTCACGTTTTTGGTTCGGAGATGCTGGAAAATCCAAGAAAACCAACAATGTTCTTGTAGTCTGCTTCCCTGACCCCACTTAAGATAAAACGGAACAATTTACAGACTATGGGAAATTGTAAGATCAGACAATAAGTCTAACAGGCTTGTACCCATTAACAGGTGTGTAATAAATTGCAAAAAAAATGTAGAATAACTCAATATAAAAAAATACGGAGCAGTTTTGAAAAAAAAACCAGTTTTTTCCAACGCTGGTCGGCCGACCAGCATTGGAAAAATACAAGTTTTTTTGAATATGTCAGCACACCAGGAGCCAAGATTTTACAGGATGCTTTAGACTGTCATTTCCCAACAATCCAGTAAGATATTTCGTGATAATTTGATAATTTCGTTTCTTGATGTGTGCAAATGTTGTATCTTCCCTTTAAACTATTTCAAAATAAACACTCCGTTATATGAATCTTCCTTGAAATTTGAAACTGTGCTACTTAATGTACCGGGGTACATGTATACATGTACCAAATCAACCGAGAAAATATTTTGTAACACGTACATGTACATGAACGTACAGTTGAGCATGAAAGTTCGTTTCTTGTTCCATTATTATATCAAGTAAATAAAAGATACTTTGTACCTTTTTGGGACTTGAGTTACAGAGCTCCTATCAGGAGCATGCGACACCATCACGCTGATATCAACTGGCGTTGTTGTAGCCCTCACGTGACGTACGTACAGGTTTTTGTTGGCTTCTCCATTTTTCAACAAGGTTTTAAGAAAATATATTGGATTTTTTTAAGGAGAGGGGTAAGTTACTCAGCTAGCAAAAGTCCTACCAAATCAATCATAACTCATCCAGTCTCAAGTCAAGTCACAAGCTACCCTGGAATTTAAATGAACCTGCAAAAGCATCCCATTTTGAATTGTACATCCCCTATTACTAGAGACCGATCCCAGTACTTAACCGCTGAATGGCGCTGATGTCAGGAACCAGATCCAGATTATGGAATTGAGTATCTGTAATTAAGTTTACATATTACTTAGTAACTTCTCAGACAATAAAAAAGAAAGGTTTTGAATGTCATTTATGGGGAATTTTCAAAATGAAAACCAGGCAACGCGGAAAAACAAAACAGCTTCACATTTATGACGCTTGCAAAAATGCAATTTACATCGTTAAGCTAAAGAGCTCACTGTACACACTTGTATGTACTGACGCAAAGATACAGTATCCTGCAGCCCTTTATGAAAAATGTGAACAGCAACTTCCGATATTTCAACTTTGGGTTTGGGTTTCCTTAACGGGAACCCGTGGTTTTTGGGTTTTTTTCAATCGAGTACCCGATTCCTGTACTACCCACAAATGCACACCACTAGTGGCCGATCCTGCGTTTTTATGTCTTGAGATTTTACTAACGAGTGGCCTTGTGAAGGTCTTATTATAAGCTCCACTAGTACAATTAACACAAAGTTACTTTAGGTAACCATGACAGTTAATTTATGTAGACCTGGGTAAATTATGATCTCATTTCATGAAACATTATCACAACTAATTGCTCATCAGTCAAGTATCAAGTTTGTAAAATCCATCCACGCTCGTACACCTGCTGGGATTCAGCAAAGTGATTCCATTAAGTTTAATATTGTTCATTATAAACAAAACGGCCTGAGTAACGGCACATGTACTGTGCACAGATACACTCCAAGATCCAATTGTGTCATTTGGAATTGTAGAATGTTGTTTAGGTCAAACCAAGAACAGCTTTGTACATTAATTAACCCTAACCTCAGCTAAAGCTATTTAAGCTGTGGAGCTAAGAACTAAGGTTGGAAAAGTAACATGTGTCCAGAATTGCATGCTGCTTCTATATAAAGTCTGAATTCTGAAGAAAAAAAAAAATCCTCAAAACGTAAACCATTCTCGCCTCAGAAGCTGTCATATTTGGGATTTTCAATTATTGTCAAGCCAACGTTTCACCATATAGTCAATAACAAGTGCACAGTTTTACAGGTCCTGAGCAAGGAGCAATTGCGTAAGTGGTACTGAAGTCCAAGTTTTGTATATAATTTCAGGTACTTCTTTTTCAAATATGCAGTAAATCCTAACATACATACTATGTAACACATCATGTTAGTGTCTTTACACTGTAACAGTATGTATCGTGCATGCACAAGTCGTCCCCTGAACGTGCTGATCACATTAAACTTCTGAAAACATGACTAAACCTGACAAATAACTTGTCCATCCAAATTGGTTTATGCAGTGACAATGCACTCTCCCATATAATCTGTTGTTGCGAACAGCGCAGATATTAGACGATACAACAGACACGGATTTGTATCTTTAACTAACAAATCCTCATCCCAAAACCAAGACCTGTATTTCCAAGTACAATGTACATGTAGTTTGTGCATAGGATTCGAACAACAAACATGGTATTTTTAGCATACAATGTATTCTTCATCCATTCACAAGTACACATCACCCCCTCCCCCCTTAAA